ATAATATTATAAGCTTTGAATGGGTAAAATAAGATTAAAGACATACACTAACCGTTTGACCAAAAAAAAAAAAGACATACACTAAGTAGTACACGACGATCTCTCTAGAGCCCAAAGCTTCCTCTGATCCCGTAATGAAGAAAACGAAGACGCTGGTGGCTTCCATCTCCACCCTTTACAGACGAACCTATCCTTCAACTTCCCCGTGCAATCCACTCGCTACGATTGCTTCGATTCGTTCACAAACCCAATTGCCTCGCGAATCCCTTCAACATTACTCTTCAGCTGAGGCTCTCGCTAGACGACTCCGATGTTCCGGGAGAGTTTTCAGCTCGGACTCTGGCGCCGGGAAGAGAGTCTCCGGCTGCTGGAACTGCGGCGAGAAAGCTGCGTTTTTGTTCTGTGAATCATGCCGTAGTATTCAACCTGTCGATGATTCCGTCGATTATTTTCAGATTTTTGGCCTGTAAGTGTAACCGAGTTGATTAGTTAGAATCTAGGGTTTATGTCAAATTTGGATTTTTATGTGGATCATGCAAAAAGATGAGACCTTTGAATTGGGTTTTTCAAATTCTCATTCAATAACGTCTTGTGTTATAGGGAGAAGAAGTATGAGATAGAACCTGGAAGCCTCGAAGGCAAGTACAAAGATTGGCAAAAGAAGCTACATCCTGATTTAGTTCACAACAAATCCCAGGTCTCTTTGTTTGTACATTCTCTCTTACAATGCCTGCAATGTTAGTACTCATCTTCTCTTAGAATTAGCTTTTGCTTTTTGAATTGTTAACAGAAAGAAAGAGATTACGCAGCCGAGCAGTCTGCTAAGGTGACTGAAGCATGCAGGACATTAACCAAGCGGCTATCGAGAGCAATGTATATTGTGAGCTTCTTCACTTTTGCATTACGTTTTAATGGTTTTTCCTTGTCGTTTTTGCTTCTATTGTTTAAGGATTCTCAAAGGTTGCAGTTTTCTCTGAAACTATTTGATTTCGTGATGTAGATGAAGTTGAGTGGCATAAATGTCAATGAAGAAGAAACAATAACAGACCCAACATTGTTAATGGAGGTAAGCTGCCTAGTCTATTCACAAGTTATTAGTCGTGATGCCATATATTAGTTTTGTGGAACTTTTTCTGCTACTCTAAAGGTGCAAAGACATGTCTGACATAAATAAACACATTCACTCAGTTTTATTCATTGAAAATGGTGTTAGATTATGGAACTCAGAGAGGCCATATCAGAAGCAGATGGTTCTGAAGCGTTAAACCAGATCCAATCCCAGGTACCTTGAAAATTCCTGATTGATCTAGCTTCCTTCAGATGTTTGCCTACAAACACCTTAAAACCTGCAGCTTTGGGCACTGGTTGAATACTTGACTATACTGAACTGATCGAATCAATGTGATTTTGTTGTTTTTTCTCAAGGTACAAGAGAAATTGAAGCAATGGTCTGACTCTTTCGTCGAAGCCTTTGAAAGCCAAAGGTTTGATGAAGCTGTAAAATGCATACAGAGAATGACTTATTACGAACGAGCCTGTGAAGAAATTGTGAAGAAGCTATGAGGCATGTAGTCGTCCTTTAAAATGAACACGTTTTTTTCTTAATGTTTGCCTCTTAGCCTTACCGGTCACATTTGAAGGGAACACATCATGGCTCATAACTACAGTATCTTAGCTCCATGTTTTTAGTTTAGCTATATAGAACAGAGGGCTTTTAATAAAAGAGCATTTACAGATTCGTTGCTAAGAAAAATATTTAATTTGCTCCATTTGTATGAGGTTCTTCCATTGATACAGAATTACAGTAATTTGTCAGAGAGAGAGGTCATGTAGATACCTTTCGCTGTGCTACTAAAGCCGACTTCTTCTGTTGAACAATCCGGGCAAGATCCTGCTTGCCTTCTCTGTTTAACCCATAGAAAACTGTCCTGAAATTGATAGTGCTTGGAGCAATACCCTTATCCAGCATCTCGGACAGAAGCTTTAGGGCATCTTCAGATTTGCCTGCTTGGCACAAACAGTTTATGAACTTACTGTATGTTTTAAAATCTGGTGAAGTTCCTTTCTCTTCCATATAGCGGAATGCTTTCCAAGCCTCTTCCACTTTTCCCAGGTTCATGTACCCACAGATCATTGCCGTAAATGTAACAACTGAAGGTTCGCAGCCTTCTTCTTCCATTTCCTGACATGTCTCTATAACCTTCTCGAGCTGTTTCTCCTTGAAGAAATGAACAATCAAAGATGTGTAGACATGAACACTGGGTTTTATTCCCTTTTCCTTCATGGAATTTACTTTAGCCAATGCTTCTTGTAACTGCCCTCTCTGCAAAAAACCATGAACAATGCTTCCATAAGTATACTGATCTAGTAAAGATTTCTCTCCTTTAAATCTGTCTAATTCTGACAGAGCTTCCTCTAGTTTTCCAATTCGACAAAGAGCTCTTATATAAATGGAGTAAACCACAGGGACTGAGAAGCCTATCTTGCAGAGAGAATCCAAACAACTTTTTGCATCCTTTGTGTTACCAACTTCACATAAGCATCCCAAGTAGTCTTGGACTAGTTCTCTGTCTGGGACAAAACCCGAACGAATCATCTCACGGAACGTTCTGGTGGCTTCTTCAACGTTCCTGCCTTTCTTCTCGCAAAGAACTGTGATTAAACACTTGAACGTCGAAGAGCTCGGGATCAGACCCATATCTTTCATTTCTTTGAACGTTCTAATAGCAATGTTAGTAAGACCAGTTCTACCATACTGCATTATCATGATTGCCCATGTATCTTGTGTTATCAAGCAGCCTTGTCTTCTCATCTCGTAAAACAGACTTCTCATCTGCTTAAAATCCTTCCCACATCCTGCAACTTTGATGCTCATGTTGTATGCCTCTGAACTGTGCTTATAGCCATTTCTCTTTCCCACCCATGAAAAGAAACGTAAAACAGTGTTGCCTTGTATCTTAGCATTACGTAGAACCTCAACTACCAGTTCTGGCGTGAACTCAACTGTCGATTTCTCTAGAGATTCTTGGGTTCTCTCCCAATCTCGGGAGGATGATAACATGCGACAAATTTCTTGTACCGTTATTTTATCAACAGCAGAAGAAGCTGGTGGAAGAGCTGACTCTTGAACAAACTCACCCTCTTGCCTAAAATCTTCTTTGTCATATTCGTCTGGTTCTTGACAACAGAAATTGCATTTTTTCTGGATTTCTTTGACAAGTTCAACTTTCTCCTTTTCACCATTTTTCTCCATACTGGAGATAACCCAAGAAAACATATCATTCCTGATAGCCATCTTGGAGGTGTGCATCTGATTAAGTAGCTTCAGGACCTCATCATATTTTGCTGATCTGCATAGCTCCTTAGCAAAGATCGAATAAGATTTCCATGTCGGTTTGATGCCCTTTTCCTCCATGCTGCCAAACACATTCCATGCTTCAGCTACTCGGTTTTGGCCTAAATAACCAGCAACCATGGCTGTGATAGCGACACTGTCAGGCTCAATTCCGTTCTCTATCATCTCACTGAATAAATTGCAACCCTTTTCAAACTGTTTCAACTTGAAAAGGTGTTGCATAATCTCAGTGTATGTAGAAACTCTAAGTGTTTTCCCTGAATTTTTTATAACCTCAAACTGTTCAAGTGCTTTAGAAACATTGTTTTGTCTGAGATACCCACTGATAATGATCCCATAGACATTTGAGTCATCCAGTTTCCTTCTCTTCATTATATCGACAATTTCTAGAGCATCTACCATTCTATTGGCTCTACAAAGTCCTTTAACCAAAATCTCAAAATGTTTAGCGTCTAGGCACACTTCCTTGTTTTTTAGCTCGCGGATCAGTTCCAGCGCTTCTTTTATCTTACCGGAAACACAAAAACTCTTGAGCAAATAACCAAAAGCATCATGCTCTGATATCTCACATATCCTGACCATGTCATCTACAATGGACTGGACTACATCAACTTTCTCTGATTGCGTTATGCAATCCAGTAACATCTTGTAGGTTCTCAATCCAAAAGTGATACCCTTTTCCATCATCTCCTTATAGAATTCAAGCGCAAGATCACCTCTTCCGGCGATGCATAGAGACCTAATCATGATATCGTAAGCTGCAGCATCGAGTTCGAAACCACTTTTCCTCATCTTCTCAAAAACTAGCAGCCCTTTTCCTATCTTTTTTGCTTTCCCGTACACTGAAATAAGAATAGTCCATGTCCTAATATCCTTATCACAAGCGTTCTTCTCCATTTCTTTAACCAGTTCGTCTACCATATCGAGATCCCTTGCTTCCCCAGCTATGCTTAACATGGTGTTATATATTCCAACTCTATGTGAAAAACCATCTTTGTCTTTCACCCAGTCAAAGAACCTCCGAGCCAAATGAGGAACCTTGAAGCACCTCTTCAGTACATTCTCCACTATTTTTGGTTCAAACCGAAAACACAATTTCTCTAACCTATCCTCCATGGAAACTACATCGTCGTCTGCCCTAATGACACTAGTAATCTGATAAACGTCGACTTCTTGAAGAAGACCTTTCTGAGCCTCTTCATTCTCGCCTGAAAATCCCAATGCAGCATTTTCACGAACACCTTGCGTGCAAGAAACTAATGCTCTATTACCACAGACAGGTCCTGAGTCATCATGGGATCTGAGCCGCGTAGTCTCATTTGTTTTGACAACATCCGATCCTAAAATCTCAGTAATCTCGTTGAAAAGTGAGGTAATTGCAGTGGCTTCTGCTTGGATCTTCGATGGGTTCTCACGGGGTTTATTAGATTTCGATGACTTTGAAAAACCCGAGAAAGAAACGAGTTGGTTCCTTCGGGTTGGATCAAAAGAGCAGGACTTGAATCGGAACAAGGCTTTCATTGCTCTGACTTAATTCCTAAGTCAATTCCGACATCAACTGTGTGATGTTGTTAACACAACTCAAAACAGACGGAAAACGTTTGAAACTTACAACACACGTGTCATATTATTATTAGTAGGTGATGGTATCAGATTTCTGCTGTTTATAGACGATGCATTATGGCACCAATTGGTCCTGCTTTGTAATGTGACACTATCATTTTTTTTCTTCATATATTCTCTTTTATTTGAATGAAGAACCAAAAACGGCATCAGAAGAAAACAAGAAATCATTGAGGGAGCATCGATGAGACCACATGGAGAAATCAAAACTTGAGAAATTTCTCACAAGAAAATTAGACCACAAAGACAGCTAAGTTTGTGCTTTGTCCTCCAATAATCAACAAACACAGCCTGACCCAACTCACTCTTCCCATACATCCACGTGAATTTAGTTTATTGTAACCAAATATGTATAGAATACATTCTCCCAAAGTGAGAGACATTGTAATCATAGTGATGACTATAATTTAGTTATTCTCTTTACCATACCAACTGATATGGCATATGGGGGAATTATACTTTCCCTGTAGTAAAAGCCAAACAAAGGACTCCAAAAACAACAAATCCTTAGGATAAAAGAAAAAAAAAAAAGTAAAAGTTTTGTCTTCCCTTTTTTTATTTATTGTACTCTCATTCTCATACACCACCAAATTAATTAAAAAATGATTGATATATCTAATTACAGTATTCATAATCCAAAGACCAAACACCCACCCAAAAATATATATTTAAGACATGAAGAAAAAAAGAACTCAACAAACCATCCTTCTCATTCAATGGAAGATTGGTTGTTTGTGTTTCGAAACGTTGTTGTTGGTCCTCTCTTCGTTTCCTATTCACCCAAGGCCAAACCTTCAATCAGCTGAGTAAAGTGAAATACATGAATTCTCGTTACAACGGCGTATCGATGAACAACAAAAATCTTACTAACCTTTTCGAATGCGTTTACATCAATTCTTTGGCGGGTTTGCGAATTCACCGGCATTTGCTGAGATAAGTTTCCTTGCCAACAGCACCAAGCATGCTACAGGCTACTTCCAACAATTTCCCTGTTTGTTTCAAACAGCTTTATTAGGTCAAAGTCCATCACACACACACACACTAATCTCTCCATGATTGTCACCTTAATTATAATAATATTCTGGATTCGTACTTTACACAAAGCTATCAATAAAATACCCTATTTTTTTAACTACCAACAAGACATCTTGAAAGTAGGAAACATGACAAGATGCTAATAGACAGCTAGTTTTAGTGGCTATGACCAAAACACACACAAAATAGCTTAACCTATCTTTGATTCTTGCTTGTGGTTTCATATCATCTAATATTCTCATCAATCCTTACTTTCCTAACACATTTCTAATCTGCACCTGTTGCTCGTAATTACAGCATCCGGATTTGGATTACTAGACCCATCTTATTGGCAAGTCCGCACCAAGCCAGTGACAGAAACGTGGCTCCAGCTTTACATTTTTTGAACCCTAGTCTTAGCTCAAATTACTAGACCAGTCTTAAATTCTTGGACCCTAAACTGTTCTTGAACAATAAAATGACAAAACTAACATTCTCAAGATCTCATGGCTAATTCAAACTACACTAAAGATTACTGCAGCGGATCAATCAAACACTAGATATAAGACCAATAAGAGCACACATAAGAAAGAAAAACATACCTCTTCTCGGCTGAACAACTTTCTTAACCGGTATCTTAACCGATTCAACGAGCTCCTCCTCTTGAGGGAACAAAACACCATCAATCCCCTGAACCGAAATCCGACCGTCGGTAAAAATATCAGGATCGAACAAATAAGCCGACCTCACACCGTCCCCAAACTTAACCGAACCATCAGCTTCCTTAGCCGCAACCTTGTGAGGAAAACGCAGCGTATCAAACTTCACCTTCCCAAATCTCCTAACAGAATTGTACATACTCTCCTCCGTCTGATACTCAGGGATGATATGGTAATACATAATCTGCTCCGGTGCTCCTGGCTCGCTCAGCTGATCCGTCGTCAATTTCGCCATAGCTTCGTCGTTGGGAGCAAGAACCGTTAACACGTAGCCTTCTGAGACTAACCGACCCATCTCCGTCGCGAGTGACGTCAGATTCACGAGAATATCTGCCATCTCGTTGTACCCGCCGTAATGCAACAGTGTGTGGATGAAGTCTTTGACTTGAGCTTCACCGTCGAAGTGGTGGTGCTTGCCTCCAGGTCCCGGAGCTGGCGCCGGAGCTAGGGACGGACCAGGAGCCATGGCGGATTGGATCGGAAGAGCCGGTGGAGATCCGGCGGGTTTAGGAGCGACGGGTTTCTTCAGACGGTTGGTTCTCGGGTCAACTTCTGGAGCTCCTTCGGGTAAGACGGCGGAGATTGACTGGAGGCTACGACGGCGATTGAAGTCTTCTTGAACGGAGCGAGGAATGAGAAGCCGTTCGATCCCGTGGATCAATCCGTCGGGTCGGGTCAAGTCATCGGGCCGGATAATCTCGGCCGAATCAACCATCTTTTTACCGTCACCGTGGCTCAAATGGACCTGATCGTTGCCAAGCGTGGGGTGCTTGACCCGACCCGAATCTTCCGAAGGCCATTGGTCCGACCCGACCCGATGGGGTATAATGTGGAACATGAGGAGTGTTTGGAGAGATTTGAGATTACCTGGCTCGAGCAAGAAGCGCTTGAACTCCGGGTCAAGGTCACGCTCAAGAGCTTCATTGCGAGGGGCAAAAATGGTAATATTGTGAAGACCAACGGCGTCTTCAAGTGTCTGAAGGAGAAGAGCTTTCTCGACGAGCTCAGCTAGCTCAGTGTAACGGGAGTCGAGGAGAGCTACGAGGACGGAGTTGGAGTTGATCTGACCGGACCCGGAAGAAGGATTCGTGTTGTTCTTGGGTAATGCAGATGCGGTGGAGGAGATTAGGAAGAAGAAGAAGAGAAAGAGAGGAATGACGGCGGAGCCACCATAGATGCGGCGATCCATGGAGCTCTATCTCTGTAAGATCCGATTATGAGAAAGATGGAACAATAAATTTCTCTTTCTTTTTTTTTAGTGAAAGAGTTTACTTTTTTTCCTTTTGTTATATATTCTTCGAGTATTATTAATCTTGAAGTGTCGGCGATGGCAAGTGGAAGTGTTAAGAGAGAGATTGAGAGAGTTTGGTTGTGTGTCTGTCTATGTTGTGTAGTAGTAGGAAGTGTATTTTGGGGGGTTTATTCAGACTTTTGGAACCAGCCTGGTGATGGGACCACCCCCACAAAAAAGTTTTATAATTGTTGCTGACTTTGGATGTTTTCCACACACCTCTCTCGACTCGGCTCGGCCTTGGCTTGTAGTTGGCTTCTACTTCCTCTCAATCTTTTTTCCCCCCTTGTATTGGTTTGTATGAAGAATAATGGTTGGAGAAAAGTAATGTGTGATTTGGTAAAGGGAACGAAAGAAGTGCGTGATGATATACTTAGCTTGAAAGTGAAATTAGGAGGAGAAGGAAAAAGGTAAAAGGAAGAGAGGGGCATGTGAGTTGGAGAAGCAAAAGAAAAGAAAAGGGAAGCCGAAGAACGCGTGGCTTATAAAGTAAGCTGTCGGTTTGGGACGTAAACATCCATCCATCCATCTTTCTAGTTTGCTATTGAGTTTGTGACTTGTGTAATGACTGACCCCTTCTTCGTCCAATTACTTACTTCCACGCGCCAATCTTTGTTCGTAAAGGTCACGCCACTACTAAGCGTTTTTTGTTTTCTCTCTTTTTTTTTTTTTTTTTTCTTTTTTGTCGTCTAGCAATTTTACTCGAAGAGCGAATAACTTGTTATTAACCCACGAGGATAATCTTTTTGGGCTCATGTTGGGCCTGTTGGCCTGTTTGTATTATTTCGTTATAGCTTGGATTATATTTTTGGTAACCCAGAAACTTCGAAAGTTTTGCTGCGAGTTTAGGATATCCCATATGTTCGGGATCACTCATCATCACTCACTCATATTGTTTAAAGTTGTAGGTTTGTCATGAAATGGATCCACAGATGTCGAGTTCATGTGTTTTGCAAAATACAACATTTTCTAGTGAGTCGTGAGTAGGGATGTTAACTCGCGACGCGAATTACAATTGAATGGAAAACATGTGACACTTTGAAAAAAAAAAACAAAAAATTATGGATCACGTAAATCCTACAAATATTTTCTTCCAAAAACATTTACAAGTCTCCGTTAAAACAACCATAGTTCTATCTTCATTCTTCACCATTGAAGTTTACAGTGAGCATATGTTTCTACATCTACAGCTCACAATATTGCAGTTTAAGTCATGTATATATCTATCCTCAACTCGACCTAGAATCAAACATTTTCCATAATATCTCCTGGATTTTGATTTTACGACCTTTAAAACATGGGTTATATATTGTAACTTGAGCCAAAATACAATTTTCGGGATATATATGACACCGCATTGTCAGTTTGATAGTATCTAGACCTTGGCTTCATAGCACCATGCATGTTGCCATTGTACTGGGAGAAAATGTGTATCCCACCGGCCACATTCACAAGAAAAAAGAAAACTAAATAGTTAAACCAAAGTTGTGAAAATAGTACAACAATAAGAAATGAGTAATTAGTAAATACTATATAAAGTCCAAACTTGCACACAGCTATCACAAGTTTCGATTGGGTTAGGTTTGATTAAAAGTATACCTTAATGTTGTAATAGAAAAGAAAAAAAGAACAGTTAAAGACAAATATGCATTGGATTCAACGCATGGAGAATTGTCTTATCAGAAGCTGCATTTACATGTGTAAAGACAATTGAAACTAAACAAATCTGTATTTATAAATAGAGATAAAAGAGGAAATAAAGAAGAGTACTATAGCTAGCTCGTCAATAAAATTAAAATAAATATGTAGCGTGGTGTGTCATGTGTGGTAGGAACTCTGTGAAATCAATGTTAAAGAAAGGTCCCCCACACCCACACACACACACACACAGAGAAGAGAAGAGAACATAAGAAAAAAAGGGGTAAAGAAAGAAAAGGACAGTTTACACGAAGAGTCACACTGTACTCTGGCCCTCACATGAAACCCTAATTACTCAACTTTATTCACTTTTTTTTCACTCGACGTCCTTTATTATTTCACCACCTGACTCAGTGTGACCCTCTCTCTCTCTCTCTCTCTCTCTCTCTCTCTCTCTCTCTCTCTCTCTCTCTCTCTCAAGCCCTAGCACTTAGCCTGTCACACCTATCTAAAAGCTCTACCAGCTATATTCCATATCCCACGCTTCTTCCGAATCTACTTACTGGATCCCTTCTTCCTTCTCTTTATACGATCCCCAACTAAACCACGTCTTAATCATGCACTACTCTTTCCAAATGTTTATGCTACTCCAAAACTAGCTAATTTCATAATATCCATGTGTTTGTTAGTACTATTATTTAGCTTTTCTATGTTATACAAAACCACTGTTTACTTCACAGTGTTTGATTGATCCTACTTAGACTGTTCATTATGGCATGTTTGCCACGTTCCAAACTCAAACATATGTCTTTCCTCCTTTAAAAAAAAAAAAAAAAAATCCTTTCATTATCATATCTGTGAATTCATAGATTATTGTGTAACCTAGAAGTGCACATACAACTTACGTACGTTACCAAAATTTTTTAATCAAACACACTTAACTTAGTCCATGAATCTATAATTAAGATGATTCACGCATCATGAATGTATATATAATTTCTTATATTATTTTGGTTTTTAATGTTTAATCATCGTACTACAAAGTTAACTTTTGCTTTTGACTATGATTTGACTTGTAATTATTTGTGTGTTTTCGTATCTCCAAAAAAGTGGTCTTGTTGCAAAGTAGAGAGATCTTCACCCTAGTGGACGGTCTACTCTGTACGGCTAAAACATAATTACCTCCCAACAAAGTTCAAAGTTGATTCCTTTGTCAAGTTTTGTGGCAATGTAGTAACCAATCTTTTAACCCAACAAAACAAAAAGTTTGGTCACATTTTCTAATGTGAACTAAATAATGTAACATAATCTATCATCAATTCCATATATATATATCACATTAGAAAGTCACAATCCAAAAAAGATTGATTGAAAAGCTTCTAGATAAATTGAATTGACACATATATTTCTATCAACATTGATCATGATCTCGAATTCACATATTGGTTTTACAGACTAACACTTGAACAAAAACAATCTCAACAAGAATGTTAGAAGCATTAAGGAGGCGACGCCGTTTCAGCACGAGAAAGGCTTCGCCAGAAACCTCCACTGTAGAATCTGTTCCACATCTCCTTCTCCAATGCAATCACAGCTTCATCATCTTCTTCTTCTTCCTCCTCCTTCTCGTCTTTGCTCCCCAGCGGATGTACAGCGAATTGCGAACTCCCTACTTTGCCCAGCTTCTTCTCGCAATCTCCACTCTCTGAACTCTCCATTTTTTTGGCCAATCGTCTCCGCCTCATACGGCGGAGTGCGCGGCGGCAGAGTCCGCGGGGAACCTTGTAAACAGCGAGGACGACGAGGTTGACGACGCTGCAAGGGCAAAGACAAATGGCCGCGCAACTCGCCGTCGTACCACCGCAACACTCAGCCGTGGTGGATCCTCCGCCGCATAACGACGGCGATGAGAGACTTCGACGGAGACCCGGTTGTTTCCGGCTGGTAGAAGTCGACGGATTCATCATATACGAATAAATCTGAGAGTTTGTTTTTGACTAATTATCAAAACAAATGCAGATAGAGAGATCTCAATCCAATCCAATCAAATCAAATCAAGATACACGAATCTATCGATCCTCCTCTCTTGGCTCTTCTGGTTATCACCGATTCATCATAAAAGAAAAAAAACCGAGAAAATCGCCAGAGAAAAGGAGATATCTTTCGAGAGAATCTCAAAGGTTTCGTTTTGAATAGGAGACTGGAGAGAGTGTGGGAGAGAGAGCGTACGGATGAATATTATTGTAAAAGATTGGAAAAAAAGAAAAGAGGAAGAAGAAGGCAAAAAAGCTATATAATAAAGTCAGAGAAATGTGTTTCTGTTTCGGTTACGCTTGGGATACTAGTACTAGTAGTAGTAGATGACGACGAGGAGCCATGATTCATATATTTTATTAACATACCAATTATTTTCTTTGGGTTATATATATATATATATATTAAATGATAGTATTCCACGTAATTGTTCTTATTTAAATCAGTTGGATTAATATCTATAATTGAATCTTAAATGTTATACAAGGATACACAATTCATTACTAGATTTTCAAAATATCCTACTTATATCTTATCTGTTTTTTTTTTTTTTTGACTAATCATTAAAGTTTAGATAAGAAAATATCTTGACTACTTGATAATTATCACACACTAGCACTTATCATATAATCTACTACCGTCTACCACTGGATAATGCTAAAAAAAATATATTTAAATATAATTACTAATGGATAACGCAATTACATATTTTTTTAAAAAATTTTCTTTTTTAACATATATATTTTAATAAAAATTTATGAATAAATAAAGTGTGTGTGATTTTGTTATCCAAAAAAAAGCAGTTAATTAAAAATGTGATATTTTGAGCTTTAAACTTTTTTATTTGACTCTCTTTAAACTGCAAAAACAAATTTAATGTAGCCCACATCAAAACACAACACCAATAAAAGAGAATATGGGTTTGGGCTTTAGAATTTTAATACGATATGAGACCTATAAAATCAAAGGCCCATTACGGGCCCAGTTTATATTTAAAAAAAAAAAAAAACAAGAAACGATGCCACGCAAAATCCACGCTGTTCACACCTGTCCCCTCTCTCTCTCTCTCTTTCTATCTTGCTCTCTTGCTTTTAATTTTTTCCTTAACGACGAAGAAAAGAAAAGCAGAGAAACGGAAGCAATTTTTAGCATAATAACTACGATTTCTCTCTCTGACTCTCTCTAGCTTTGAAGATAAGACTGTGGCAGCTTCGTCTCTTCTAAGACGTTAGGAGATCATTCATCCGATGGGTCTTCTCTCCAACAGGTTTCGTCTTCCCCCTCTCTCTTTTGTTTTCCAGAGAACTTGTTTATCATCTTACGTTTTCTCACAAAATTTGTATATCTCTTGTGTTAGAACAGGATCGACAGATCGAGTTTGAAACCTGGGGATCATATCTACTCCTGGAGGACTGCTTACATCTATGCCCATCACGGTTTGTATTCATCTTCGATTTCTCTTCTTCCTAACCCAATTGTTCTCTCTATTTATTGCTTTTGACTCTTTCAAAGTTCGATTTTTTTCCGTCTATGTAACTTAAGCTGTCTAGTGTTCAATCAATTTAATAAATGATCGAGAAAATTTTAGGGTTTGTGGGTATTTTTGGTCGATGAATTAGAATTGATGCTTTCTTATCAACTAGCTAGGCTTTAAGGTGATCCACCAATGTTGTGATGGAGTTACTAATATTTTGCATAGTTCACAAGTTATTTTTTCTACGTTTGTGCTTAGGGGTCTATGTTGGAGATGATAGAGTCATCCATTTCACTAGACGAGGCCAAGAAGTTGGAACCGGGACTGTTCTAGATCTCATTCTAGTGAGCTCAGGTCCATCCCGGATTCACACCCACTGTCCAACCTGCGTTCCACCAAACGAAGGTCATGGTGTTGTTTCCTCGTGCCTAAGCTGTTTCCTAGCTGGTGGTGTTCTGTATCGGTTTGAGTACTCTGTCAACGCTGCTCACTTCCTCGCCAAAGCCCGAGGAGGAACATGTACACTCGCTGTCGCTGACCCTAATGACATAGTTGTCCACCGGGCCAAACACCTCCTTCAAAACGGGTTTGGATGCTACGACGTTTTCAAGAATAACTGTGAGGATTTCGCTATATATTGCAAAACCGGATTGCTGGTTCTTGGGGGAAGGACAATGGGACAGAGTGGACAGGCTGTCTCCATTATAGGTGGGCCTATTGCTGCGGTTTTGTCAACGCCAATGCGGCTTGTGACAACAAACATTTATGGAATGGCGGCTACGGCGGTTGGTGTGTATTGTGCTAGTAGATACGCGACTGATATCGGAATGCGAGCTGACGTCACGAAAGTTGAAGCAGAGGACCTTACAAGAAGGTTGTCTTCAGGACTTTTCCAAGTTCTTGATCCTCCATTGGCAGCCATAGCTTTACCAAGCACTAGTTAATAGATAAGCTTAAGCTTCATCAGCTTATCTCACTGTTGTATTTCATGTTGTGCTTTGGCTTAAAAAAAATTGTTCTAATATAGAATACTACTTGTAAAAACTTATATTTTCTTATATGCACAATTGAGCAAAGTATAAGCAAATCTAGCTTATACTGTATACAGTAGGTGGAAAAGATCAAACACAAAAACAACAACAAACACATACGTAATTACCAAGTTTTTATTTATATCTTGTTTTTCTTTATGACCCTCCAATTATTAGTCTCTTTCGTCTCTCTACCTATTCTTTAACTCTAGCCTAAAACGGTCCGTGCCAAACTCTACCCTAAAACGGAACCAAACTGCGAAATCCAAATAAACACTAATCACTCACGCATCTCTCGGTCTCGCCCGACGCACCAGCCGTGAGAAGCAGTAAGTAACGGTCATATTGGACTACATCCTTGCGCAAAAGCATAGAGATGTAATAGTTTTTTCCTTTATAACATCAAACATTTTATTAGCTTTCGCTTTTATGTCTACCTTCAGATCTGTCTCAGGGTTGAGTAATAACAAATATGTGTTCTAAAGGAAAATTAGCTGGCAATTGTAATGTAATATGAACATTAGAAGCAACAAGTTTCATAATGTGGGATTCTTGGAAAGTTACAAGAGCTGGTTAATGTGATGCGAAGACAAAACCACAATGATTCCATAAAAAAAACTTTAAGATAGCACAAAATTGTTTCAGGAGAGAACAAAAAGAAACAGTAACCAAACATCATCCTCGCTATTTCTATCCATAATAATTCTTCGACAATGCCTGACATTTGATTACACAAGTAAAACAGCATTTATACATCCGTCATTCTCGGGATTGTTAGTCACTTGAGCGTATTTCCCTGAAACCAAAATGAAGATAGTTAAGGCACTGCCAACACTATTTACGGCTTTTGCATAAGGGTCAGTATATTTGTCCTCACTTACCCCAAACAACCTTTCCTGCAGGTGTAACAAGGCCAAGCTCACTCACATTGACCTGAAAATCCATTCACATAACTTGTGATATTTGCACCTTTAACATAGCTGAGATAAGTGCGAACTTAATATGTATAGAACTCGGGAACTAACCTCAATGATGGTTCCCCTGGTCATGACACCAAGTGATGTATACATGGGACCGTTAGGATTCTTCTTAACTCCGATGATCTCAAGACAGAAAGTACACTTAAGTTCAGGATGAGTGACGTGAGCCTTGGTGAAACGTAGCCCAGATGGACGGATGAAACGCTCGTACTTCGGAGGCTTCCTTGTGAAAGCAGGTCCAACAAATGTAGCTTTTGTAACCATCCGCTTCCATTGCTTTGCTGTAGTTGATGCAGAAAAAAGGAAAAAGCACTTCAATAGTTGTAAGCAGACTATTCAGAACTAACAAAACAGATCCACAAAGTAAACTCAATCTATAGTCTACAATCAATTCCTGAATCGATAGCATCTGTACAATTAGGCGTCTTAAAACATAAAGTGACAACAAAAGAAGCAGCTAAATCAGGATCCGAAAGCAGATACATACTTTTCCTTTTCCCAGATCGGATCACTCTGAACATTTCATCTTCAGCGACTGGACGGACCTGTAAAAGGAAGGGGCTATTAGCTGCCAAGAGAAAAGAATTTAAGCTTTACCCATCAGTTAGAGTTTCAACAATGAAGGAATGCAAAAGCAGAGAGATTTCACCTTTGGAAGAGGAACCTCCCATTTGCCAGCTTTCTCTTTCCTCTTTTGCTTAATGGTGTTACTAAGAACCTACAAACACAAAAACAACTTTTTAATGCATTGCCTCACCAAGTTTCAGAAGTAGAGATATCTCAACTGAAAAAACAACTAACCTTGGCCCGAGTGGTCTCTTCACGATCAAGAAGATAAGCAGGAACAGCTCCTTCTTGAACATTCTCATCAGCCTTACGCCTTGATGATGACTCCTCATGCATTTTCAATCTGTAGTGTCACACAAAGTAAAAAAGTCAAACAAAAGGTAAGCAAATTTATGCTAATTTCATTCTACAGAAACCACAATGACACTTAAAACTTTTGGCAATCCACCTTGCTAGTAAACATCTTTGGCCTAAATAATACTCAGTCACAGAGAAGAAAAAGGAAACACTTACGTTTTCTTCATGAGAGCTTTCTCAGCATAGTTCTTCTTAGCAATCATCTTACCCTTGATACCTAGAGACTGCGATTTCACCAAAAACACAATGATGAATCAGTAAAAGGCGAGCTGAAATTATTTGAAAAAACAATATGGAATAAAAAGAAGAAGAAATAACAACCTTCTGAGCCATGGTGGAGTGCTTGTGAGCTGCACGAGCCTCCTTCTTGCGCAAGCGCTCATGGTGGTCGAGGCGATATCCATACCTCTTCCTGTGTTGCTCTATGTAATCTCCCTGAGGCTGTTGTTATTCATCCAGCAATATAAGAAACCACAGAAATTGTCAGATATCGAAAATCTCTCCATAGTATCTGAGAAACGAAAGCTTTAAGAAGAAGAAAACGGATACTAAGGCGGCGGAGAACGTACCATGGTTACTCTAAAGCGATCAGACGACGACGGTGAGAGAGACGGAGACGGGAAGATGGAGAGAGAGATGTTTAGAAACTGCGAACTAGGGTTTTATCAACGGGTCGGATTATTGTTGTCACAAGTTAATGGGCTTTAAATCATAAGATGCTTAAGCCCATTACTTCAGATGGTGGAAGTCAAACGATGGACGCTTATTGGAGAGTTTTGACTTTTCAACGTTTCTTTAGTTTCTTACACTCAAGGGCAGGGGCGCAGGGCACAAGCACATAGTCTTTGAATACTCATGGTGTAGTGCTGGAAAGAGTTATCATAGGTTAAAAAAAATTATGGTTCAGATCTTCCCATTTACGATCAAATTAGATTTAAATTAACTTTTTAAAACTTCAACAATTGGTACCAAAGCTAGTGTAAGTACTAAGTATGTTGACTGTTTGCTTTTCCATGTGAAAACTCATCATATTTTTGGTTGGAAGTCTAATCACTTTAATTAAGCTCTAAACCAAAAGTTCTACATAATTGCCATCAAAACTGGTGCTGCTTTCCCAAACGAGCAAAGCTAAGTCAGGTATCTTTTTAGCATCCTTCGTAGAAGAGAGCGCAAGTGATTTTTATGATACAGTTGTGGAACTTGTTAGGCGAGTAAGCTTTTGGATGCAATTTTAAGTCGCTCCCCCGCAATTTTCATCATATGTTTTCCTTCAACAGTCAAGCTTGTACTTCGTGAGGACTGCACAATTAAGATGCAAAACTGATCAGGCCAAGGTTTCGCAGTTTGCAGTAACAATAAGAGAGTAGGAAATGAAACCTGCAAAGAGATAACGTTCTGCAGAATCAAATCGATCTCCGACTTGGATAACAATATTATCTTCCTAACTTTGACATCGTTGTGCATCAGCAGGATCACAGAGACTATACACTGTATCAAATTCAACGAGTTTCGACCACTCTCCCTGTCTTGGACCGATTCCAGTGCTTTGGTGTTTTCACTAACCATCGATTGCATTCTTTTCAGAACCTGTTCCGTGAGTTTGGAGCTTCGCTCGAACAAGAAATAGCAAGGTAATAAATAGTAGAGACATGTTTGTATGTAAAGGTAAGAGTTCTCCTTATCTTCTGGTATACACTGCAAGAAGAGTGCAGAGAGATGTGTTAATCCCAATGTTGAAATTAAATGAAACAAAAGGACCCTGAAAAGTGTACAAAAGTAATGTGCTTACATTGACTATGTCGATCAAGTATCCTGGTAAGAATTCAATTAGAGTTGTTAAACTGCTTTGAGAAAGTTTCGTAGGTTTAGAGTCCAACGCGCAGATCATCCTGAGTATGGCACAGCCATTTTCCAACGCAGGCTTCACAATCTGAATCAAGAAGAAACATATCCTTAAGTATTTGCAATGCCATACACGAGAATATTACTATGCACTTATATCTCTTTTGATAATACTTATATTACACAAAAGATAAACTTACTATTTGTTCGAGTAAAACTTTCTCTAGAATCTGGAGAACAAGAGAACCATCACCCATTTCTGACAAGCATGAACACACAAGGTTTGTAAGCGCTTGAAACGTGCCACAATATGTCTTCCGCTCATTACACTCCATCACTACCTGCAATTTCTCTACATGAACATAAAATAATAAGGTAAGCTATCACCATTACATAAAAAGGCATGATTATCTCTCAAACAATCTCAAAATCGAATTCCTTTCGAAAACTTCAAATAAATACATATAAGTATTTTCTTAAACCCAAAAGCAACAAATAATCTTACAGATTCCAGAAAGTACCTGGGACAGCTTTGAAACGTGCAATTACAGTGATAAGGAAGCTAAAATGATCTGTAATATGGATATATCCAGCTCTGTAAGCAGTGTGAAGAATTTCCACTATTCGATACAACACACCTGGTTCAAGTTGTGGATCTGTAATACACATTGAGTTGGGTCAATTACCCTTTTTTTTCATTCTATCATCAACAGAAGCCAGTTTTAAAGTTGAATAAATGCAGCGGAATGCAATGTGATACTCACACAGACAGCATGAAACTATTGCTTTCAGCATAGGGGAGCTGAAATTGTCTATGGTGAAGTAATAAAGAAAACAGAGAGCCAGTTCTTGGGTTTCCCTAGGGAGATTTGCAAAAGATCCCCCATGTACATCACCTGTACAATTTAAAAGATGACAAAACGTCAAGTCCTATTTTAAGTTTAGTGACACTAAGAATTTCAAAGAACGTTTTTTTTGTTTTGCACACCTTCTCCCTGAGAAGGGATGAAGAAGTTTCTGATGTCTTCTTCAAATGTGGGGCAATGATTCAGACACCCAACTCGCCCAAGGTCAAGCAAAAGTTGCAAAACAACCTGAAGAAAATAACAAAATTGGTATAAATGAGAAAACGAGGAAGTGATCCTAGTTGATCAAAAAGGGGTCCATGTAGTAAGGATTACCTTGGTAGATTCGGGATGCTTATCACCTAACAGATTAAGCAGTGATGGAAGTTTGTTGACCCAAGCACTCTGGTAGTTATTTACTGTTGGTACACTTGCATTGGGATAACGGATATCTCCATTCTGCAGATATACAAGAAGCAGATTTAGATTTCAATGTGTGTAGAAAGTTTAAAGCGGGTTGAAACAGTCAGCAAATATCTACGACTGAACATTTCATGGAAAAATTACTTACAGGGATAATCACGTCTCTAACAATTGAAACGCAGGCTAATTTAAGTGTAGACTCTGGTTTGCAGTCGCTGAAGGTAGCGGTAAATGCCTGAAAATATAAATACAAACAATCATATATAAAACGATGTTACTACTAGCTATCAAAGGAATTGAAAAGGTATATCTCACTGTCTAACTAAAATTGCTCAAAGACTCTTATACGAACCTGCAGAAGATTTTCTCTCCAGTCATGGTCCACCCTCAAAATAAGTTTTGGAACAAAGGGCAAGAATGCAAGTAATGTCTTCTCGTGAATAGGTTTACTAAGCCTAATGCTCCCGATGATCTGTTAAATAAATGTTTGCAAATTCCAGTGAGATACTTTTTTTAGTTCCCGTGTAGATTTGCAAGGAAATTGGCAGTAATCAGATAAAATGCAGACAGAGGGACGCACATAAAAAAAAGTTTGTAAGCAACTAATCAGCTTGAGTTAATATATTAATGTAAAGTAATGAGAGCTAACCTTGCCTAGTAGTGTATTCTCAATAAATTCCAGAAATCTATTGGAAATATCAGTAGGAAGGTGGCTCCATTCACTTACTTCCAAAAAGATTTCTGTCAATCTACTATTGAGGATAAAGTACCTTTCATCAACCTGTCAACAAACAATCAGCTGGTGCTAGGAAGGTCTATCGTTGCAGCAACATACAAGAATATCAAATTAACTATTTTCGTACCTTCCCAGAAAGATTGTTTTCTGGATTAAGGGGAAAAGAACCAAGTAACTTTTTCGATAACAATGACGCTATGTCTTGATCCAGTATCATCAGAGTAACTTCTTCAGATGCGGGTAGCCATGTATTCTGTCTCTGAGTGTGCCTATGAATGGAAAACTTGATTGCATAACGTATGCTGCAAAGTATATGGTTGATACAGTTAAATGATGGTGCATCGAATCCTCGCGGAGCATGAATCAATGGAATGAAATCTTGGAAACAATTGATTAAGACTCCAACAATCTCCTTCAATCCCCCGGAGACATGGGAAAAATCTGTAAGAACCCATTAAAAAATGGTTAAAATCTGTAAACTTCAGCACATGCAAAATCATAGAAAAAGGAACCATTGGTGCTATCTAATTACTAAGAAAATCAAATCTACGTGGCGACATTTTTATATCCAAACCATAGATTATGAATTGTGGGGAGAGACAGTAGAACAAAAATAAAGGGATATGAAATTTTAAATATGCAACAGCTACTTATTTCTTCCGAGCTTTGCATAGCCAATCTGAAAGTCGTACTAGAGAGGAAGAGGGCAAAGGAAAATGGACTAGTTGTACAGTTGCTAAGTGCATAGGTTCAAGAAAACATGCTACAAGCCATATACCAATAACTTATGAGAAAAAAAAACAGATGGTACATACGAGAAGATACTTTTGCACCATCTTGCTCATACGCGAGTATCGGTTCATTCCGTAAAGGTCCCTGCAAAAGATTGAAAAAGGGGCATAAAATGTAAAACAAAAGAGTTAGAATCGGCACAACAGAGCAAATTCCCAGAGTGGTTATGCGAGTATCTAAAATTAAAGAAATAGTAATAAATACAAAGGATCTCTCTGAACTAATTTCATAAGACAGTGCCTTTATTGGGAAACTTGTTGATAGGCGTCACCGTTCTTTGAAAATATTATAGACTCTCCAAGAGGTAAAAAAATTTCTCCATATGGTTCCCTCGGATTTTAAAGATATAGCTGCATTCTATATACTCAGCCTTTTATCAAGATAGATACCAAAAAAAGAAAAAGCAGAACCATATACATCGCTATGCTACTTCCTGGCATGCACAAAACAAGAACTTTGGAGTCATCAGGAGTGGAAATTGATTAGATACCTGCTTTTGTGATTCGATGTTACTCTCATCACATGGCAACAGCGACAGGCAATGTGCCAACCCAGAAAGAGCTACCTTTAGCTTGTTTTTATCTTGGACATAAAAATGGTTTTTTTGAATAATATCCTTGTAGTTTTCGAGAATCTGCAACAAGTAGTAGATGGAAATTTCAGGGAAAGTCTTGCAAGAATAAACATATAAAGCAAAAAGCTACAGGCAAAAAATGGAAATGTAAAAGTCTGTGTCATAATCAAAGAAATCATAGTAGTCACCTTTTCAGCATACAAGGAAAAGGTAGGCGGGTAGTACTCCACAACAAGGTGGAAAAATTTAAAAGCCATCAACCGAACATCAATCGCTGAATTAGTCATACCGTTAAATACGTATGACATTAAAAGTGACACCATAGGGCCCTGGCTATCCTGAATAGATTCACATATAATCGGCTGTTAGATACAACAGTTAATTAAAGAGGCAAGTTTAAAAAGGGGATGCATAAGAAACAGACTATACACCATATAAATTTCAAATTTACATATTGAACTCATAATATGAAATGGAACAAACACAACAAAGTAAGAGAACCAACGTAAGTGGATCAAATGAAAATAACAAGTGGAGAACAAAAAAAAGAGAAGAACTGATACCTCCTTACAAGCAGGAAAGATCTCACTCTCAAATAGTTGATAAAAAGTATCTCTCACTAGCATATCATCATCATTAATGCGTTCCCTGAGTTTCTGTATGATAGTATATTTATGTGACTGCAGCTCTGCCGGATAATTCTTTAAAAGGTCTTTGATACCGTGTAATGCATCTACATTGACAAAACACCAAAATTGATCCACGGAACAACATAGCAAGGAATGATATTTTCCTCAACCAAAAACATCTAATTCAACATGAGCAAAAGAAAAAAAAAGAGTACCCTTGCGAACTTTGGCATTGTGATGAGAAGTTTGATGCAGAAGCTCTTTCAAGGTCAAACCTTTCTTACTTGTAGCTAAGCCACTCTTTTCAGCTCCCACACTTTGTTCAGGAAGTATAATAGCTGCAGCAATTTCAAAGATAAGCACAGAGCTAAGCTAATAAGGGAAGAAGAAGAAAAACTGAATTTCAGAAGAAAGCAGATACCTTTGGATTTAATCTCAGTGTTAGTTGCATTCTTCGGTGGAGGCAATTTTCTCCCGAGCTTTCTCTTAATTTTCTGCCAAAATAAAACAAAATATCATCAGCACAATTCATCAAACACTTGAAGAAGAAGAAGACTCATCGAATTTAAGAAGAAAAGAGACAAACAAGTTTAAAAAACACACCTTGAAATCAATTCCTTTCTTTTGCTGCTTCTTTGCAGGAGCCTTGGAGCGAACCATATTTTATATATCTTAAATACAGCTACTGTAAAACCCCAGAAGCAACTCAAATTAGCTTCCCCTGAAGCTTAGAGATAAACAATCACACAGACGTAAAAACTCAATCAAGAGTGTCTCACAAATACCTAGTAACAGGGGGGAGACAGAGGTGGTGGCGGAAGGGGACTGTATTATTCGGTTAAGGCTAGGCTTTTAATTAGACCGGTTTAGATGCTGTAATTAAACCAAATCCGCCAAACGACGCCGATTTGCAGGTGGTGCTGAGGATACCGCCGGCAACGAATTTAGGCGAAGGAAAAAAACAAGACAAAGGCCACGTAGGGTTTAAGACTTTAAGGTTATTTTTTTGTTTTTTCCTTTTTTAGTCCATTTAAAATTATTTAGTTCCCTCAAAAGTTATAAAAAAAAAGTTAAGGAAGTGATTACAAAAAAAAAGTTCTTAAACTTTCTTTTGGATCAGCAGCAACTATATTGAGCTCTATTAGAATTAAATCATTCGTGAGGATTTATATATATAGCATCAAACTACAAGATCGATGTCTGAAGTCTGAACATTAAGGAGATTCATGCAATATTCATCTATAATGGGGCTCAAGAGAAACTTGTATAATGAATTGATTGTTTTCCTCCTAATCAGTGTATTCACTTGGTGAAGCTTGTGCAGATTCAATCCTTAGACGAGTCCATGGAGACCACCTCTCCATCCATAATATAAGGGTTGAATTGCTTTATGACATGCTCATAGACAGGTCTCTTGAAGTATACAGCCTGTCAGAAGAACGAAAGAATTATAAGGCCGACATATTGCAGGCACACACACACAAGCACAATAATACTCTAAAGGCAAAAGCTCACTCACATGTTCAATCACTTGTTCTGGTAGCATCCAAGACCACACCTTAAACTCTGGTTTTGCAGTACCATCTCCAAGGAGATTTATCTCTTCCTCTTCGCCCGTAAACTTGAAGAGAAACCTGTATCAGACAAACATCATGAACAAACAATTGTTTGGATCCTGTATATGCAGCTATAAGATTGTTTCCACAGATATAGTAGACTGTTATAAGCTTTAGTTGTTACCACTTCTGAGCTTGGCCTTTGTAGCTTGTTCGCCATTTCCGGTTTAGTTTATCCTTCACGTCTCGGGGAAAATCATAGGTCAACCAGTTTGGAATCTAGATTTTTAAAATAGTCAAAAGCTCAGTTTGGTGATACACAAAGCAATTCCAACTCTGATTCCGAAAACCTTAGAAATGAATCTTGTTGAAATAGATTTAACAATTTACTATGAGAGAGATGTCAAAAGCGTGCCTCCGCAATGAATTCCGCAGAGGTAACCCCTGTTTCTTCTCTAAGCTCTCGAAAGGCAGCGTTTCTCAAATCTTCTCCCTCATCAGCACCACCCTGTAAAAGCAGAGTTAGTAAACATATGCCCAAAATTGATACCCTACACCTACAGGATCATAAGCTGGTGAATCTCCTTTGTCCCAAAAAAAAAAAAAAAAAAAAAGCTGGTGAATCTCCAGCATAACCTATTTCTCAGTTTCACTTTCTCATATCCTCACTGCGAGTTTGAGATCCTTATAGTCATTTGCATTTGGTCCTTACCATGGTTATAACTTTGTATTTTCAAATGAACTAGCACACCTCTATCAAAACAGTACAAAGGAGCTGTTGTTTGGTGAGAAGTGAGAGCTAAGCTCTCCAAAGCAATCAAATTACTCAGCAAACAAAGGACTACAATAAACCCATTTTGGAATCACAAAGAGAGCTAATAGAAGATTCACCTGAGGCATCTGCCATGTATCCGGAACATGAATCTTCGACGCCGTAAAAATCTGCCAATTCCAAAACCATTTTTCAAATCCCAATCAAGTGGACAAACTCGTTCCAAATCAGATAAAAGGGAGAAAGGAGTTACCTTTCTACATGGGCTAACGAGACAAATCCCAACATTTTTCCGGTAACCAACCGGAGGAGACTCAAATGTTATAGCCGGCGGAGATAAGGCAACGGATAAAACCACCAGTGGCTTTGGAGAAGAGACGGGAAGTTTCAAGCAAGAGAGTTTCACAGGAAACGAACAGCAATCTAGATGAACTGAGACTGCTGATTTCCCTATGAATCCAGAAGCCTTCACGGCCATGACGACGGCAACTTCTTAATAGCGCGGCTTCCTCCTTCGTCCCCGGCTCAGAACTATCGGTGATTGGTTTTCATGTTCTCTCTCACAAGTGATAGAAATATATTATTACGACAATACCCTTACTCGCTCGCATACTCAAAACGACATCGTTTCGACCGTCTATGGTCTTAAAGTCAAAACTAGAGCAATTCTGTAAGTCAACATGAGCTCAGAAGGCCATTGAGCTATTAACCCAAAGCAAAGCCCAATTAATGGATTTCTTTTGTTCTATAGACGTAAAATAAAATAAGGGTTTGGCGTAAAGATTCGATATAGCCAAATCTTTTTTTTTTTTGACAAACAATCATATCAAACTAACAAAAAATGTACAATTTCCTTTCTCCATGAAGTTATATTACTTCTTTAATCATTAGTTTTCGTTTCTTTTTGTTTAAACGTTCGTTAATTTCCTATTTTTCTATCGCACAATAATCAATTTTCTAAACAAGCACATAATGTATCCATAATCCCATTCATAAATATTTTTATTACCAAATATCATATTACTTACATTACCATACACTGTTATCGTTATTAAATTAATAAACTTTCTACACAGACTATATATTAAACTTCTCTTTTTTCCACTAAACCTCCTAACAATAATCACCACCGGAGCTCCGACATGACTTTAAAAGAATGTGGCTCTCACCACAGCCACTCAAGGTACCGTAAAATCCTCTACAGGGTGATATGGCCATTATTAATAACCCTCTTCGTAGTCCTTCTCTCAATTTTCCTGATTTGGGTAATCCATCGACCATCTAAGCCACAATTCACCCTCCAAGACGCCACCGTCTACAACTTCAACGTCTCGGGAAATCCACCGAACCGCCTCTCCTCAGCCTTTCAAGTCACTGTCTCCTCTCGTAACCCTAACGGTAATATCGGTATCTACTACGACAGTCTCGACGTCTACGCTTCTTACCATAGCCAACAGATCACTGTACCGACATCGATCCCTACGACTTACCAAAGACATAAAGAAGTCACCGTTTGGTCTCCTTTTGTCGGTGGTGACTCTGTTCCCGTCGCACACTACAACGCTAAGTATCTCGATCAAGACCATAAAGCTGGCTCCATCAGGTTGGACCTTCATCTCGACGGAAAAATCCGTTGGAAAACTTTCATCACCAGAGAATATCACCTCCACGTTCGGTGCCTCGCGATTATTAACTTCCGTAATGAGAACTCCGGAGTTATTGTCAGAAACAACGCCGTTAAATATTCCCTAACCATGCCTTGCAGTGTTAGTGTCTGAGAAAAGACTACTTGTGACGGTGATATCATCAGGTCACAGATTTTTTATTATTAGTTACGTAATATATTTTGGTACTTTCGTATAAAGTTTTTGAAGTATTAATTCTTTCACTAGAAAGGTTCAATAAGAACATTCAAATATAGCGTAAGAATGAGGTCCAATTCGATCATTGCCGCAATGATCGTTATATTTCGTTACCAACTAATACTGATGCGACTTCTTTTTGTTATTATGTTTTTTTTTTCTTATACATTCTGCTGACTCTCCCACGTGTTTGGTTTCCTTTGTAGCCGAATCCTACATTGTTTTTGTTTAACCTATTTGAATACACAATCCTAGTATTGGAATCGAAGTAAGCGTGTAAATTATATAAGAAGATGTATAATGGGAACTCGGAACTGAGAATGAATAATCATCATACATGAGATAACCAAAGGATAACGTAAGTAAAATTATTGAATTGTTCATGAACTTGTACCAATATTGGTTCGTTGGTAACACCATCCATACCAATTCAACGTTCGAGTCATGATGCATTGAAGTAAAAAAAAAAAAAGTCATGATATGCATTCTAAATTTTCACAATGATTATTAACAAAACAAACTTGTGGTGAGAACCACCAAAACTAGCTAGTTCTATGAAAAGTCCCAGAAAGAACTAAAGTCTTCATCATTTGTTTGTCGAAATCAACTGAACTATTTCGTCCAGACAACTAAGCTCGAAGGATCTCGTGAAATATATTTGTTTAATGTTCTATTTAGTTTAATGTGTAATTACGATATACACTGACACCGCATTTTATAATGAAAACGTTTGTTCAGCAGTTTTTTCTTCTCTTCAATTATTGTATTACTAGTTTCAGAGTACTTTTGATATATATTATTTATAACTGTTTAAAATTTAATATAATGTTCAGTTGGGATCTAGTATTATTATTCTTTGGTTAAATCTGCTTGACCTTTCTCATTTAAGAAAGATGTAACATCTGAAAGCATCTCTTCAGCTAATAATCTTCGTTTTACAATTACAGGTCACATCATCCCAACAACACCAACCTCCCCTAGTCTTTGCAATGTTAAAAACCAAACAATAAAAAGTCTTTGCAATGTTTAATTTTCTTTGAAGTTGAGAAATTTTTCACATTAAACATTTTCATTAACTGATAAAAATAACTTTCATCTGTGGAATTGTTCTCATATATATGGAAACCCCACCTTCAGTTTCAACTTGCAACCAACACATATAATTCCGAAAGTCTGGACCGGGACTGGCTTGTACTGTTTCTATATTTTGTATAGACTTATTAGAGTTTTGCACCATTGTCTAAGTTCTTCTTGCTCAAAAGTCTTTCGTCAAGATTCGAAAAACAAAGGTTTTGGCTACCTTAGCGCGGAGTCGCTATTGTGGAAGTTTCTCGGAAGCTTACAAGGAGGAAGTATTACTTTTTGTAAATATGACTCTCTTTACACAATTCACAAGCCAACTACCGCACTAATCAAGGATTATCACATTCCCACAAAGTGCATATCTTATATATAAATATTCACATTTGACAAAAATAAAATACTCCACACTAATCTCATTTAATCACCAAATCAATCCAAAAATGATAATAATAATTATCTAAAATGTAAAGGAAATTTTGATAAAGAATTTGAAACGTTAATTAAACTGTTAAAATCATAAATATCTAAGAACGATGTCGCATCACGCAAGTAACCTCTAAATTAAACCGTCCCCGCGTCACCATTGACTTTGAAAACACAAAACCGCGTCAAGTTAAATCGTTTTATCTAATACACGTTATCTACCCCTACAGTGTATATATATATGTACACATCTTCTTCTTCTTCTTTACTAATTACTTTTTTTCAAAATCTTATAACAAAACCTAAAGCTTTCTTTTCACATTTTTTTAATATTTCATCGGAGCCATTTCAATCGATACACATGGGGGACTTAAACGGTGCGTATTACGGACCATCGATTCCACCGCCGAAGAAAGTCTCTCACAGCCACGGCAGACGCGGCGGCGGATGCGGTTGTTTAGGTGACTGTCTTGGTTGCTGCGGCTGCTGTATTTTAAGCGTCATCTTCAACATCCTCATAGCCATAGCCGTCTTGTTAGGCATAGCTGCTTTGATCATCTGGCTCATATTCAGACCCAACGGTATCAAATTCCACGTCACGGATGCTAAGCTCACCGCCTTCACACTCGACCCGGCCAACAACCTCCGATACAATCTCGACCTCAACTTCACGATCCGCAACCCTAACCGACGTATCGGTGTTTACTATGACCAGATCGAGGTCAGAGGACTCTACGGCGATCAGCGGTTTGGTTCCAGTAACATCTCGCCGTTTTACCAGGGGCATAAGAACACCACGGTGGTCGGAACTAAACTCGAAGGACAGCAGTTGGTGGTGCTTGACGGCGAAGACAGGAAGGATCTGAACGAGGATGTGGTTTCTCAGATCTATAGGATCGATGCGAAGCTTAGGCTGAGGGTTAGGTTTAAGTTTGGGTTGGTCAAGTCGTGGAGGTTCAAGCCAAACATCAAGTGCGAACTCAAGGTTCCTCTCAGTAACCCCAACACGACCAGCGGGTTTCAGTTTCAGCGGACCAAGTGTGACGTTGACTTTTGATGCTAGTCAGAGTCAATGCTGTTATACACTTTTGTTTATTTGATTCTTATTTTCCGGTTTAGATTGTTTTCTATTTGATTATTTTCATACGTTATATCGTTGCAGAGGTATATATTTGTCATTATGTAATTTCTTTATTGTATGGTACTACTTCCATGTAAATAAATAATTACTTTTGATATTACAATTATTTTTTCCTTTTTTATTACCTTCGAATGAGTGTTAAAACCAGCATAAACGACACTAACATCATTATCCTACATTCCTACATTTACTTAATCTTAATAACTATATAACCACACTTAACATTATGATCTGTCACTGATTTAATGTGGCTCATGAAGAATTGATCCATGTATCAAAAATCCTGTATCTTCTGCTTCCCCATTGATCCATTTTGTGTTTGTAGAATGAGAACAAGCAACATTGCACCCATGGAGGATTTCTTGGCACTTGCTCCACCTCCTCACCTCCCAACAATCTATTCAGCTTCTTGCCTATAGCCTCTTCGTTGGAATCCTCACACCCGAAAAACTTTTCCTGTCAACAGAATTGCAGATATAAAATTTTGGAAAATCAATCCTCAACAAACTCAACAATCATTAGTAGTTTTTTACCCCTTCATCAGCATATACAGAAGCGTGGATTCTGGCAGTTGCATCTTCTAATACGGCTAGCAATTTGAACTTCCCGTTGGAATCGCGGAGTTTTCTGACATCTGGGGGATACACTTGTATGAATCGAACAACACACCTGAATTTAGCTGTCACCTGCATAAGCATGACTGTACATCAATTCAAGAAAGTTTCTTTACTCATTATTCTACAACTTGGGATAAATCGAAGCTTTTGGGACACAGTACATTGTGATGGGTCAAGATGTCCATTAGAGAAACAAATGGAGCGTCTTCATGGGCAACCCCTAAAAAGGATTAGACCATTAGTATTTATATTACCAAAATTTTTTAATGTTATGTAAGATTTCTACAATTCAAAACTGGTTATTACCTGTGATACCTGAATGTGAGCGACTAATACTACGTGCAATCGGGTTCCATCTTGATGAAAGCTTCTCCCCCCACATTCTGAGTTTGTTAAAAAAAAAGTGTGTTTTATGCTGAAGAACAAACGGACGTAGCATAACCTCAACTCACAGGCTAAGAAAAAGCGTCAGAATAAACCTTTGAGGACTAAAGGGTTGCCTTTCTCTGCTCATTGTGTATTGCATCTTTGTAGAGGGAGTAAAAGTGGCGTTCCATAATCCCATATTTACTTGAAAGAAAATGTTTAGAAACTTCACGTGCTGACCAGGTTGGAGACAGTGAATGGCCTGCTTCTCACTAACTCTATCTACTATGATCCTCAAAACAGAACCAAAAGTAGGAAACTTGCGTAACATGTATGTAGGCAACATCTCGGGTTCGACACATAAAGGAGGCCTTTCTGACCTGTTATAACATCAAATTATAAGCCAAAACACTGAGCTTTCAAGAGTGACATGGGTAAAACGTTTGCGATATATGACCCGAAGCTTGGAAATGAATAAGAGAAGCTTTTTGTACTCGTTGGTATTCGGAGGAGGAAACATATACGTACTTTACCAAGATGTTGCACGGTGGCAGTTCAGTTCCATCCCAAACATAAATGTACCACCTATCTTTATAGACCTTGGAAATGTGAACAATCTTCAGAGGAAACAAAAAATGAGAAACGATTTCAAAGACATAGCAGATCATAAGACAATTCCAGTTCCACAAATAGAAACAAACATATATGAAACATAAAATCAAAATAAATTCATTTTAAGATCAATCTACCTGGCAAGATAGGTTTGAGCATTCCCCTTCTTTGATATCTTTCAGGGAGGTGAAAGAGCAAGAACCTATCATAAAACAAAACAAAACTTAGAACAATAGAACCTTAACACAGAACCTATTTGAAATCAGATAAGAAGCAACCATTTTGCATATGGAGATTTCAGTGAACATAATTACCATCTTCGAACTTGTAAGAAACCATCCATTCTCTCAGAGTCGACAAGAAGCTTTTATCCTGTTCTCTCATCAGAAACTTAGGTGACGACTGGTATGGTATAAAATCAACGCCATGTTCTCCATTAAATAGAGAAAATGTCGAAGAAGAAGTTTCATTGCAGAGAGCTGTAATTTTCCGGTTAATCAGCACAATCTGGGTTAAGAGATAAGAGTTCAATCCCAGAAGAAACGAATTGTCAACCAAAAATCTGAAAGAGAATGGTGTATGTATCGACCTTTACACGTGACAGCAAGATTATATCCCCAATCGATTCAACACGAGGAAGCGAACGAATGGTACGAGCGACAAACTTAACGGGAAGGGCAGATCCTGAATGCCATGGATCAACGATTTTGAGCGAACATGAAAAATCTGCAACAAAGTTCGAGCAATCGGAAGGAGAATGAAAACGAAGCAATGAGAAATGGAAATTTTCGGAAATTGCAAAAAAAGGTCACCATACCAGAGCCAGTGGAGAAATCTAGCTCGACGATGACTCCAATGAGGTTAACATGGAGATGCAATGCCTTAAATGCGTCTTGAATTCTCAGGAATTTGTAGTCATCCCTAATCTCCATGTCTGTGAGACTGTGATCGTTGGGGGTTTTTGCACAGTGTTAAAGGAACTGAACAAAACCGATGACGACGACTCGGCGCCACTCTACCGAGCTCATGAGTCGTTTAGAGGCTTCCCCAACTCTAATGGGTCTTAAAGGCCCAATATGAGTGATTAATGGGCCGTCAGCTAAAACTCTAGCTTAATGAATTTGGTTGGATGGCCACAACACAACTAATCATTAGTTTGCTTACATCACCGTTAAATATGTTTTGTTTAGACAAATGTGGTCCGAAATAAAAATAGAAAGAAGAGGGAAGATAATAAGCCTAGAAAAAAATAACGAAGTATCTTTTTATTTATTTTATCTATAACAAACATTTAAATCTTAAGTGATGAAAGATGCTATATGAGTTTTTCTTTCTATTTTTATATGTAAGACCACCAGCTCATACAATCTTCTTGATCATCGTGATATCTTAGCGACAGCGACTTCAAATTATACTCATTTTTAAGGTCTTCAAACTTGTTTAATAATAGTAACATATAAATATTGACATTATTTGTGATCTGAAAAATCCAACATAAGTTCGACAATTATGCAAAACCATGAGTTTAGATACTTGATGTTGACAAAAAAAAAAATGTAAAAGCTTAGATATCTCAGATTTTTCATACCTTGATCTTAAAATAATTAATGAATCTTTAGGAAGATACTTACATTCTAATTATAATTTGCGTTAGGATATACGACAAGGTGAAAGTTTTACTAGTATTTAAAGTCGTCACATTTCAGTCTTGTTTCCATATATAGAAAGATAGAAACAATCTTCTATATATGATTTTACCACTATTTTGTTTGTCAATTCGACTATCCAATTACAAATAAATTCATAAACATTTTACCATTAGAAACAAGAAAAATACATTTTTGTGGAGTAGGCTTTGTTGTAAAAACGAAAGTATAAAAGCAACTAAAACTCTTTATTTATCTTAGGTACGTAACACGTATTGTATTCTAATGGTTTGTGTGGCTTTGGTCTTCAAGTCTAATAAGTAAGAAGCATCATTCAAATTTGATGCGATGTAAAAAGGTTTAGTCAAAGGATGAGATGTAAGTATCATCCAAATTTTGTTGGATGATTACATCATCTGACAACTGTTATATATTCAACTTCTTTAAAAATATATATGTTGTATGCCAAACTAATAAGTAGTTCATATATATTTTTTCCTCTCTACTTATGAAACATATCCTTGCTTGATTCATGAAACTTAAAAGAGGAGGATGTTCATTAAGTCATTAGATTAAGATTAACAAGCCGTTTACTATATTTATTCAACGCTACAAAAATCCCCTTGCTTTACAGGGAGTGTTATGAGTATTATTAAACTAATATGGGTTTTTTTTTTTTCATATCCATTTATGCATTGTCCATTTGCTCACACACACAAACACATTTAAAATGTAATATACATGTGACCAAAAAGAAAGAAATTTTTTTAAAAATGTGGGTGTCAAATGTGAATACGGGGGGGGAGGGACTATTGCTTTAGAGGGTGGAAGTTTGATAAAGACGTGAAGAACTAAATAAGTGATTACGTGATTACGAGACACCTCGCCAGACTTTTTAATTAATAACTCCATTAATCAAACATAAAGTTTCTATAATATTTTGAATAATCTGATTATTTCCTATTTCATTTTCTTTTCGAAATTGAAAATGCAAATTTCAAACCGCGAACGATAGGAATAGTCATAGAAATCAAAACGGATTAATTTTACTTATCATCCTCTCCTCCTCTACAACCTGAATATAGTTAAAAATGAACCAAATCGAAACCAAATCAGATCACTGAGACAAGTTACAATATCTTATACATAAAACTTTTCCTAGCCCTCGATTAGAAAACTAACCTCTTTCTTCTTCATGTGGTTGTCAAATCTACAACGTGTACTTAGATTATATTAAATTAGCAAATTGCATTATCGTAGCTGTTTTCTAAGTATTTGTTGATCACTGGAAAAAGTGAATATTTTCTGTGTTATTAGCATTGTTGTTAATATACATAAATAATACGATGTTCTCCTCATAAATTTTTTACCAGACATATATTACTAGTTTCTACTGTTTTCGATTTTAGGGTTCACATCACATTCTAGCTATAAAGCATATTGTAAGTGATCGTTGTTCAGCAGCTTTCCGATGTTCATTCATATGCACATTAATGGATGAAACAGAATTCTAAATAGTGCAGCCATCGTGTGATCATGTATGCATGCGTGATGATACAAAGAGTTCTATATGTGTCCAAATTACTTCTTTTTCCCCCTATCAATGAAATATAATTAAGACCAGTACACGAGTGGTTCTGAAAACTAAAAAAAATGGACTAGGGCGATCCCATCCAAATATCCAACAAGTACATAGTTTCTGGTGAGATGGAGATTACTAAAAATGAAGATGTGCAACTAAAAACATGATCCATGAATTGGGTTTGTATAGAACTAATCAGATACAAAATCTCTGAACAGATCTTCCAACCTGTGAATAGATCTAATCTAAAACATAAATAAAATACAAAATTAGAGACCATATCAATATTATAAATCACGGCCGTATACAGACACAAAATGACTTTTCAAACAAATCTATTATAATACAATATCTAAAATTAATGTAAGAAATTTGTAACAACAATACTATAATAACAAAATGGTATATATACACACTAGGCTAGCTGGATAAATAAGATATATATATATATATATATATATATAAAATTTATAAAGCCGTGTTATAGAGTTTCCATGGAATATTCAAACTACAAATTTAAAAAGTAATTAAAGAAGAAGAAAAAAAAAAGACAGGTTAATTCTACGCGAGAAGTGAACACAAAATAAAATAATAGAAACATATAGGAGAATAAGTAAGTGATAATAAATAAAAGGGGGAAGGGCATGGGAATCGCATTTACATATATAAATCTCTCTCCCTTCTCATCTATATATATATATATAAATACTAAACACAATTCCAAAGTGTGGTCTCATTCATCATAATAATCATAGAATTCTAACTTTTGAAGCTCTATAGAGAGAGAGACAAAGAAAGAGAAAGAAAGAGAGAGAGAGAGAGAGAGAGAGAGAGAGAGAGAGAGAGAGAGAGAGAGATGGAAGAGACAAAATCAAGATTCAAGAGGATCTGTGTCTTCTGTGGAAGCAGTTCCGGCAAAAAACCTTCATACCAAGAAGCTGCTATTCAATTGGGTAACGAGTTGGTACGTTCTCTCTTCCAACTCTTTTTCCACTTTTATAGTTTATTTTGTACATTCCTCCTATTCACAACTCACACACAAAGAGTACACAGTCTTCATCATCTTGTTGCATCTTTTTAGATATCTCTTTTTTTTTTTCTTTTTGACAACTTGTTTTGTTTAAAAAAGGGCTGATTGATTACAAGAATGAAGGTTTGATATGAGATACAAACTGTGAGAATCTTTCTTTTGATACATTAGCTATTATGGGGAGGTTTTGATTGTGTGTTGCAACGAACAATGATGAATCTTTGCTGATTTTAAAATTTTCTTTTTTTTCTTAGTAAAATCGAATTTGTGTATATGTATGGTTTATTGTTATGTTATTGGCATGAGAGAGATATGAGACAATAGTAACTTCTACTATGCTTAGCTGTAACCCGCCTGTCACTGGAGCAGCACTCTTGCATGATCTCTTCTTCTTTTCTTTTTATTTTGTTTCCAGTAATTTTTTTAACATTATTATTACACACATAAATCTTGTTTTTTCTCTTGTTACTCTGGTCTGGTCTGGTCTCTGAGGTTATCCTATGATTTGTCTTAAACCTAAAACTTAAGTTTCCCAAGTATAACCCAATGATTTTGTTTACGGGGAAGGTAAAATAATAATGACAGTTCTCACTCTCTTTTATTGCCTCGAGGGACAATAAAAAACCAAAAAAATATTTGTTCGTTGGAAGAATAATGACTCTATTGTACAAAGCGTGTGTTGTGGGGTGTTGTACTACTTCTTCAACAACACAATATTATTATTAAACAAAAAAATAAAACTAATAATTTGTAGTATTTTTTGTGATTGATCTGTAGGTAATAATAATAGTATTAATAGGATGGTGACCATTGAGATTAGGATTGATGATGATGATGAGCTTTTTTCTTTCTCCTTTTTCTTCTCTTAATTGTGCGATTTGATCTTTGATGTGGTTGCTTCTTTTTGGGGGTCGATTGCGGGTTTGGGTTTGTGACACGTGTTCGTTTTTTCATCATGAAAACTCTGTTATCATAAATAATGCATATAATAATAGTAATAATAATTATTAAAAAGAAAGAAACTGATGGGTGGGAATGTGGTTGAAGGTGGAGAGAAGGATTGATTTGGTATACGGAGGTGGTAGCGTGGGGCTTATGGGTCTCGTCTCTCAGGCTGTTCATCATGGTGGTCGCCATGTTCTAGGGTTTGTTCTCTCTCTCTCTCTATCTATCTATCTATATGTACATTCACTCACGCATCTCTATGTATTCATATGGTGCATTTTGCTAGTTCCGAGTAACTCATTACTCATCATTGTGTTTTTAAACATGAAGCCTATAATTAACCCTATTGTCTGTCGCATGGAATTTGATTAATCTTTGGTTATATGAAGATATTTATAATAAGAGAGGCAAACATAGCAACGACAAAAAAGGATCTGTGCATGTTTCCTTTGTCCAAAAAGTGTCTCTTTGCCTCTCTTTAAATTAAGATACAACTAGCTCTCTTATGTGTATGTATGTATGTGTGTTTGTTCTTTCTATGAGAGAATCCCGTTTCAATTATCTATACCAAAATGGTCAACTATCTTATTTTTGTCTTAAATTTAATGTAGACTGAAATCTAAACCGGTCTTTTTGGTTGTTTTGGTATGCATCATGACTAACCGGTATATTCTCTTATTGATTGTAGGGTCATTCCAAAAACCTTGATGCCAAGAGAGGTATGCACCAAATAAAGCTCTATTGAATAAAATCTCCTTTTTTTTTTGTTGGACTTGGTATTATATATACTATAGTATTATTGAGATAGAAATTGCCTTGTAATGATCTACATAAAATAGTGGTAGGACCAAAAAAGGAATGATTGAGACTTGGAGCGTTTTTTGGTTTCCTTCACGATACATCTCCTTGACCAACTAATATATTTATATATGTATAAAAAACCATGCAATATAATACTATAGGATATTTTGCGGTGTGTTCACATTTTTGGAGGCAGTAATAACTAAAAAAATGTGGTGGTGATTATATTGTAGATAACCGGTGAGACCATCGGAGAAGTGAAAGCCGTCGCTGACATGCATCAAAGGAAAGCCGAAATGGCTCGTCAAGCTGACGCCTTCATTGCTCTACCTGGTTAGTAGTCCAAGTTTTGTTCATTATTTAATAACAAATCAATTCGTTTAAGAAACTTTGTCTTAAGCCTAAAATATGTCAAATCATTTTTGTTAGGTGGGTATGGTACGTTGGAAGAACTGCTGGAAGTCATTACATGGGCTCAACTCGGAATCCACCGTAAGCCGGTACGTAATCAGGGAAATTTAGAATTTTTTTAACTTTTACGGATTAATATAAATTATATGATGATATGAGCTTTGCATTATTGTTACATGAGTTACGACCGGAATATGCGTGTTGAATATTTATTCTCTTAGTTTAAACCTTCGAAGAGATTTGACTGAATGAAAGATACAAATGGTTGCATATGGTACGTCGTAATAATCACATGGAACAAGATTCCTTTTTGAGATTCTTTATACCTTTATTTAAAAGTCTTAGTTTAATTGTACACATTCTATAAGCATGTAATATGAATATTTTTGCATGAATATAAAAAACGATGTGTTGTCACGACGTACGACTACATAACCCCTGATTGTGAGACCGGAAGCTTCCCATGTCGTAATCTTTCTTTTTATATAGACAACTCCATTTTAATAAACAAATATTTTTGGGTTTCTTAATTAACATTATTATTATTTTTGGTCAATAATTAATGACAGGTGGGTCTTCTTAACGTGGATGGTTACTACAACTCGCTGTTAACGTTTATAGATAAGGCTGTGGACGAAGGGTTTATATCACCAATGGCTCGTAGAATCATCGTCTCTGCACCGAACGCTAAAGAGTTGGTTCGACAACTCGAGGTATATATTCATGAATAACCGTGTGTTCTTTGCCATGTTTAAGACAGCATCGATCTAATGCGTGACTACTAATAAAATGTTGTGGTTGTTGTAGGAATACGAACCGGAGTTCGATGAGATAACATCAAAATTGGTATGGGATGAAGTGGACCGGCTAAGTTATGTACCGGGTTCGGAGGTTGCTACGTAAAAGATTATAAGATATTATGGGGGTTTTTGTTTTTATTTTTATTTTTTTGGGGTAAAAGCAGTGTACAGCGGAAAATTGAAGGGGGGTTTTTTAACATCAGAAGGAAAGGTCGGGAAAAGAAGACAAGAAAAAGAAAATATTGGGGTCGTTTTGATAACATTATATTGTAGGGGTGGTTAATATGTGAAGTGGATAAACCACGTGGGTAACTGCTAACCGCGTATATACCAAACCCCAAGATCCATCCCCACTTGTCTCTCTTTGTTCATTTTGGTTTAATGGAAAAAAAAGCATAGGGCCTCTCAAGAAATGACAAAACGATCCTTTTCTTTTTGGATATTATTTTATTATTCTATCTTCTAGTTTTCCTGATAGCAAGTTGTACATTATTTGATAAATTCAATTTTTTTTTTCTTTTTAATCCTTAACCAGTGCATACCGTTATACGATGTATTTTTGGCAAACTCTCTGTTCCAACAAAATAAAGCACCTCTGCAAAAACTATTCAATCTTGAGTGGGCTTGTGAAAGTTCTTGTCGTTAATACCACCAACAATTCAAAAGAACACGAGTGCATGGTTTGCATTCAGGGCCAGTTTGATGCAACTGGGTCAGAAGAAATCTTTGACCTGATTGGGCTCAGAGATGCGAGAACTACGTGGACATTAAGAATCAAACGACGTTGGATTTAATTGAAAGACCAAAGTTGCATCAGCTCCTAACATGTGGGCTGTGTGGGCCAAAACAAAAGTGAACTCATAGAGCTTCAACTGGAACCAAACCATAATACAGAAAAGTCGATTACCAATTTTTAGCTTCAGCAACAGCCTAACAAGATAGGATTGACCTTAACGTATGATACGAATTAACTTGAGCAGCAGAAATGGACTAAACATGTTTAAAGAATGTTGTATGGAGTAGCAGTAATTAAGTTCCTTGGAGAACTCTTGTTGATCAAAAACTGACTCTGCCTCGAAGATTATATTCTTCTTGTCAGTACGATGGCTGAACAAAACTAATATGTTACAAAAAAAAAGTTTATTTCATACAGTATAGTTAGTTAATCTTGTTAATATTAAGCACCATTGGTATATATTATTGATTAGGTAAATAGCCAAGTATGAATCAAAAATAAAAAGACTTAGATAGATATTAAATTAATTATTAGTACATAGGAAAAATAATGATTCTTTAGGTTGGTTGGATTCCGAATAAATTTCATCTAATCTTATATATCTGCCCATCTTGAATTGTATATTATTATAAGTGTAGAGAAACTCACACCAAATATAGAAAAATAGATTAATAAAAAAGTAAACAAATCTTAAAAGTTTGTAATTTTGTCTTTCTTCCAACCAAAACAATAATTTCAGAAAATACAAAATAAAAAAAGGTAAACGTTTGATTATTAATTAGAATAAATATACACACATAATGAAAGTGACAAATGTTCAAATCATAGAGTCCAATAATTGAACCTCCTCCTTCAACACATACACACACACTCAGCCACAAATCAAACATAAAACAAAACAACAACTACAAAAGAAGGAAAAACAAACACACAAAGACTTTAAATGGAGATTCCGCCGTCACAATCTCTGGCGACACCGCTCCGCCGAACAAAATCCATAGCCACCATGAGTACTTCCGAGATACCTTTCGATATCGCTTCAACCCCGCCGTCTTCTTTCGACTACGACCTCATCTCCGTAAAACCATCTTCTTTCGTCGCCTACACATCTCTCAGAGACATCATCTCTTCTTCTCCGAGTAACTCGTCGCTCGCTTTACCGACCATTAACGGTAGCTGCTCTCCGGTTATTTCCACCGCCGGAGATATCTCGATTCGTAATCGTCTTGTCAAGCAAGCTGCTCTGTCTTATCTTCAACCAACGGCTTTGACTTCGTCGGACGATTCTCCTGGTTCTCAATTCTTCCGCCGCGTTTGGCTCCACATCTCTGCTGGGATACAGTTCTTGAGACGTGTGTTTGATTGGCTTTTTCAATCGATTCGTGTTCCTTTGATTGTCAAATAAATAGTGTTTTTCATACAAATTTTTATTTGGGGGTTATAAATTCTCCAAGAGGAATTGCATAACTTGGAATTTTTCAAGAATTGAAAACAAAAACTGTTTGCTATACAATAAAAAGTGTGTTACAAAAATTTTCAATTTTTTTTTTTTATTGGTTTGGTGATTCAAATTCCATCAGTCATATATGCAATTCCGGTATGACTGTAGATTCATTCCATTAGATTCATTCCATTTCCGGTGAACCAGCGGCTAAATTCCCGGTTATCGGGATTGTGGTTTAGAGTGGCTGCTAACGGAGAAACATAAACGAGGTTCTTGTTTGTTGTCTGTCTTTTGACTTTGATACATTTAGTTTCTGCAAAAAACAAGTAAAATGAGTTTGGTAAGAGATGCAGCAACAGAGCTTCAGAATCTGGTGAAGTAGAAGTAAGATTGTTTATTGTGTACCTTATCGATATAGAATTGTTTTTGCAATTGCCTGAAGATTTGGAGAGTCCAGTGATAGCCACATTGCAATAGTTGAACGATTAGATAATGTCCTCTGCTCTTTAAGACCGAGATCCCTTTGTCGATGTCCAGTTCATGCTTTGACATGTATGGACATAGTAGAACTTCGTAGACATAGCTGATACCCTGATCAGAAAACCAAAAAGGAGAAAGATTGTCTTGTTTTTTTCTTTCTGTTTTGTTATGTGAATGAATCACTGAAAGGTTTCTCGCATTGTTATGTACCTGTGATTTAGGGTACCATAGGTAGATGAGAAGAGCGATTTTGATCTCTCCGTAGAGTGGTAACCTGCAAAAGATGAATCAGAGGTTTTGTAACAACAAAGGAACCAATTGATGTAGGGTTGTTAGAGTTTGCTACTAGAGTACTACTAAACCATGATACAATGATGTCTCCTATCCTTTCGAACACTGTAAGAAGACCAACCAAGATCCTGCAAATCAAACAGGAATTTTAATAAGATGGGCGATATTAGAAGAATATAAGACACTGATAGTTTCATTATGACTTTATGAGCAGAAGATTCCTTATCCACAATATATTTTACAAAAGGAATCTTCTTTAATGAACAACCGGTAAGCTTTACCAATATTTGCACCAGTATCGAAGTTCGTGAATCTCAAGCTTTTTCTTTTCCACGCTTTTGTAGCATCCATATGCAGGGTACGCGTAACCCACAAGCAATCTGCCAAAATAGTTTCCAAAAAATCTAAGAGAGGGAGGAGATGAAAATGCCAAAAAGTTCACAAGATGAAAGAAGGAGAAGACGAGAAAGAGAGGGACTCACATTATGATTCTTGTAATGAAATCTCCGAGCATCTTTCGAACCACAACTACTATACAGACTTTAGGGTTGACGTCTTGGATCAAATCCCAAAAAACCCGGATAAACTGGTTGGTTTGTTCAGAGCACAAGACAATGAGAAGAAGAAACCAAATTAGGTTTAAGATGAGTTTGATCAGGAGAATTGCAAATAAAGAGAGACAGAGAGAGATAAACTGAAATGATTAAAGGAAATGGGAGAGAAGCGAAGAGAAGTTTAAGATTGCTTGAAAAGGAAGCTTCTTTTATATTTAAGTATTTTAGAGAAAGTCACTCTGTAATAAGGAAACGTTGCATTTTCTTGGGATGCCGAATTTTTTGTTCTCCTGCCAAAACGTTGTAACCGTTTTGGGTCAAAACAAAAAAAGAAAAATCATAAAGTTTTCCATGCTGGATCGAAGTAAATACTCTTTTTACATGAAGGTCTAGGCCCAATAAAAAGCCCAATATGATGCTATTCATCTCTGGTTTATAACTGGATTTGGCATTTGGAAGAACGTTTAGGGCAGAGCAAGGTCTTCTTGGTGACTGTTTCGTAAACAGTTTTCTTCTTTTGCTTTTCGTTTCATTTATTAGTTTTGTTCCTTCACATCAGAGAGCAAAAAAAAAAGAGTACACAGTAGAGAACAGTATAGCAGTATCAGCCTTATAAATGGCGTTTAATTTACTTTTATAACTCGAATTATTAATCTCACTTATAGAGCTTATAGCTTTATTCATCTCGGTTATGCTAATGACCCAAAGACTTATAGCTTCATGTAATCTCTTGTTTTGATGTTCATTATATATATACAATCAGTGCTCTTTCATGTATATATCAGTTACATATATTACTATTGCATGCGAATGTTAATGATGAGTGCCTTTTACCTTCTATAATCTTAAGTGTGTATTTATAGATTCATCGTTTAGTCGTTTTGATGATTAATGATGTATAGTATAATACAAGAAATTAATAACAAGAATTCAATTTTTTTAATTGTCTGACAGTATTGCTCCCCCTCATATAATTAAATTGATATGAAAGATGCCAGTTAAGACTTTTGGAAGAAAAAAAAAAAAATAATATATATATATATATATATATATATATATATATATAGGAGACTGATATACATACAATAGAGAAAAAAATATCGAAGCTTAAATGTGTGTACTGCACTCACAATAAAGAACAGCATAATAAGATTTCAACCACTCAAGTTTAAATGCATTTTTGAAGAAGCAATAATTAGTTGATTAAGTAGAAAAAAACAAATACATATAGAGAGAAATTAAAACTATGACATACCCTCTTTAAAGCTTGGTCAAATCTGTAAAGGGGGACAATTTTTGTTGTTGTTGTTGGTGGGATATTAGTGAGAAAGACGACCTTAATGATCATCTTGAAGTAGCATACAGTATAAATTGCAGAACTTATGTATATTTTTAATTACCACAAAAATATGAGATTATAAACTCTTAAGTATCCGCTTATTGTATGTAACGTTATGTTGTCAACAACCAAGAATTAAAGAAGAAAAGAATTACAATATTTTCGTAGATATACGAATACGACTGTGAGACTGTGACTAGTCATAATATAACAAGATCATGGGCACCGTCGAGATACGTATCTAACTAATACATTCGTAATTATCCTAAATGCATCGTTTTTGTGTTTATACATATCCAAAGAGTCTGCGAACCCGTAACTAATTAAGAAAACTTAGCGCAAGAAGACATGGTTGTCAAATTCAAAGTAGGGATGGATGGATGATTTTTGCATGCTTTTTCGTATTTGTGACGTGCAATTACATGCATGCGATCATTTAGTCTTGCGTTGTGTATATTTTGTTGATCTAATTCTGCCTCTTGGTCCTCAAATATCTTTAGGTGGGCCTCTTGCTTACAAAAGGGTCCACACCAAATCTACTAACCCTCTTGTCTCTCCCCTCTCCCTACAAACGCCAATTTATATGTATCTACTCGTCTCTTCATCATCACTCATGGCTACTCGTCGTCAGTGAAAGTCATACATATATATATATATATATATACATCTCCTTATATTCAGCATGACTGCATGAGTATGCTTAGATGAATGATCTAGTATATGAAACTAGTAATTTTAACATGCAAGAACCATTCATTCACACAACAATTCTCCTAATTCTTGCATGTTATTCGCATCGTAGTCTTGATGGGACGAGAGACCGAAAGGAATTAATACTTTAACGTATATATATATAGTCTCTTCTCAAGGGTTAGAGTTGGCTATAATAAATACTCTTTAAGTCTTTATAAAATGTTATTATCACACATAAAGAAACTAAAAAAAAAAAATGTACACATATATACGTACACTTTGGTTGATGTCAATTTCGAATAACCTAATAGAAAGATGTTTAATACCATCATAATCTAATTAAGCTGGCTTTGGGATTCAATTTGGGGGTTATGTAAAATGATAACTCTGAATGGAAGAAGGTGTACGTAGTAGAAACGTTATAAATCAAAAAGGAAAAGGCGGGGGGCGATAATTGAGAGAGAAGAGAAAAGGAGAGGTAGGAAGTGAGAATTGAATAAGGGAACATGGAAGGCTTTGAAAGATGAGATTGCCAAAATTGGAAAGCGGCAACAGAAAGGTGGCATTTAGTGAATGATAAGAAGAGAAATCGACTTCTCTACTCCTTTTTCTAAAGACTTCTTCATGGCAACATTAATTTAGTGAATATATAACTAGTATGACCCCCTCAACATAAAGAAGATGAAAAACAAAAAAAAATTGGGTAGCATCATCATGATTCATGATTCATGATTTCATGATTTCATGATTTCATGATTCATGATAATAATAATAATAATTATATACTATCTATCTATCTTTGTGTGTTATCGTCGTTGAAGAGGTGTGATGAGCGAGAGAGAAAAGAGCAATGAAGGGTGGAATTAAATTCGTATTTATAATCTGACGTAACGCTCATTACAATTCTCAACTGTCTCAATTACTATTGCATTTATATTTTTGGTTTTAATGATCTCTAACTCTCAATCTTAACATTTTTTTTTTTTTTTAAACAGCTGTTACCAAAACATATATATAAATATGAAATTGATGCACCTTCCTCTGTTTTTTATTTATTTTTAATTTTAATGCTCTGAACTACTTTCCTCTTTTATTTTTTATTTTTTATTTTAACCAGCTTTCATTTTATTATTTCACTCTCTCTTTGTACTTTCTTTCTTCGTCGGCAATATCATTCTTTTACAGGTCGTATAATTATGGATCATGTCCTGTTTCATGTTTAGAAGCACCTAATCTAACTATGTTAGTTAGCCAGCCTTTTAGATTTTTTGTTTTATCACTTTTGTTGTCATTTGCAAAGCCATTTTCTAGATTTGTCTGTGTGTTTTTTTTGGTGGGTCTTAAATCAAAACCATGCAGTTGCTGCGCAGGACACAATCTAGTTATGGATTCTTTTGCAGGAAAGGGGAAATTTTTCAGTTTAGGCCTGTGATTAGCTTACAAACTCTGATGACTTTTTGTGAATGTAACAGAGAGATCTATCTCGAGTTAACAATAAAGAAAGAAAGAAAAAAAAAAACAAGAAAATTTTGGGGTTTTTTTTGTGGGGTTCGAATGTGGGACCAAATAAACAAGTTCTTGTCTGATCTCCAAACTCTTTTTTTTTTTTTTTACCAAATTCTTTCTAATCTTCTGAACTGCTTTTTCAACAAGTACAAGGAATCTATTTTACTAGTTTGTTTTTTTTTGTTCTGGGGATCAGGATCAAGCTACTACTACATCTTTCACAAGTCTATTTTTTATCTCCACTCTTCTCCCTTTTCGTGATGTGTAAGCAATCTCTCTCTGCTACGCTAAGAATGTCCACTTTTGTTACAAGTCAGCACAGCAAAACGTCTAATTCTTTTGTACATCCAAGAAACAGAGAGTATCAATACCAAAACAGAGTATCCGAAACAGAGTAACCAGAAAATTCGAGGGAGTAGTAGAATACGTAAGATAATGACACATGTTTTCACACGCATATATATATATATAGAAAAATTCTTCTTCCATTAGAGAACTCAAATGGTAGAAAAATGTTGAGAACAAGAAAAGAAAAGTTAGTGCTATTCGCGCTCCACTCTTTTTTTTTTTTTTTTTTTTTGAAATTTCTTTGAATAGGGTAACCCTAATTTCATCTCCTACCTCTCTCTTCTCGGGGTTTTAGAGTGGAGCGTGATTAGCACTACTCTCATAAAACACAACAGCTACATTCGCAATAAGAAAAGAAAAAGAAAAAGAAAAAAAAGAGGGAAAAATAAATAAAAGAAGAACTTAACATAAAGAGGACAGGATTGGTTTTGACTTTACTCGTCTTTCAGTTCCTCCGAGTCTTGCGACCAGAGGAAGCAGCGGCTGGCGCGTTTGCGTTTGAGGCGTTTTCCTGGAGGAAATCAAGAAGGACGGTGCTTTTGCATTTAGGGCATTTAGGATCGTCTTCCGAGAGCATGACGTACATGAGACAGCGAGGACACCCGACAAGAACCATCGAGGTTGTCTCCGGACTTGTCGAGTATCTCACGGACGGCTCATCCTGGTTCATCTCCGACGAGACGCAAGAGCTTGGCGGTGACGTCGGTGAAGTCGTTGCAGAGCGGCTTGGGGATCGAACCATCCTCCTCTGGCTTGACGTAGGCGGCGAAAGATTCAGCTTCAGTTCCAGCTTTGGACTTCTTCGACTCATCCTTCTGTGTTGGAGGAATTGGATTTAGGTTTTGGTTCTTTTCAGACAAGAAAGAGAAATTATATAAGTGGAAAGTGAGAGACAGAGTTTGGTCGGAGAAAAATTTACCTTGAAACCTGCGGATTGACAAGGAAGGTTTCTGTGATCTCAAACAAAAAAAAAAAAAAGACTTGGGGTGCTTTGTTTGAATCACACAAAAGAAGAGTCTTCTGTCTTATTACTGGTGGTTGGATCGCTTCAGCTTAGGCCTTTATATACAAGAAAGAAGAACACACAGAGAGGAAAAATTAAAGAGGAGATAGATAGATTTTACATTAAGTCTTAATTTAATTATGAGTGAGAAAGGACTCTGAGAGAGAGAGAGAGAGAGAGAGAGAGAGAGAGAGAGAGAGAGAGAGAGAGAGAGAGAGAGAGAGAGAGAGAGAGAGAGAGAGAGAGAGAGAGAGAGAGAGAGAGAGAGAGAGAGAGAGAGAGAGAGAGAGAGAGAGAGAGAGAGAGAGAGAGAGAGAGAGAGAGAGAGAGAGAGAGAGAGAGAGAGAGAGAGAGAGAAGAGAGAAGAATCATAAAGGATTGAATTGAAGTATACTACTACTAGATGATACTATCAATCAGATGGTTTAATTTTTCTTTGGCCTCAAGAGTATCGAATTATATAATTACTTTTTTTTTTGTCAACTTCAAACCAGTAATTTAATTTTCTTAAATGTGTTTAATAAATACTATTTTTTGTTTTTTTTTTGCAGGAATCCAATTCATTGCTTGTATTAAATAGAGAGGAGGAAAAGAACAAGAAATGTGTTTAATGGGCTAATACATAGAAATCAAATTAAATACTCAACAGATTACTTATTTTATTTTTTCTTCATAAGAGTTAATATATGGAACCAAAGAAATTAAATGGCAACCAACTTGAATTAGATGTTTTATACTAATAAAAGTTGAAATTGAAAATAAGAAGAAAATCATAATTTCAAAGTAAAAAAGAAAAAAAAATGTACAGTCAAAGAAATTAAATAGAAATTAAAGAAACACAAACAAAATTAAATGGCAAGAGACCAGAATTGGTACAGAGAACCCCAAATACAAAGCCAAATGTATATAAAAAGGTGAACCACCACCCTCCTGGCCTTAGTTTTATTAAAAGTTTTATGAGAGGGAAGGGGGGACAAAAGTATCAATATATGCAACTTCCCCAAACTACCCATTACTCTCTTCTCTAATCTCAGAATTGCTTTACAATTATTATTGTTGAGAGTTTGGGGACAAGGTTAGAAACTGAGGATGAGAGACCATGAGATAGAGCAAAGTGATCAAACCCCATCATAAGTATTTAGAGTGGGTCCAAAAGTTTGGTAGTGTCAAGTTACCTAGTTGTGATATGTGTGGATCTTACTTAAGCTCTCTGATCAATATCTCTATCAGCTGTGTTAGAGATATCAAATCAGTTGATTGATTATTGGATAGTTTCACTATACAAACTACAAACCTAAACCAATTGTTAGTGTGTGTTGGTTCTCAAGTCTCTCTAGATGATGATATAGATGGTGACTACTCTCTTGGGCTGTTTAATTCAATCTTCTTAGACATTAGGTGGTAACAGTTCGTATTAAATGGGTATTAATGTTAAACACAGTTAAGCTAAAATCAAAATTGCTAAAAATAAATATAGCGATACCAAGGTTAGTAATGGCTACACTACAAAACTACTTAGCTTCTTCACAACACCCAAAAGCAAAACTATAATGTATGTAAGTACTAATATTTATTTTGCAGCGTGACTTAATTTCCCATGTGATGTTATTTAATGAAATTTGGAAGAACGTTTATTATTTTACTCGTTTATTAAATAGTCTAACAAATTAGGATCTCGTTTTATTTTTCACAACTTTAAATAACATACTAGTATTTATAATCGAGAGAATACGGCTCGGATACCATATATATAGCCAAAGTAATGTATTATGAAAGTTGACAACATTACAATTAATTCCATTTAAACAGATTTAATACCTTGTTTGGCTGGATTTACAATTAATGTTAGGCCCATATATATGTATCAATATATCTTAAGGGGGGTGTATTCAAAGTGACATTTCAAGTGATTTGTAAAAAGTTTACAAATCCACTGTTATTCAAACATGAATTTTAAAAAGTCTCATGAAATCCACTGTTATTCAACTAATGATTTCAAAATCCACATTAAAATCCACTGTTATTGAAAACAATTTGTGGATTTGGCTTTTAATGATTTTGAAGGATTTCAGAGGATTTGGGAGGATTTCCTTAGTTAAAAATACAGAAATCCAAATCCCATAGTTTTTGGTGAGATTTGAAAGGATTTTACAAAAGTCATATGAACTTCCCTAAAATCATCAAAATCATTTAAAACCCCAATAAAACTCAAATCTCTTAAAATTCCATTTTGAATACACCCCTCTAAGAGTACTGAATGGAAAGATGATTTTAAAAGTTAACTAGTACTTTATCATGATTCATTAGTCTGTATACTATATCAACCACATAGATTTTGTATCCAAAACTAAACAAAATTTTGATGTAAGAATCTTATAGCAGTATGAGTACTATAGCATATAAACTATAGTAATTGGTGTTAATAATATTGTTGTTGTATTATTTCAAAAAAAATTATTATAATTAGGTTATTGAATGTGTGGGAGATATGAGAAAAAGCATATGTGTTTAGGATTTGGGTGCATGGGACCAATTTTTTTTTATAAAAAATATGTTTTGAAGTCTTTAGGGTCTTTTAGCTTAGCTTCTTCCTCGTAAATCTACTTGTTTGTTCTTTGGTCCCATTTTGTTATCTTTTCTGTTTTGGCCCAAAATAATCTGACTTTCATGTTAAATATAAAGAAGCTTCGAATTCGTTTCTTCCTCCTTATAAAAATCATTATCCGAGTGTCTAAGTCAAACTTAAGCTGCATTTTTGAACTCATCTATAACGATGTCATAACCAAATATAGATAATAGATTACAAATATAAGCATTGGATGTGTGAACTGGCTAGTGAATGGTGTGGACTTATTTTTGTTTTAAGCCAATAATACTATGAGATATGTTAAAATAAATTCATCATCATGCAATTTATACATACTGTATATGTGTACTCTTGGATTTTTTTTTAACTCATGTATATTAACAATTCAAAGAAAAGAAAGCAAAGAGAGCATTAACAATTCGGCTGCTTTCAATAAATTGGGTACCCTTAATTGCACCAATCAATGTGCAACTTGATATCACATGCATCAAAAGATCATACACTATCATGGTGAAGATCGTATCTTTCAACACAAGGACAACTTAATAAACAATCTTCTTAACAACTTACTCTTCTATAGCATGTCATCATGACTTACTTAGATTATTATCACACAGCTGAGTTATATATATATATATGCATGATCTTTAGATGCCTCTCATCATCTCCCATCTTATCACATTGGCTGTAAAATAAATATTTAGTTGACTTGTCGAATTAATAGCATAGTGTAAACGACGTGGGCACATTTACAATCACTAATGCTGACTTTGTTTTTTCCTCTCTTTTGGTAAAGGGTTACTGTTGCTGACTTTAGAGATTAGTTATTTAGTTATTCACTAGCTAGCTTATCGCGTCAACCAAGAAGAATAAAGAAACAAACGTGATGATGATGATCTATTCTCACCCAAAACAAATGTTTTTGACAATTCATGCATATGGCTAGTACGTAAATAACGAGCGTGTAAATTGGGTCAGCGGGAGGAGGATCATTAAGATAGAAACGATAACAACGGATCTAGCTATTTCATGTGGTTTTAAAACACCTAAACCTCTTTAATAATCAAAAGTCAAAACATGTTTGTATATGAAGAAGATTGAGAAAGTAATTTACTACACAATATACAAGTGATCTACTTCAAAATTAACATTTTGAGTTTTGAGTTGATTCACTTCAGATAGGCAGATACTATTTGAATAGTTATATCCTTCTAAAGATTTCCTCACAGATTTTGTGATGTCAAACCTCATACAGTTACGTATGTTATTATACACTAATACAGATATAGCATTTAAATAACCATAATTAACACTACAGATATGTATAAATATTTGACAATTTATTTATAGGAATGCTAACTATAATGTTTGATGATTTTGAGTGACAAAATATAAAAATAAATAATGTTTGATGATTTCATTTCGTTTTTTTTTTCTTTTTCTTTTGCAAGTTTATAATTGATCCATCTCAAATGGATCTACATACTTTGACTTGACCATCAAGATTTTACATGGGGACTACTACATATACTGAAATTAGTACAGTTTGGATTTGAGCACAAAATACTCAATAAGTAAAATTTTCACGAGTTTTGGCTTTCTTCTATTTTTTTCGTGTGTCCTATTTTCTGCAGACTCTGGTCTTCTCATAAATGTCCAAGTTATTGACTCCACCAATTAGTCCCACAGTATTATGATAAAAATAACAAGAAAATAGAAGATATAAATAAAAATGTCATGCCTTAGCTATACAATACTTGATGTACTTCAGAAAGGACCACTCTTCTTTGATTTCTCCTTTAAAGTACAGTATTTTCCAAGTGTAGTGTGCTTTAGAAAGAGGGGGATGATGTGGTATTAGATTGATGAAGAATCTGGATTTACGCTTGAAGCCTATGGAGGGTTAGAGAGACAAAGCTTTTATTAATCTGCACATACACACAAACACACCAAAATGTGATTCAGAATACACTACTCAGGATCAAGTACCTCTTAACTCTCCCTTCAGTATACTCTCTGACCAGCCTATAAAGTTCTCAACTACCTCTTAACTCTCTTCTAATATATTGACATCTCTAAGGCAAAATGTCGAGACAGCAAGCAAAGCACTCGTGAAACATGATGAATGTAGCTAGCTGATCAACTAACAATGACATTTATATGGAAAACTGATTTTAATAAGCCAGGCCCAGATAAGCATGAACCATACTGTTTCTTAATTACATCCAATATAACCAATAGCATCTCATAGTGCATCGAACTAGTTGGTACTTAGTTCTAGCCATCCATGTATTAAAGCCTAAAGTAATAAGTAATGTCAAGATTCATCAATAGAAACTGTTAACTCTATTAATGCTTTCAATCAAGCCTCATCATTTCCCAGTGGTTCTAATACGAAAGAAACACAATGTGTACCTGTAAAGTGGATTAAACACCTCTTAACAGCAGCTGATCAAGCTCAGTTTCTAGCTCTGTCAACTCAACCTGATTTTCATTTCTGCATTGTAGCAACTGCCTCCTTAGATCTCCGACCAGCTCATTAAGCTTCTGAATTTTCTTTTCTTGAGAGAGAATTTTCTGTCATAGATAGATATTTATCTTATCATCAGATCATACTATGAAGTATATCCTTTGGCAATCATATGGTTTGGTTAAGTTAACTTAGAGTGTGGAATTTCAGATAACTATGATTGATATGCATTTCTTTCTGCCAAACCATCACTTGGAGGACTCAAGCTTGGGATCTTCTCAGAAGTTGAAACTATCCCTTCATGTTTCGCAAGACTATATTCAACAATGAAACAGGGGAAAGCAGATACTAACTATAAACAAAACTGAACTCGCATATCAGAGAAAAAGCATATCACAAAGCTGTCACAGAACCACAAAATGTGGAAATTTGACTGCTTATTAACTTATTACTACGTTAATGGTAAACTTCAGAGAGCTTAAGGAGACTAAACCCTTGAACTCGGTTAAAGACAATACTAAATCTGAAGTGAGTAGCTAAAGTGATATGTAAGAGAATGCAATGGTGCGGCTTTACTACTTTTGAAGTTTTGCAAAAAAAAAAAGGAAAAAAAACAAAAACTGCAGAGTATGCCACAGAGTCCACAGTGACAATAAACATGAAGAAGCAATTAGACAGAGTGACAAGAGATGGAGTGTGTTTTAGCATCTAAAGAAACTAAGCAATAAACTGATAAATAATGTGTCAAATGGGAGGCATTGGGCACATTAAGTATCAGTTTAAGAACCCATCTCTTTCCTTCAGTCAATATACACAAGGGTGGGCATCATTTTGATTCTACAAAAAGAGAAAGAGGCATGGAATAAGATGAATAAAACAAACCTTTTCATGCACAGATTCTTTGCCTTGAGGTATGTGTTGCTCTTTATCAGAAAGAATCAGAGGACGACTAGTTTCAGTTTCACTCTCAACTTGTTCATTCCACTCAAACTGAGAAGTCAACACAATGAACATAAGAACAAACAAAAGCACCCACGACCTCGTCATCTTGCAGGATAATGGTTCTTTATTTGATATTCTCTTGTCTTGGCTTAAGCCTGCTACATAACAAAACACCAAACACCACAACTAATATAAGACTATAGAAAACGATCCAAATCAATCTTTGAACATTCTATTACAAGAGCTGCAGGAAAGGATTAATTTTTCACATCCATCTGAGGAACAAGACCAATTTTACAGCTCAAATCGAACATTTAAAACGAATTTTCTCGGCAACAAAGTCAAAACAGACCGGTAAACAAAAGAAAAAACACAGCAAAAAGTATTCATACAAGAACTGTAGATTCGATAAGAACAAAGACGAATTGCAATAATCAAGGCTTATACAAATTTAACTGATTAGACTCACCAGTCGAAATCTGAACGCATGAATCAAGCTCTGCTCCTCGTCTTCTCCTTCAGTCTCTCTCTCTCTATCTCTCTTATTTTTGAGTTTTTTCAACGAATAATACAAAAGTCAAACATTATACTTTTACTTTGCTGCTTCGAAATCAACGAATTTAAAATCTCAAAGTAATGGGGGTAAATTAAGAATACTTTAGATTTAAAGGGGTGAAGTTGTAAATTTGAAGAAGCAAAGATCAATCAAACAAATAATAGAAGAAGAAGAAGAACAGAGGTGAAACCTGCCGGAGAAGAGTAGAGGAAAAGACCCCGGCCAAAATGGGAAATTCGAATTCTTCATCGGCAAATCCTCGCTTCACTTCTGCTTCAAGGTTTTCATCGGAACCCAAAAATCTCATCTTCACACTCTAAGTTCTCAAATTGAACACGATCTTATTCAATTCTGTATTTGTTTTTGTTGCAGAGCTTTTACGCAGAAGAAGCTCGAAGATCTGAAATCTCTGTTCGCCTCCCTCGCTTCCAAGTCTCAGAGCAATGACCAATACGTATCGTACCCTGCTTTCCAGGTTTGACGATTTCTATGTCCTGGTTTCTGTGGTTGATTGATTTGAATTAGCCTCACGATGTTGTGTTGGACTCGAATTTTCGCAGGAGTATTTTGGTCTGAGTGGTTGTTTAGGAGAAAGGATCTTCGATATGGTCACTCAACACAGGAAAGATGATAAAATGACTTTTGAAGATCTTGTTATTGCTAAGGTACCACTACTTGTCTTTTCTCGTCTTAATGGTTTGGTTTTTTCCATCTGAGCTTCCTCCCATTGTATGATTCAACATTATCACGAAGCTACGATTACAACTCCTGTATGTAATCCAGAGGCTTTGATTTTCTGGGTTTCGAACTTGTGAGAGATTGCTGTTCTAAATAATTGTTGCTTTTCAGGCAACGTACGAGAAAGGAACTGATGATGAAATTGCTGAGTTTATATTCCAGACTTTGGATGTAACTGGCAATGGAGTCTTGACAAGGTAACAGCCGAGGCTCGGACGTATTTTCTTGTGGATATAAGTTGCTTTATATGGAAAAAATTTCATAATCTCCTTGTTATATGTTCGTGACTTGGTCTCTTGATTTACTTAAGAACTCATTCGGATAGAAATTGAACCGACACTAACAAGAATAGATTGTTATGTTTTGAATGTGACCATTACAGTTTTTTCTCCAGGTCTGACTTAGAGTCGGTACTGGTGGTGATTTTGAAGACTGTGTTCTCCACTGAGAGTTCTAATGCGGAATCAAGTGATTACAAGGAGATGGTGGATGCATTACTCAATGCCGCTACTTTCTCAAAATCTGATGATGGTTCAGAAAAAGGAATGTCTTTTGCGGATTTCAGAAGCTGGTGCTTACTCGTTCCAACTATCAGAAAGTTCCTCGGAAGCTTGCTTATGCCCCCGGGTCCAGGTTTATCCTTAATCTTCTATAGTCTTAACTTACTTCTTGTTGACAAAACTAGTAAACGTTCGCCTAATCTTCACATTGTTATTCCCGCTAACTTTGTATAGTGAGACCTGGAAATCAAGTCCCACATCTGCTTTATGAAGATGGTGTTGATTCAGATAGGCTATTATTGAAGAAGGAATACGCTTGGCATATTGGAGGAGCTCTTCCTCACCACGAGCTTGAAGAGTGGAAGCTCCTGTATCACAGTTCTTTGCACGGTCAAAGCTTCAACACATTTCTAGGACACACATCGTGAGTGTTTTTCTACTGTAATCCTTGCTTGCAACTTAGTCAAAGTTTAAGACAGAACTTTGCTGATGTAAATTATCTTGCAGAAACACTGGTATGTCGGCATCTGTGTTAATCATCAAAGACAAAGAAGGCTGTGTGTATGGAGGATACGCCTCTCAACCTTGGGAGAGGCACAGCGATTTCTATGGAGATATGAAGTCGTTTCTTTTCCAACTAAGTCCTAAAGCAGCCATCAACAGACCTACTGGAGCGAACACCAACATTCAATGGGTATGCCTCTACAGACACTCTGTTTCTACTATATGTGAATGTGTGATTAGAAGTAGATTCTAACATATGGTAAACACACGCAGTGTGCTACTAATTTCACATCAGAGAACATTCCAAACGGCATAGGATTTGGAGGTAAAATCAATCACTATGGTATATTTGTATCAGCAAGCTTCGATCAAGGCCAGACATTTGAATGCACGACGTTTGGTAGCCCAAGCCTTTCCAAGACGAGCAGAATACAGCCAGAAGTGATCGAGTGTTGGGGAATCGTTCTAGCCTCAAACGAACTAGACACCAAACACAACGCCATGAAAGGTACTGTTCTAGAGAGATTTAAAGAAGACCGCAATATGCTCAAACTAGTCGGCATGGCAGGTAATTCGAATGATTGAGAAAAAGAGCTTTTTGTTCTGAGATTCAATCTTACTTATACAGTGTTTGTGTCTGTGTACAACTACATTTTGTATTATCAATAAGAGTGATGTGTGTATAATTACAATTCACACCAATGTGAGGAAGCATGAGCAAATAGATTCTATGAATTATCTCATCTACCAATTTTGGGACGTATTAACCTAAATTTCATCTGGATTCTCCAAAAAAGCATATATAAAGATCAACAACAATATATGAAATCTGGCAATAGCAAATCAATGTAGAGCATAGAAGTTTAACATAAACCGATTCAACCAAAAAAAACAAAAATTTGCAGATTAAAAAAAAGACGCTAAGAAACCACACATCAAAAAGATGGTGACTGATTGATTGATTCAACGGCACTCTCTAGTACCTCCTTCCACGGCCCAATCCAAATGCAGCAACAGGAGCAGCAGAGATTGGATCGACCTTAACAACACCAGGCATATCAGACATTCCCAAGGAAGCAAGCATGTCCAGGGTCTCCTTGTCGACCTCGATGTGATCGGTTTTAATGGCGGATTCATCGGGGACGAAGTCCATACGGCGCTCACGCTCTTCCTCCTGAAGCTTGAGGGAGATTCCGCGGACAGGTCCTTTCTGGATCCTCTTCATGAGATGAGTTGAGAACCCGGCGATCTTGTTACGGAGCCTCTTCGATGGGATGATTGCGACTTCCTCGAGGATCTTCTTGTTGGTGTGGAAATCAAGAGTCATGCGAGAGTAGTACTTCTCGATCACCTGACGAGATGACTTCTTCACCGTCTTCGTGCGAACGCGACCCATCTTTGCTTTTGATTTTGGGTTACGAAAGGTCCTGAGACTCTTCTCTACTTCGCTGCTTCTAGGTGCCGGCTGGGATTAGGGTTAGGGTTTTGTTCTGGATCACAGAGCTTTAATATGAAGAATGAAAGGGCAAAATCGTATTATCGTTGTGACTTTAGAGTTAGCAAGGTGTATCAAAGCCCAATCCTAAATAGAAGAGCCCGTTAAGGATTCTTCCGGGAATGGGTCAATTAAGTGTTTAATGATTCTGGGATGGGCCTATTAAGGCTGATATGTGACTATGATGGTTAACCTTTGATCCGTTTTGGGTTCAAATTTAATATCTAGTAATATATTAAAATCCGGATAATGATTCAAAACCAGTAAATTGTAATAGAATTTTAAAATTCATGATAAAATTATTAAATCAATATAAATACTATATTTTTATATGTTAAAATCTGTTGTCACTATGAATAATTTGGTGGCTGCAAATGACTTGTCTGAAGATATTGGAATTTGATTCCATCAGACATAAGTTCACTAAATTAAAATTGTGGATTTTGAAAATTTATGTTATTGGTTCTAAATGTCTAAGTCTAAAATATCGGCTGCATACAACTTTAGTGTGTGGAACAGTGCAGATCAAAATTTACTTTACAATAATATAATTTCAAAGAAAGAAAGAAAAAAAGTGTGGTCCTCTCCTCTAGCTCCTCCTCAAGGCCAGTTTTGTTTAGAAATAACTAGAAAATATAGCAAAAATGGTTTGGTCCCCTTTTTAGGAGATATCAATATCTATCTAAGTCAATAAGTATTTTTCACACATATCTATGAGGTATAAATATAAATATAAATATAAATATAAATATATATGCAAATACAAATGCAAAAAAAAAACAAAAAACAAAAAAAAAACTATAGTGCCATCAGATACTATTAGCGCTAAGTGCTTTGTATTAATTATATATACACTCTCTTCTTTTTTAAAAGTTCACTTTAAATGTGTTAAAATGCTTTAATAACCCGAGACCTTGAGCCGAAACTTATATTGATTTCTAGTGATTCAATCCATTTAGTATACCATGACTGAGTCTGAGCTATAGTGAAATTAAATGATTTGAATCACAGTCTCTCAGGTCTCAACACTTAACTGTAGTGAAACTCAAGAACTAAAACTAAGTACACCACATTTACAAGGTTATGTTCCCAACATATCCAAAACGTAATTCTCACCTCGAATAGTTTATAATTACCTCATTTATTTTAATTAGTTTAGTATGCAAGAGGGATTGCCCCACTTGGTGTTACTGGTTTGAAACTCAATTAATAGATCCAATAACAAATATTTTATGACACATGACTGCATGAGGCCAGAGATAACTCGAAAAACCTTCCAACAGTTCCTCCATCTTTGTTTCAACAAATCTTGTCTTTCATCAGCTTAATTTGCTTCTTCCGTTTAGCCTAGCTTCTCTGTACCAACAGTTTCTCAAGTGATTTGCATGCTTTCGTTTAAGTTCGCTAGTTCGAGCATTTGTTCTTCTTTTAATTCATATAACAGCGTGTAAGTGTGTGATTTAGTAATAAACGAAAACCTGTTTAAGTTTACACTTCTTGAAAAGGCACCTAGCTACTATATGTTATATACTATTATGTATAATTATTAATTAAATGTACACTTAGAAAGTACAAAGTACTTCACTTACACCTAAGAAAATAGAATCTTAAAATATTTATACTACTATAAACTAATCACCTCGATTCATGTACTCGGCGTACATATTATTTATTTGCATAATGCAAGATATACGCCATTGGTTTCAAGTTGAATGGAAAGTCAATTAACAAGTGAGTCCTCTATTAATATTATTGTAATTCGAAAGTACACTCACTCATAACGAAAACGCGAAACAACTAAAAGGGAACCATATATTTGTGGACAAGAAACAAGGGGGAACACCATTTCAAGAATGCAAATAAAGAGATGATGCTTATTTTTTTTACTAGGGAATAGAGAAAATATCATGAACATGAGAGGACTAAACAAGAATAGAAAAATAGCAACTTACCCGAAGCTCAGTGAAGCTTCATGCACCACTTTCCAAAAATAACAAAGGAAGCTTGTCGTTTAGAGACATTTAAATAAAGGAACTTGCAGATTATAGAAACCCTCCACGGTTTACATCGCAGATTCCGCTCCTGCTCCTTTTGTTTTTTTTTTTCTCTTCTGCAAGTGAGCATTATATATATTAGATTACGTTATAACGTGTGTGTGTGTGTGTGTGTAACAATTTGGTAGTATTATAGTCTTATAAGTGTGTGTGTTACAATTTGCTAATATAAAACTTATATGCGACTAGAATTCACGTACGACCAAGAAAAATTATTGCTTGGAAAACTCATAGAAAGTGTCCACTACTCCCCTCCCCTATTATATCTATAGTCTATAGTCGTATTTATGTATGGTATGGATTTTTTTGTTTGGTAACAAATGGTATGGTATGCATATTTGTATACAGGTTTGTCAATTTGTTGCAACTTGCAAGAGCGCTAAGGTTATCCAAAATTTGGAATCACAGCAGTCATGTTGACAACAGGAAAAAAAAAAGTAGCAGCCCTCATTATAAATATGTAAGATTTTGAGCACTCGAGTTTGTACCGTTATACAATGGCTTTTGTTTAGTGAGATAAACGAATATGAAGTAGTTTACTAAACAAAAACTGATTTTAAAATACATACTCTGTAAAAATTTCACTTATTATTGCAGCTTTATAAAAATTGATACTCTTATTCATATACAAAATAATTTATTATATGAATGAATAGATGTAGTTAACAGTTGATTCACATGTTCCAACTTTTCAACGTACCAAAAATGAAAACATTTTGTGACAAAGAGAAAGTAATATTATTATAATTTATCAAATTGCGCTCATAGGATTAGAAGACCAAAAAATAATAAAAATCATGCTCTATGAGACTATGACCATATATATATATATATATATATATAGAGAAAGAAATAAAATAAAGACAAAGAGCCCAACAAACTCAACTGCCATTGGAGAGGAAATGACCCTAACATGTGCAATATTATTACTTGTATATATAGTGAGATTTAAAAAAAAAAAAAAAAAGTCCTTGTTACAAAAAAATTACTAACAGAGAAAAGGACATAAATAAGATAAGAAAGTGTACGTGTTTTAATTGGAGCAGACGTACATGCGAAAAAGGTGTCTCGAAATGGACCTGGGAATGATGTCGCCCTTTGTCCATTTACTCAAACACTAATTCAATCATTATTTTTGTTGAAGAAGACATGTCTTAGCTATGAAACAAATTTATTCTGATACTATGTCACAAGCATCATTACATTTACATACCCCGGTGTCCATTACCGATCACCATCTCATCCGTGCTTGTTTTTTTCTTCTTTTTTTATGGCATTGTAAGTAACACCAACCTTATTTTAGCATAGCATAGCTAACGCACTGATATTATAGTATACGCATTTCATATATACGTACCACCTCAAGACTCAAGAGATGAGAGCATGTAATATCGCTACATGTTGTGCTTTTGCAGGGTGTTGAAATGCATTTGCTGCGTTTGAGTAAAATAGAATAGGAATGAAAAATATGTACGTGTAGCTAGAAATCTAGGTATTATTCTAAAACCATGCTGTAAACTTTGAAATAATTGGAAATTATCTGTTGCAAAAATTAAAAGAAAAATCTCTGTTGAAAATCTGAAATAGCTAAGAGATTTATATAATACGACAGAGATCTGTGAGGAGAGGATTGAAAGACGAAAAAGAGGAGGAAATAAAAATATCCAAATGATATTAATCTTATCGCATAAAACTGTTGTTTTCTTCTTATAAAATTATATATTATTAAAAGAGGGCCAAACTTTCTATTTATATTTTTATCATTTGCTATTTTATGAAAGTGTATATATTATATAATATTAATCTCTGTTTAGATGGTCCTCTTTACTTGAAGCGCATTTGGCCCACTGTCAGCGATCAACTTTCATTTTGTTTATAAGAAAAAAACTATATAATACAGACGACACATGAATTAAGTACTGTATATATTATTATTATTATGCACAAAAATAAAATAATATGGATGACGAAAATTTGGTTATTAGAGTTCTCTCTTGTTAAAAGGCAGAGACGGATAAAAATCAAAGGACGTATATGTATTATTTTTTTGGTTTGGAATTTATTAACAGTTAGTGATTTTTTTTTTTGTTGGTCGAAAAAAATATACATTATATGTATAAAAACATATAAATAACAATAATTAATGGTGTTCAGCAAGCACGCGAAAAATGTTTCATTATATGTTTATATATATAAAAAATGATAAAAGTTCTTTTAGAAAGAATAAAATTGAAAAGAGTTTAGTATATATATAGAAGAAAAACATATGGTAAAAAAAGTCTTCAAATAAAACAGAAGAGGACCACGTTGTTGGTGTCCATTTGCATGTCTTTTGGATTTTTCAGGTAGTTTTAGCCTTTAGGATTTCTTTGGAAAATATTTTTGAAACGAGAAAAATTAATGTATGGTATTACAAGTTAAATGGTTACTAGAATTATGGATTTTCATAAAACAAATTTGTAATGAGGAACATATTTTATCATTTCTAATGATTAAAATTGGTAACATTTGTTTTGTTGTTGTTCTGTTTTGTTGTTCTGTTTCAAAAAAAAAAAAACATTTGTTTTGTTGTTGTGTACTAACAATTTACCTGTTAACTAAAACTGAAATCAACTTCGATATAAATAAATGAATCCGTTTTTGCCATTCTGCACCTAGTAGTTATACTACTTGTAAACATATCTAAACCCAATCATATAGTATAAAGCAGAGAGTTTAAAAGGTTTCGTGAAACATCTGTTAGATATTTTGCACCTACCTTTTCTTCTTTGTGTTATACATGTATTATTAACACAATGAGATCAGTTGATTGGGTAAGAGTATAATTGTTCTGTACGTGGCACTAAATGCTGCTAACATATATATATATATATATATATATATATAAATATATGGTTCGAGGGAGTTAGTAATTAGTATCCTCTCTCATAATTGAAGATGCATGGAATGGTGTGTGGGAAAGGCTAAAAAAGCACATGACTCCCACAACTAGTTGCGTGAGGGTAAAGTATCTCTATCTATCTCCTTCGGGTGAAAAATTTAAACCTCTCTCACCCGTTGGATCTCTCTCTCTCTCCCTCTCTCTTCCTTCAATTCATCACGCTACCGTCATCCTCTTTTCACCTTTTACGCCATCTTGTAAATTGTATTTTACAAAATCTTCTTATAGATTGAAAAAAAAACACACACGAAGAGTTTTATAAATTGAAGAGCTTGAGTGTACATTAGAGTGAAAATATATGGTAATTTATTACCAAAAAACACTATACATGAATAAACAGAGAGAGATTTGGTTTTGTTTCCTTCCAAAAACTAGTGTATATGTCAGGCAGTAATTTATTTAATCAGCATTATTCAATAAATTCGAGTTTATTTTTATTCAATACACGTTGGCCCTCGGCAGGAGGTTAGGTTCCATGGGTGGTATAATATATATGTAGTAGGAAACTGGATTAAGAATAATTCACATCGCTATCGTTTTTTTAACAATTTCTTTATTTCTTTCTCAGAGGAGCTCAAGATCATCAAACATGCTCGTCCTAATTCAGAAGTTTTTATAATATTTTCTGCAGCCTATACAACTACTGCTAGTGAATTTACCCTCCTAGCTAAGCTAACCTATTAGACCTCTCACTCTCCCAATTGTTTGTAATCTTCTATTTCCTTAAAAATAGACTCAATACACACACACCCATACATACATTATGTGACGTTGTAAGGAGAAAAATTTAATTTTATAAAAAAATAATATATACTAGTATATATTACCATCACCAAAGATTTTGTAGAACGTGTGTTCGAAAAATATCTTGTAACTTGAATCTATGATGTTACACGGTATTTTACATTAGACAGTAAAAAAGGTATGCAACAAATTAACAAAAAAAATGTATCGATATTATGTTGTGAAAGTAAAAGAAGACTCATCTTTAAACTTGTGTCTTCATTACAGTTCTTCTGATGTAAAATATTGAAACAGTGTTCGTTATAATACTTGAATTAGTGTTTCCCAATTAAATATTACTGTACGTAATAATGCTAAGGCCAAACTTTTTTTGATTGTGTTCGTCAGCTCAACCCCCAAAATAGATTATAACTTACCAATGAAAAAGGCTTTTTGAAAAACCTGAAACTAACACTGAGATGATGACGAAAGCTAACGTTCGTGCATCGAACATCGAACACGGCCTAATAATATACGTATCATTTATCACACATAGTTGACTGTGATATTACGTCTAACTTTTTTACGAATAAAAATGTGTATTTATATCATATATGCTCCCTATTAATTGCGTCGAAATTACAAGGACCATATCTTTGTTTTTCTTCTTTTGGTAACATTTCGAGAAGCACGCATAAAAACATAATTTAATTTTTTTTTCAGGATGCTACTTAGAAATGACATCAAAAGAAATTTGAGCTCATAATAATTTGCATCAAAATGGTCAGATTCTTCTAACTCTAAATAGGTTGATTCTTTGGGTTTTCGTGTAGCCTAACTTTTACTTTCAGGGAAAAAAAAACTCTTGTTTCTTTCTTTCTTGACTAGAACTTCCTCCTAATCACCAATCTCACCTGAGAATAACTTTTCATAACTCCTAAGAAAATACTAATACTAATACACATGATAACATATCTCTAGCTAGCTTAGCTACGTACCAATTGCAAACCTTTATAATAAAACTGAAGTATCATCATACTTCAAAGTCGTGGAATCCAATGTATATATTCAAGAACAAAAAGTAATATACATAAATATATAATGTAGACAAATAGAATAATGAAAAAAAGAGAGAGGAAATAGTAAATTTGATAAGATGAATATATACGGACTGCAACAAGTAGAAAAAAAGTAATAATGATGGAAAAAGATAAAACATCACGCAAAACCTTAAAAGAAAGTCTTCTGGTTGTCGTGTGTTGCTCTCTCCTCAAATAGTTTTAGTTTTTGCCAATGTTTTCACGTCAAATCTTTTTTTTTTGTTATTTTTATATTTTTATTTAACCCCCAAGTCTTGTTTCATCTCTCTAGCTCCTTCGTATCATACTATATTAGTACTACGAGCACCCACCTCTCTCTTTCACCTAACCATCTCTCTCTCTCTCTCTCCACCATTCTCTATCTATCTCTCAGCTTTCGCTTTCTATCTCCTAGAAAACAATGTCAGTCAACCATTACTCCACAGACCACCACCACACTCTCTTGTGGCAGCAGCAACACCACACCACCGACGCATCGGAGACAGCAACAACCACCGCCGCGTGGCTCAACGATGACCTAAAAGAGTCACTCTTTGAAAAGTCTCTCACGCCAAGCGACGTGGGCAAACTCAACCGCCTCGTCATACCGAAACAGCACGCTGAGAAATACTTCCCTCTCAATGCCGTCGCTGACAATTCATCTTCGTCGGAGAAAGGGATGCTTCTGAGCTTCGAAGACGAGACAGGCAAGTCCTGGAGGTTCAGATACTCTTACTGGAACAGCAGTCAGAGCTACGTCTTGACTAAAGGATGGAGCAGATTCGTCAAAGACAAACAGCTCGATCCAGGCGACGTCGTTTTCTTCCAACGACACCGTTCTGATTTACGCAGACTCTTCATTGGCTGGCGCAGACGTGGCCAAGGCTCCTCCTCCGCCGTCAATACGAGCTCTATGGCAGCTCCTTCTTATCGTCAAATCCACCACTCCTCTACTAATTACTCTAATCCTCCTTCTCACTCTGAGTATTCCCACTACGGTAATTCTCTTTTTTTAACCAGTTTACTTTTTCTCCTTATTTTTTTTGTTAACTATTCTATAAAGAAAATTACTCTCAAATTCTTGTTTCTCAATTTGTTTTGTTTACATTAATCGTGTTCAAGAATGCTGTCGGGGGGATTAAAACATAACACTACACCAAAATATACATTTTTTTTCCTTGCTAGCTAACAATGCACAATAATTATTTTTAGGTCCTTAAATTACTACTATAAGTTTACGTAATTAACTACCTGAGATAAGTGACATTCCATTATTATTATACAGCTAATAATTTCTAAACTAATAACGAAGACCTCGATTACTTGACTTCACCCAAGTTGTAACTTAATATAATTACCTATACACGCGCATGTAAGAGCGCGTGGAGAAGACCGTCCAATCCCCTGGGACAAACGTGCTTTTTGTTCAGTTGTGTATACTTCTTTTGTGTGTTTTGTTTCCATCCGATTTTTTTTTTATTTTTATTTTAAAAAGAAGCGCACGTGTCGGTGATTACAGGAGCCGCCGTAGCAACAGCGGGGGAGACTCACTCCACACCTTCGTCTTCCGTCGTCGCGGGGAGCTCAAGGACGTTGAGGCTATTTGGCGTGAATTTGGAGTGTCAAATGGATGATAACGACGGAGATGATTCTGCTGCCGCCGCCGCCGCCGCAGTTGAATCTCCCGACGGTTACTACGGCCAAAACATGTATTATTACTACCCTCATCCTCATAACATGGTAATTTTATCTACTTTTTTCTTACCCCTATATAACATAACATGATTCATTTTAGGTTAGATAGAGTTACGTACATTACATCATCATGTACTATATGCTATAGTATTTATTATAATGATTTTTAAAATGTAGATAAACAGATGGGATGACGCTGTTTCTCGAGACGAGACAGTTGAAATTATAACTTAAAATAAACAGAGATTGGGTGATTAGGAGAAGATTATTATAAAGTAATATATAATGAAAGAGGAATCAGGGAATCTGTTAAGACTTAAGAGAGAGAGAGAGAGAGAGAGTAGCTAGACTTTTATGAGCAGTGGCACATGGCCACTTTGTTTAGTGACTTTGATTTTGTCTTTTTGATTTGTCTGAGAGCCCACTTTCATTTAATTTAACTATAGTACTTGGACAATTAGTAGTATAGTTTAATTCTAATCCAATAATAATTACTATAAAGTATATGTATATATGTTGTTGGTCTCCGAATCACACTGTTGCTTTTACTGGCGCCGAAATGTTATATTTGAACAAAGAGCATGAATAAGGAAATGTGTACGAAAGAAACTGATGGTTTTTGTATATGTGGATGTTACATTACATTAACATAGAGAGTGTTTTATAATAAAAACAGAATATAGCTTTCACGGGGGAACGATGAAGAAGGAAGCTGCTATGCTAGAGATAGAGAGGACGAGGCCGATGATATGATGATAAGATGATAGAGAGAGATCCCAAAGAAACAAGTGACAAACATTTTCTGAATTGACTTTAGAGCTTTCCTTTTTCTCTATGGGACCAGAGACTTTGTAGCCACAGCGGCCAATTTTTCTGGACAAACAAAAAATTTGTATGCAAATTTTAATAAATATCTCAATTAGCACTTCCGCACTGTATGTAACTAATCTGGAAATGGAAAAAAGAAATATGTAAATATCGCTGAATTTGAGGCACATAAGTCTTTTTTTGTTTTTTTCACATTCTATACGTCCAAAAAGTCAGAGAAGAAGAGCAAATTTCTTCTTCCACTGATGATGATGATGTATTCACATACATGCATTATGCATAGTTTGTACTTGTGAAGTCATGATGAATCTTTCGTTTTTATTTTTGGGTGAAAGAAAGATGAAATTGGAAATTGTTGAGATTATTATAGAAACAAGAAAAAAGTAGGGCCAATCATCAAATGATGTTTATTGTTGTGGAGTTTACTATATAGCTTTTTTACCCCTTTTTCTTTTTTTTTTAATTTACTCTAGCTTCTTTTTTTTTTCTTTTGATATTGGTGGAAACAATGGCAATTGTAAAACTATTGCAGTTTTGGGAGAGAAACCCAAAAAAATGTAAGGCATGGTTTCAATACAAATCAGATCAATCAAGTCACAAGTATCTAATGTAATTTTTATTTATCTCTGAAGACTTGGGGGAGGGAGTCTACAAATTTTGACAAAAAGTAGAAAGAGAGATAGAGACTTTTCTTAGGAGAGAGTCCTACAAGAACCTGTTTCTTTTTCTTTCATGTACTAAGGTCAGATGAACAGTGAATCCTCTGTTGAAAGCGATTGTCTGTTCATGTACTGCTTCTTTTAGTGCTCTTCAACATTTTATCATATAAATGAAAATTCAATCATTGGATCAGTTATCCACCTCCCATGTGCTTCCAAAAAGAGATTGTGTTTTGATCCAATGATGTCTTTAACACATACATTGTTTCTTCTTCATTTTATGTATAACCTTTAAACATTTGGTTTTACAGCCATTATCCCTTGGCTTTTACCAGCTTTTCAGATATAGCTCTCCTACTACTACTGCACTTAATCCACTTACATACACCTAAACCAACCTAAAACCAATGAACTGTTCGAGAGAATCCTTTACTCAAAACACATAATTCTCCATGCTCAACAAGTCTGCTGAATCCTCTACTCACTCTAATTGTCGACTCTAGCTAACTTTCTAATCAACTGTTAGTTTTGCGGACCGGGTGATACACATAGGTTTAACTCTTTTATGTCGCTCTATAGAAAAGAGATTCTTGACTCATAAGGGACTATTTCGATGATATCGAATGGCTGCTTTAGGTTAGGAGAATCCATTCCTCAGAATCTATTGGTAGTGAGATGGCTATAGCTTGGCTATGACTTATGAGTCATAGAAAAGCAAAATTTCATTCTGCAATCATTTACGGGGATGCTTTGTCAAAAAGAAGCTGTCCAAACTATCTGCGTAAGGCACCAAAGTAGTAAAGCTATATCTTGATTGGACAGAAAGTTTGCATAACAGGGATGGAAACAATACAACCTTATCATGACCAGTCACTACCTACAAATGTTCGGGTTATATGCGCACATGTTCCAGTTTTGAGTGCAGTAGCAAGTGCTAATCTTCAAGGCAGGCGCATTTTTTGACTTGACAGCATTGGTTGATAATCAACAGGTAATGCAAAATGTGTTTTTCAGCTACTTTTGTTTCAATCTTACTTAGCCACAGGTGATTTTTTAAGGGCCCATGAAGATTCAGAAAATATACTTACTTGTTGACTTGAAGCTAACTGATCTCCGCTCAATGGTTCAGTGGCTCTGCAAGTGGGAGAGGGACCCTCAGCCATGTGCCATTACCACTAGTCTTTGAAGCTTTTAGCTATAGTTAAGATGCTCAGTGGTCTCCTTCCTGCATTAAGGGTTTGTCCTGCAATAAAGTCTTGATCATAACAAGACCTAAAGTACAGTTCTGAATCGACTGCTCAACTTTTCCCCTGAAATATATCTGATATCTATGCTTTTTTAACAACTTCTAGGGGCCAGCCAACTTTTTTGCAACACCATTATGAAAGACTGTTGCAGATAGAATAGATAAAAATCCACTAGCAATGCTTTTAATATGGGAAGAAAGGTATAGAGAATACCAAGAAAAATTGAAAGTTTATACTAAAAAAACAGGAGACATCTATAACACAGAGTTGCTTACTATTGTTTCAGCAGGTTCAAACACTTAGAAGAGTCCTTCTGCAATATAAAGTAGCCCTGCAATGAGCTAGCTTGTGCTCAGTAACATTCCTGGACTAATGAAACCCATCACAATTATCATCAGGTTTATCACAAGGCTTATATCTATGAAGAACATGCGTAGAGCTAAATGTTGTTGTTTCCTAGGCAATTCTTCACAAATAGGCTACTTTGTGCATTAAAGACTATGTAGTTGATAAATATCTTTGGATTGTTGTGGTACAACATCAAAGAACCCACAATCTAGCTACATACATACTCGCAGTCACATAAAAAATCCTGCTTTTGGAGCTAACTAAAGGTCAGGTAGTTTTTTTAGACTTGTCAGCTTCATCTGCAGGGGCTTCAGACTCTTCTTTATTCTGCATAACTTGCTGCAAGCCTTCATGGTAACCTTTAATAAAGCTTGCAAGAGCATCTTTATAATGCGAAGCTCGTGTCATGTACAAGCGATGTAAAGCAGGCCTTAGAGTCTCCATGCCACCTCTTGCAGCTACCGCTGTATAAAAGTGTTACAGAAAAAGAATGAACAACAAGCAATAGTTAATAAACGATTAGGCAAAAAATTATACATGAAGTCCATAAACGAATTGTAATCAATAACAAAACTCTTGTGACACATGAGGAGAAGTATTCCACTTCTCAATATTTGTAATTTGCAAGCCAGATTACAATTTGGAATGACCGCTATTACCAAATTCGATCATTTTCTTTTGAATATAAGTCAGATACAATTAAGATAGGCAATAGCAGAAGAGCAGTTCTTACCAAGATCTTCCAAAACAGAGGGCTCATTCTCTGTCTCCTTCACTTGTTTTTTAGGTTCAGCGTCCCCTTGCTTCTTGTAATCATTTGGACGAAGTTCAGGACCTATATCTCGCACCCAGCTTGCAGCATAAAGCCTTGAAGCTTCCTTCAACACCTAATGACAAACATAAATAGTTCACACAGAGTGGTTTAACATCAGATAAATTTCATACAGAGGAGAAAGCACTAATTAATGAAAACGGTATTGAGAAGTATTCATATTGGAACCACAGACATTTTCTACCCATGACACGCACACGCACACTAATCAAAGAATCTAATATAAGAAAGGACGAATCTTTTTGCTCAAACAAGAGAAATCACACATTTGTTATCTTAGTTTCCACAATATACACAATGAAATCAAACACTGGTAACTATGGGTCTAATTGAAGGATTAATTTACTCTAAATCAGTGAGTAAACCACAATGAGCGCGAGAAGATTTAAAGCACAACAAAATGCGAACTTTGCTATCCTTGAGAGACAATTTTGAAATACCCAGATCCTATAACTACCGGAAAATTCAAAGGGAAAGAGGAAGGAAGCTCACGAGAAATCGCTCATGCCAAGTCAATTTGCGGCGTTTAACGACGTGAGGAGGATCAGGAAGTGATGAAGGTAAGACGATTTCTTTGAGATCGTAACGGATGTAATCGGAGACCTTACGATACACAACCTTCAGCTTCATCTTTCACTTTTTTTCTTTTCCCCCGGCGAAAAAGACACAGTCGCCTATCGCAAGTACTCAGCTTCTTGAGTTTACCGTCGCCGGTTTGTCTATTCGAGACGGACTTATATCGGTTTTGTTTGGTTTAGGATTCGGTTCACTTTGATCCTGATTAACTTTATTCTCGGTTTAGGAATCTTTTTTTTTAAAGCAACAAAGTAAACCGAACGATCGGCCAGTTCTATCTAAAAGGGTATATATAGGCACATAACTTGGAACACGCAGTACATACACACAATATAGATCGTAACATCAAACCCTACCATTTTGTTAAATATCGTTACTACCTATTAATTAAGTTGATAAGATTCACTTTCAAAGAGCATATTTTAGTTTTGAGTACGATATATATTTTGCTCAAATCATTGTCTCTACCAAATGAATGAGTACCAAACTAACATAATTATATATTTGTAGCCAATTATTATGATATCCCTATAATGAAATGTATTACACCATGTATTATACACGTACACTTGACACTTAGAATAAAAAGGTGTAGCTACTAGCTAGCAGCTTGATCACACGTTCGACAAACAAACGATTTCACAAAACTGTGACAAGGACATCGATAGCCATAAGATGTCGACGTTCATTTTTTCTAACTTGGTAACTATTATTTAGTTATGTTCTCTCACGCGTAGTTTATACTACAACTTCCAATTTAATATGTAAAAAATGCCAAATTTATAAACTTAAACAGAAATCTAGCGTAAGAAAACGTAAATAGGATTCTCAAGATTTGTAATGCACATATAATGTTTTTTTATACATTATATGTGCATTGCCAAATTATGTTGTCAACGTAGAAAATTTAGTAAAAAACATTACCAATCTATGTGATGGTGGTAGTAACAATAATTTGTGAGCATTAGTTAGACGTGACGTCGTCGCTAATCACAATCCGGAAGATGTGAAGAGTGAAGACGAACGTTGGGTCAAGGAAGCTTCCACCATGATATCAAAATTAAGTAATGTTTTTGTCTTTATTTGTTTTCGAATATGATTTTTAAATATAATTTAAGAAAAACAACGAATCTATATTATATAGTCATAGCCTTGCTTTGAGACGTCTCTCGTTAACAGAAAAAAGAAGAAGACTTGTTCAAAGAGATAAAGAAGAGATCACACACAACATGGATCAACTCTTTTCTCTCTGCTCATTCCCCTACCTCTTCAAGATCAAGAAACATGTCTACGTCAGCCTCTTTCTACTTAGCCTTTTCATATTCTCGAGCGTCGTCGTCGTCGACGTCTTGCCTTTTCTTCGTCTCGGGTTCTTGTCGTCGTCGTCGTCACAAACCCTGACGAAGGAGTGCGATTACTCTAATGGAAGATGGGTTCGTCGAACAACGTCGTCATCATCTGCTAATGGATTATTATACGGAGAAGAGTGTCGCTTTCTTGATTCTGGTTTTCGTTGTCGCAAGAATGGAAGAAAAGATTCTGGTTACCTCCAGTGGCGATGGCAACCACACGGCTGCAATCTTCCACGGTATGTTACATTGTTGTGTCAGTCACGTCATTAGCCTACTTTTTTTCTTATAAACTAGAATATGCAGTATTTCTTGCTTAGACCTTAAGTTAGATTGATTCCATATATTGCAAAGGCGTTGGAGTTGCAACAGCCAACAAGTTTAGTAAACAGTAAAGAGAATAGGGTTTGATTCACTTTCTTCTGACAAAAGAAAGAAAGCTTTCCTCTCGTTTACCTAGCTCTCAGTTCGCAATTGATTTTTGTTTCTTTTGTAGTAGAGTCAAAGATTCATTACAAAAAGAAACATATGTGACAAATTTAATGATCATTGTTTTTGTGTGTGGGCTATTGAATGATATTAGATTTAACGCAAGTGACTTTCTGGAGAGGAGTAGGAATGGGAGGATTGTGTTCGTCGGAGATTCCATCGGAAGAAACCAGTGGGAATCTCTTATGTGCATGCTCTCACAAGCGATACCTAATAAATCTGAAATCTACGAAGAAAATGGGAACCCCATTACCAAACACAAGGGATTCCTGTCGATGCGATTCCCTCGACAAAACCTCACTGTTGAGTATCACAGAACACCGTTTCTTGTCGTGATTGGCCGGCCACCGGATAAATCGCCGAAAGAGATCAAAACCACAGTGAGAGTAGACGAATTCAACTGGCAATCAAAAAGATGGGTTGGGGCAGATGTTCTGGTTTTCAACACAGGGCACTGGTGGAACGAAGAGAAAACTGTGTTGACGTATGAAAAATCCCGCAGCTCTTATATGATCAGATTTCTGATATTTCTCCTCCTTTAACTGGATTTGTGCTTTCTTTTGTGTGTGCAGAGGATGCTATTTTGAGGAGGGAAGGAAAGTGAACAAGACAATGGGAGTAATGGAGGCATTTGGGAAGTCTTTGAAGACATGGAAGTCATGGGTCTTAAAGAGACTTGATCCACACAAGAGTCATGTCTTCTTCAGAAGTTACTCTCCCGTGCACTATAGGTCAGGCTATATGATCAAACAAAAGTTGTTATATTATGGTATTTAAAGACCAGGGTTTTTAAAGTAAAGAATCCTTGGTGGTTGCAGAAATGGGACATGGAATTTGGGTGGTCTATGTGATGCAGAGATGGAGCCTGAGACTGATAAAAGAAAGATGGAACCTGATGCGAGCCACAATGAATATATCTATAGAGTAATTGAAGACATGAGATATCGACATAGTAAGGTTAAATTTCTGAACATTTCATATCTGACAGAGTTCAGGAAAGATGGCCATCCTTCTCGGTATCGAGAGAAAGGCACTCCTGTTGATGCTCCTCAAGACTGTAGCCACTGGTGCCTACCCGGTGTACCTGACACATGGAATGAGATCCTCTATGCACAACTATTGTCAATGAACTATAGAACAAAGTGAATTTTTGAGGTATAGGCTGATTCTTTTGTTTCTTCATCTAGTCATGATTCTGTTTCATCTACGCCTTCTTCAGGCTCCGTTTCATTTGTTTGCATTTGTTTGACCTTCTCAAGCTGTCTCAACAGGTTCAACCTTTCAGCTCCATAGGTCGAAGGTATCTGAATAAAACATATTTTTATTAAGTTGAATGGAAGAGATGGAAGAATGTACAGAAGCAAATACACAAAAAGTATTACCAAGCCTGGCACATATCTCTGTATCGCAGCAAGCATAGCCGCGTGACCAACTGCTGTGACCTGTTAGACATAAGCATAAACATTGGATTAGTTCATAGACTCAGACATATTGTAAATGTTAATGGTAAATGTAACTGATTGGTTTTATAGGGTTTTGAACAAAAAGAAACCATCAACATAGATCAGTATAACGTTGTGGTGAACAGAAACAACTTTTATGAGGATGAACAACCATGCGAATAGAGATATGATATTGGGAAATTTGATAAGGTTAATTTTTACTCACAGGAAGAAGCATGAGAACACCAATGGGAACAACTGATGCTAAGTCAGTCATGGTTCTGCGCAGGGCTTTCTTTTCTTTCTCTGTTAATTCATCTCCTACCACAGATCTCCTAAGGAGCTCCACAGCAGCAGCTGAATCAAACGCAAGGAGCTGAGTACCTTGCCACACGTCCTGTCAGAATATCCCGGTGAAGTGCAGTGTTAGTAAGTAAGTCATGAATATCGAAGGAACAAGGCTGATTAGAAAAGGCTTATTTTCTCAAGGCTAAACATATGCCATAAGGCTTGGAATGACATTCATACCGTACTGGTTTCTTTAAGTTGGTCAAGAGTTTTCTCAATGACATTTTCTTTCTTTGAGTTCTGTACCAACTGCACACCTTTCATACTACTGCTTGATTTAGGAGGATCTTCAGAGGTTGTTCCCTGCAGAAGAAAGAGATAAGAGCTTGTACTCGTGAAACATAGAAAAGGAGAAAAATATTACAACTAACTTAGAGAGTTCATCATCTGAGACATACATGCAAATAACTAAAACCATGAAAAATATAAGAGAGCACAATTATCATTGCACTAATTCATCCATGAACTTGATGGCAATATGACTGAAATAGGGAAAAAGGAGTAAATCAAACCACCGTTTTAACGATAGGATCAGATCTCACAAGACCATAGGCAACCTCCGTTTATAAGTTAATCCAGACATGAATACATGATTCATTCACTTTCCTTTTAGTTATATGTACTTGTTTAAAAATTGAGCAAATACTGAAACTGACGTTTTCACTTCAAATATTTTACTCTTATGTGTAATAACAAACTAAACATCTTGCAGCAGCGTCTGTTTTTTCTATGTTTGAAATAATTACTAACCTCTTCATTTACCGATTCATCTGTACTTCCTTGGACACGCTTCTCCAGCTCTATTAGTTCATTCCTTAGAAGTTCGAACCGATAGATCTCATTGGGTTTGGAATCCACACGATCTACATTTTCTTTGGATTTCTCAAAATAGTTATCTGCCTGCATATTGTAAAAAATATTGAAACGTTTGAATTAAACATGACATCTCTTCACTGAGTGAAAACAAATTAGAAATACCTAGTAAGTGACTAAAAAACAACAGAATACTAAGCAGAAACATCCCCAACAATCTAAGATCAGAGACACGCTTATCAAAAAGAAAGATAAAATGAAGCATACCAATGACTCGGGGCTAGGCTTCCTTCTTGGACTGCGCTCAAAGAACCCCCAGAATCCACGATCCTTACTAATAGCCAAACAAACAAATAAGTTTCCACAGCCAGAGGATAACAAAGAGGAACTACAATTATATCCAAAAACACAGAAGAAAGTATTAACTAACAGAACAAGCAATATACCTTGTGTCTTGATCTACAGAATTTGTTGAATTCTTTGAGTTTTTTGCTTTTGGATACTGGCTTTCTTCCTCAGAATACTCCTGAGACTCACTATCACCACCATCCTGTATGAACCATATGAGGTTTTAGTCTTTCACACACGTTTAAGGAAACCAAATGCATTGTGCAATTCTTTGATTCTCATATTGTAAGCACCCATTGAGGATAGGGGTATGCTGTGGACAGTACCAAACTAAGCGTGAACACTAAGATATACGTATCAAAGGAAAAATCCGTAAGAACAACTGAAAACCTCTTGCAGGGAAGCTGCTTTGGCTCTGAAAGACGCCTCTAAAAATTCAGCCTCTTTCTTAAGCTTCCTTATTTTTTCTAGGTCAGAGCATGCGGCTTTTATTTGTTCCTTTCCAGAAGATGAGCTTGATGCATGCAACTTCTGTAACAAGCTCTCCAGTCTCACGAGAGCTTCATCTACACTCTCCAGAGCCTGAGAAATAAATGTTGTTAGTATCTATAGATCATCTGATAGTCAACGGAGTTCTTAGCCAAAAACCTGGCTTAAACAGTGTTCGGTCGAGTGAATATGTTTTGACGACTAACTCATTAATTACAAACCTTATCGAATGAGCTTGACCCTCTAACAGTCGACGGTGCATTCATGTCAATAAAACCCGCTTCTGTTATTGCCAAACTGCATCGCACATTATCCAATCACACACAGCCAAATTACTTGATTGTTATCTAAAAAGGTATGCTCCATAACATATGATGCAAAAATCGAAGTGGACAGAGATAGATATGTACGGCATTCCACGGATGGATACACAAAGCTTCTTTCTACACAATTTATCACTCTTCATTATATTACCTTGATATTCCCAGTTCCTCCTTGCACTGGATTAACTTGTTGTGCCTAAAACATTGAGAATGAAAATCAATATGATCGCCAATTACTTCTTCTTTTTAGTCAATTTACCATATAAACATGTTATATATACCCCTTGGATAAGAATTTAGCTGCCTTCACATTAGAAGGATTCTCAGGCCATTTGCTGTACTTAATAAAGCTCTGTAGCCAATAAGAGCAAACATTCAATATCTGGGGAAGAGCATCATAATTAGGTGGCCCTTGTGGTTTGCTTTTATGCCCATGTGAATGTTCGGCAGGCTGGGAGTCCTTTCTAGTTGGATAGAAGGGAATCCAATCTAGTTCTTCACAGACAACCTACGCTATAAAGTTCCATAATAAGATTTCAAAATGGTTAAAAGAAATTTTCACAAGTGATGGTAAGACTTAAGCCTACCTCTACATACAGCTGGTAAGAACTGATGGCTGAAAGCTGAGGATATTGTAGGAGACTTCCTCCAATGAAGTGCCTGAATAAAGAAGATAGCAAGTTTAAGTGATAGGGTGTACGAATGAGTATGGAAAGCAAGCAGAAGAAAATCAATGAGTCACCTAACAAGGTCTTCCACAGGATTCTCCAGGGAATTAAAACCGTTTGCAGCTAAAAAAGACTGGGTGCTCCTGCCTAAGGCAATGAAGAATCCAAAAATAGCTAAATCTCTTTCCAAGACCTGCAAGGCATCACCAATATTTGTTTCGGCTATGTTCTTATATTCAAAGCTGAACTTATGAGACAAAGGTACAGCAAATGACATTCCAACAAATCAGTATAGAATTGGCTGTCCCTAATAAATGCAGACAACCAATTACGTTCCCTTGAACATAATTCTTTTTAGTCCAAAAGAAATATAAGAACATAATTCTTTATTATTTTCAGATAAAAAAAAACAAGCTCATCTCCATACTGCTTAGAGATTCTAAAAGCTGCTATATGTTTTTGCAGTCTATTCATTACCTCTATACTTTCAGACGTTGTTAACCTAGACCATATTTTCTCCCGATCAATAGCCCTCAGCAGTTGGTTTTGTATAAGATCAACCCAGAAGATAACCTCATCTGTACCGCAGTCACTTTTCACCCTGCATGCCGCTGCCCGAGGTCCAAAATGAACAAGAAATTCTCTGCGTAGACCGAGGCTTTTCATAGAATGATAGGCCTGAGGGAGTGGAACAAAGTCAACAAATTTGTCCATCAATCTCCCTGTAGTATCTGGAATCATAGAAAAGAAGGGCGGGCATGAAAGTTTTGTTGGGCCAAGTTTTGTGACTGCTGCGATGCAATTCAGGACAAGCATGAGAAGTGACACCTCAATCTCTTTGCTTGCAGCTGAGGTCTTGCCTTTGAGATAGCTGAAAAAAACCATAAAGCATCATCACTTTCCAAAAACCTCACAGTCAAACGAGTGATTACAGAATGTAGTGATACAAAGAGAGTCAAAAGAAATGACATACACAGAAGTAGCAGAAACAAATCGTTGGTCCCCCTCAAAACAATTCACAAAAGATGTCACCACCGAAGGAACTTGCTCAGACCAAAACCACTCATTCGCTTCAGGATGACTAGATGATAGTTTATCCCGCATCATACTATCAAGAGGAGCAGCTTGGCGTGATAAACTGCATGATGTGATTTTATAAATTAAGAACCATGAAGCAGCAAAATAGGACTATAATTAGACAGCAACTTTAGTTTAGAAAGATTTCAATGTTGGTGAAACGAAACTATTTCAAAGACTGTGGGCAATATATCTCAACCTCTATAATATTTTGTTGGATTCTCTTTCCAAGACAAAGAACCAAAAAATTCTACTAGATTAAGAACACAACAAAATGTTGACAATCCAGTAACGCTGCATGCCATAGTTCTCAGGCCTTAGATAAGTCATGCAGTACCTCCTTTGCATAAAGACATTAAGATCATCGTCTCTATTGTTTCCTCTTGATGAAACCTCATTTGCAGCTTGTAGTAAGCAATACACGGACGCCTGAGCATGACGAACAGAGTACTTAGTGTAAGCCAAATGCACAATGGTAAGATAACTTTTTATTCTGGCCGTGGTTTTAAATAAAGTTTTCATAATCATAGGAAACTAAAATGGTACAGACCTGATAAGAGAATGTCTTAACCCATGCATTTTTATCGACTCCCAACCAGGCTGCTGAAAACCAAGGTAATCTGGATGATGAAATCTTCTCTTTAAGTGCCAGCTCAAAAGTTCTGGCAGCATCATGTAAAGACTGAATGAGTTCACCGCAGCTGTATTCATCTTTTAAAGATCCACTGAGTTTGGCCCTCATCTCCTCAACATCATCGCTGGGTCTTGACTGGGAGTTCCCATTAACAGCCACTCCGTCCTCAGCAGATGCAAGGAGAAAAGGCTGCATAGTCCTCCGCGATTTATACCAACTCATCTTCTTGTTTCCAAACAATCTCCTATGAAGAATGCAGTTCTTACTTTCCAGAACATCATAAGTCACAAACAATCGGCTCCGGTAGTTTGATATATAATCCAATTGTACCACTCTTCTGCAGGAAATAAAGGTTCCAATGGACATCCGCGAAAGACAAGGGTTTGAAGAGCTACTACAAAGGCAAGATTAATGAAATAAGAAGGCAATAAAATCAAAAGAGTGTCGTAACAGATTGTAACTGTGCATAGAAAGCTCAGCTCAATATCTCTTAGACATAATTTATTTCATCCACTTTGTTATTTGAACCAAGAAGCGACCTAATCTCTACCATAAATTACCGCCAAGACTCGTACACAACCATTAAACTTCTCAGAGGAAGTGCAAAATACACTTGTTTTCAACACCTTCATGCTCTCTTCAAGCTCCTCTAATTCTAAATTAAGTTTAAAGTTTCGTCTTTTTCACCGGATAATCTCCGGTAAACCAGACTTTCACGGCAAAGGAGCAAAAATCAACCAAAAAGGAAACTCAACTCGGACAATTTTCATTTACACTAAAATAAAATCGAATATTCTCGAGACAAATGTGAGCTATTGGGTATACCTTGACGATACAAGACCCGGCCGATGTAGCTTAACTGCCATCTACCATGAAAGCTTCACACAAAAAGATCAGCTTCGGTAATATATTCTACAAATTTTGGTTTGAGAAGGATACGACGAGACAGGAGAAGGGAAAATGAAAAACGAAAAACGAAAAATCGCTGATGATGCTCTCAAATTGATGATGCTCAAGTTTTGGGGGAGGGAGAAGGAGATGATGACGTGGCAGGACCTGGTTCTTTATCCAGTAGACGTGGAGCTCCCAAAGTTCACTCAAACGAACGGACTTCTCCGTTTCCAATATTTATCCATTTATACTGTGCCACGTATACACCTTCTCTGCTTCTCACTGTAAGACTACCGTTTCTCACCACCTCTCATCATCGATTAAAGGCATCTGAATATTATTTATCTCTTCAATCCAAAATATTTCTTCATTTATATGACCATTCAACATTGGACCATACTAGTTTGTAATAATTCAAATCCATGATTTATATGAAAAGTTAATTCCTTATGCTTTGATTGCACGCAATTTGGTGACTGGTGAGCGAATGATTAAGAGAAGAGCAAGTTAGAAAGCCTAATAATATCGAAGCTTGCTCATCATATCACAAGTAGAATCCAAAAACACTAGAAGAAGTATCCATTATATTGCTATTTCCGATTCTGTTAGTCGCTTTTAGATGTATCAGTCGTTGGAACAGCTACTACCGCTGGCTCAGGCGGTCCTCTAGCTATTGGAAAGCCGCCACCACCAAGAATTTGCTTCGGCTTTGCGTAGTCAACGAATATCACACGGCCGTTTAATTGCTGAAAGAAACTCTTCTTATGTTTTTGTTACCAAGAGAACTAGTTTTTGCAAGTGGAAAGCATTATAAGACATACACCATTATCGTTTTACCTGTCCGTTGAACTCCATCAAAGCTTTCTGAGCTTCATCACTCGAAGCAAAGGTCACAAAGCCGAAACCTTTGGATCTGTCGGAGACTCTATCCATTACTATTTGTGCTGTGACAGAAACAGAGAACATCTCAAACACTCACAGATACAAAAACGCAGCTAAAGTACGGGATCGATATTCATCTGATCCGAACAATGATGTATATTGTATAGTATATATATATATTACCTTCAACAACTTGACCACATTTGGAAAATGCCTCAGATAATCCTTGCTCTGTGGTGTAAAACGATAAACCTGGAAACAGGTTTTATATAGTTCAGAGTTAAACATTATTGGAGATTGTAATTTCACAATCAAAATACAAGAAAGAGCCACAAAGTTCAGAAAGTAGTAAACATCAGGTCCAAACCGTACTCAGATTTGCTACAAACCAGCGAGGCTCGAAACCAAAATGTGAACACAAGAAACATCACAGTACACAAGAGAGGCTTTTAAGACTTATAACACCATTAGTAAGACTCTTATACAAAACAAGTAAGTTTCTAGAGCGACGGCGCCAGTAAATCTTAAACCTCCAATAGTCCAATTTCTAGAACCTACAAATCAACTTTGATTTTGGATTGTGCTGATCAAACCGCAACATAAATATAAGTATTACCGCCAACAAAGAGCTTGGACGCAACTCCACGGCGTTGAGTGAAGAAACACGAGGCGGAGGAGTTAATTAAGCCGGCGGATTTCAGGTGCCGGCCACCGATCCTTGCGAGCGCCGCCATTGAACTTGATGTCACGAGAGGACTGTTGGAATGATCACGAATAAACACGTTGTGCATTATGGGCCTGGCCCGGTCCATATTGGAGAAGGAAAAGGATTGTTATATTATTTGAAATAATTTATTTAATTTATTTTTTGATGGTTGACTTTGTTTGTTGACTTTACCAACCTAACGAACAAATCTTCAATTAACTTCCATTAATTTTCAATCTTTCCAAAGATCAATACAAAACACAGTATAGAGAGTCGCCAAGATCACAGAAATACAAAATATAAGCTTCTTCCATATAATAAACATTCCACAAAAAGTTAAACCCTTCGCACAATGTTTATTCTTTCACCCAGAGAATCTGCATTGTCGAGTCAGGGTCGTTTAAGAGAGACACCGGAGATGACGATAAGGATGGCTAAAAACGTGACAGAGGCAAAAGCAGAGACGACAGCTCCGCTCGTTTTCTGACAGAAATCTCCAAATTGTTGGCATATTGGAAGCCAGTTTGTGTTCGTATTCCCATTGTGTGCCAAATACACTATAGCCGCCGCTGCAGAAGCAGCAGCTGTGTCCAGAGCCAGAGCCGCCTGTACACATCAACAAGAAAACAAAGAGTTATTGAATATTTTTGTAATTATTGCGTCAAGAGTTTGAGAACTGAGGAAGATGAGTACAGTGTCAAGAACAAGCAAAAGGAGTCTTGGAGCGACGGCTAGAGGACGAACAATCGTGACGACTGAGAAGGGAAGAGACAGGACAAGGTAAGCTGCGACTATTGCAATGGCAATCACAAAGAATCTGAACATAGAGAGGATAGAAAGTTAGATAACTTAGTACACAAGGGTCAAGGGATGAAGGGAGAAGGAGAGAACAGTATGTATCATACTGGAAAGTTGGAAGATCATCGTAGCTAGCTTCGAACTGTAAAAACTGAGTGAAGAAAGGGAGAGTCTCATCACTAGTCCCCATCGTGGCTGCAGCAACTAAGGCAGCTACAATGGCAGCTAAACGGAGAAGGAAATCGAAAATGGAGAGACCTCTCTTGTAACCTCCTGAGCCTGTGTGGTCTCTGGCTAAACCTAGCAGAGGAGCTTTGCCTTTGATGGCTGAGCTCGACTCTGCAGGGACATCAACGGCTATCGAGTCACTCTTCATCTTTTCTCTTTTTGACTTTTGAAAAAAATCTTCTTCAAGGATTTGTTTTGGGGGAATGGTATTGGATGGATGCTCTTGCTCTTGTGTAAGTGATGGAACTAGAGTTAGGGTTTTTATAGGGTTTAGGTTTTGGTGGTGGACTTTGTTAATAGTATCAAATTATCAATGGAGTAGAGAAAGAGTAGTTGTTGTTTTGTTTTTCCCCCAAGTTGTGGAGTTGGCAACAAAATTATACAAGTCAACAAGTAATTAAAAAATTAATAATAATTGGATCAGCAGATCATATATGCCTAAGTCAAGTCTCTTATCAGTTGCTGGTGCACCCAGATCATATATGTAAAAAGTTTTCAAACTTTATTCCAACTAATCAGTAGATCCAAATACATCCAAACGGATAAAACAAAAAGAACTAACAAAATTCAATCGCTAGTAATCCAAACAATGAGCTAAGTATATGACTTTGAGTTCGACTAGCGCACTAAGCTTCCACCGAGGAAAAAAATAACTGTATTCTATGGTAAAAATTTAGCTACGCTAGAAAACTTGTGGAGGGAAAGAACTCAAAGAAGGGTCATGTCTCAATTTTCCAGCCACGCTTTGCCAGATCTTGAATCACGCGCCTCGCAGCTTCTGCATTATCGTTAAGAGGACAGTAGCTCCACTTCTCACGCATCTTGTCATATAAAGTGAAATCCATACAAGCTAATGTCAGGATTCACCAAGAAAAAAAAAAGAGAGAGAGAGAGAAGGGTGTCACGGATTATAGCTATCATGTTGAAAAAAAAACAGACTGCAATAGAGTTATTCGAATTACATCTTCTTTGCCGGTTAATGGTCGAACAGCCCCTCTTTCATGGAGAGTCTTCTGGAAGTCAGAAAATTTCCATGTACACCGTTCAGCCCCCACAACATAAATGGGTTTCCTGTGTTGAGAATGAGATTTTAATACTATCATTTAAAGACTGGAAAAAAGGAAAGGTTGTTGTTGTTGTCTTAACCATACCCGGTACTACATGCCTCACTCAACATACTTATAGAGTCAGCAGTTATGACAAAAGTATCGGCTAAAGCAAGATGTCCCAAATGCGGATTAGGGTCTGAGAAATGGAAGAATAGAAAGTATCAAACTCTGCTAAGGACAAGTTGGGATTTACAAAATCCGTTCACCTTTTCCATCCCAAATGTAGACCTTAGAGTTAGAGCTCAGTTCTCTAGTTATAATGTCTGCAACCTGTTGAAAGATGAGTAGATATGATGACCATCCGGTCCACACAATCATGATATTCTACAGATACTCTTACTTACCTTCTTCGGTGTTCTTCTTGAGAAAGATATTCTTAGGCTTCCACAGCTCCAGAGGATACTCTGAAGCATGGCACACAAATTCTTCGAAAGATCAACACCATACAAACAGTTTCCTACACCAAATTAACAAAAAACGTGGAAAGGTTAATTGCAGGTATAAATACAACTCAATAGACTACATAAAATAAGAAGATACACAATATTTACTTGTAGGTCCTCCAATATTAACTACAACCAAAGGTTTTGACAGTGAAGCAAACTCGTCCTGCCATTCCAAACTAGCATTTCTCAGAGTAGAAGCGTCAATGTTATGAAGAGCTCCAGTAGTGAGAAACTAGATTTCACGAATCAAGCTTGTTACCAGCAACTAAATAGCAATTCCTTGCCGTCGAGTTCTTTTGATAAACATTAAAAAAGACACATACCACATTTCTACCTGGAGGTTCACGTGGAGTTACCCATGGCCGAAGAAAGAAAGGAATCTGCCTCTTCCCTTCAGGTGTTAAAAGATAATAATCATGACGAGGTGTGATCACTAGATCAAATCTCTCGAGACGTGACCTTGGATGTTGCACCTGGAAAAACAATGGATAACTAACGAGATCTGGTAATGCAACCACACACAAAAAAAAATAAAAAAAAATAACAAGTTAAAACAACGAGAAAACAATGACTATGAGGCCAAGATTTGAAATTTCAGATATCCGTCCAATGGAAAGATCTGCTAAAACCATCATACACAACAAAACAAAACAAAAATGCCATAGAACTTTGGGTTTTATCAAGGAACAGACTTAACCTGGACAACAAAGACATTTTCCATAGCTAGTCGTCTTATGGAGCTTGCAACAGATATAGTATCACTACCAGATGCCACCACTAACAACGCTCCATACCTATCATAAGGCCAAAAATGTGATCATAAATGTTCAATCAATACAAACTTAAGTAGACAACGACTGAGCTAATTCAAGATCAAATCAATAAACATGTTTTCGCTTAGATAAAAAGAGGAATAAACTACAGTTCTGAAATACAAATCAAGCAGATGGAAATTTGATAAGAAAAAAACTATACTTATCAAACGTACTACGAGCCATAGTAGCAATCTGCTTCGCATCAGCTACATCAAGATCATCCATGATTCCTGCAACCATTTTTAAGAAACAAGTTACTGCCAAAATTCTCTTACTATGTCTTAGTTTCACTCAAATCGAATGATAACACAACTTGAAACAACATATTTTCAAAGTGTGAATCGCAGTAGCATTCAATAAAGGTCCTACCAATAGCGTTTATGGAGAATCCGGCACAGATACTGCTGATAAAACGATGAATTCTTTTGTAGAGAAATATAGGAAGCCATTGAAGGTATCTATTGATTCCACCTTTTGGCCTAGTGACACTCTGAACAGAAAAACACAAACTCGGACGCATTAAAAATCGAATACTGATACATTTCGATTCACCTAGAGAAGAACACTGAAAAAGATGAGTGTTGTGAACGGAGCTTACATAATAGAGGTGGCGATCGAAGAGGCCTAAGGATCGAATAAGGCCGATGCACTGATTCTCCGCGCCGGCGCAGCCGTTTCCGATCACAATAGCTCGTTTCACCGCGCCAAAAACACTTCCATGTCGATCGTCCGATAAACCGTTGACGACCGGTTCCGGTGGCTGTGTTCGTAACATTTACAGTTTGAGTGACGACAATTCAGAGAGATTTGGGAAAAACGCAGTGAAGAAGAAGAAGACCGAGACACACTCTAACTGACTAGACCAAACCGAAATTGAATTTGGAATAAACCAAAGACCAATTTGAACCGGAAAAGGGAATGAATTAGCCTAGTGAAATATATCAGGTAAAAAAAGATTTATAATTTCATATAATAAGTTGTCTAAAACCCTCTTCTGCTATTTTAGCAATAATCAATCTACCAATCACCTCACTTGTAATATATCACTTGTGATTGTATAATTTGTATATATAAAATGATTATAATTTTACTAGTATAATCAATATTGATGATGTTTGTATGTTTCATAGTTTCTAGATTTTAGTGTAAGAGGATACTTTTTTTTTTTTTGGTAAATTGGAGGAGACAAGTGTAAGAGGATACATGAGTTCAATTCATAAAAGAATAAAAGGGTCCAAATTAGTGAAATTACAGTTTAGAAAAACAATATTCTTTTATGAATCTTTTAATACAATTTTATTGATTTCTTTTATACTTTCAGTTTTTTATGATATCCATGGACATATATTTAAAACTTGAACAAAACAAAACAAAAATGAAAATTTAAAAAACCAGAACTTTATAAATATATCTTAATGCAGAGAGTTATATATATAGGACACATGTCACAATTAATATTAGACATGGCATATATATATAACAAACAACACAAATATAAAATTAAGGTAAAACGGTAAATGCTACAACACTGCTAATAGCAGCTGCAATTGCTCCGACCACAAATCCTGGTAAATTTCCACCTCCAAACAATGCATCAATAGGACCAACTCCAAACGATACAATCATTTGTGGAATCACGATTGCCATATTTAAAACTCCTAGAGAGAGTCCTGTAGAAATGAATAATAAAAAAAATCTTATTAATTTGATACTTCGATATATATGTTACAAAAGAATCGTTTATTTATTTTCATTCTTTACAAAAGAAAAGAGAGTAAATTTACCTTGGCCCGCGCCGGTGCTACTTGAAATTATGGAAGCCAGTGCAAATGGAATACTGAAAGTAATCTATAAAAAATACAAAACCCGGATTAACAATGTTAACAGTATAAGAAATAAAAATGGATAATAATAGTACCAATAATAATGGATAATAAACAAGTTGTTGTGGACTTACGGCTAGAGGAATTCCAAGGAGGGCAAAGAGCGTCAATGCTCCAGCTTTGATGTCATCAGTGGGAAGTGCCATTGCACCAACGTTTCTGCGGTGTTCCTCAGCCTTTTTAGTAACCAAAACCGTCATTGCCAAACACACGGCAAGGATGATATTCACAGCTCCCCAAAGTCTTTTAGCTCCAATTTTCCTACTGGTACCTTCAATACCAAGCGAAAAGAACCCAAGAACGATTGAGTTAAGCATCAATCCCAATGCACCAACGTGGACTCCTTGGTTGTAAAGTTTCTTCATCTTGTCATCTCCTTCTGAGCTTCCACCGTAAATTTCACGACCCATCCAGTCAGTATCGAATAAAAGAAAAGGGAACCAAGCGATCCAGTTCAAAGACGTGACGATGAGTAGCATCCACATTGGACGTTTCATCACCTTGAAGGCTCCAAAGATCTCGCCGAAGAAGGGAGTTTTCTTTCCTTCTTCAGAGTCTTCATTTGGTGACCATTGTTTTTCTTCCACGTACCAAAGAGATATGATGGTGAAGACGAGGAGGAGAGTGATGGAGAGGAAGAAACAACTCTTTAGATTTGCGCAATAGAGGTCACATGCTTTAGTGATTGTGAAAGGAAATATCTTGTGGAGGTGAGTGTACGATCCAGCTGCGTATCCCAAAACGTTTCCAACGGCCATGAAAAACGAGAAAGCTGCGTTTGCGGTACGCGTTTTCCTAGCGTCTCCGGCTGCCAAATCCCCGAGGAAAGCTCGGCAGGGTCCTTGGAGAGTGTTGTTAGCCACGTCAAGGATCCAGAATCCAAGAGCGAAGATAACAACGGCTTTGCCCTTTACATGGTCGTCGAGTTTGTCTCCCAAGATGTGGCCAATATCAGCAGCGTATCCGATTAAGAAAACAGCAATGGCAACAAGAAAGGCACCGGTGGCGATGAAAGGACGGCGACGACCGAACCTTGACCGGCATCGATCACTATAGTAACCAACAGTTGGTTGGACAAGGAGGCCGGAGACAGGACCACAAAGCCAAATAAAAGATGACCATTTGTGTGGAACTCCGAGAAGTTGCACGTACGGAGTTAGCAGAGACAGCTGAAGAGCCCAACCGAATTGTATACCAGCAGCGATTGAAGCCACTGATATCATCTTTCTCAACGGCGATGGCCCATCTACATCCGACGAAGAAGACTGTTTCTCCACAGCCTTTGAAGGGTTTTTCTCTTGGAGGTCACTCATCTTCACCTTATCTTTAGAGGGTGATGGAGGAGATGATGACAAGATTAAAGGTGAAAGAAGAGGAAAAAGATGTTTGTCTCTCGTCAAATGATTTTCGATTCTGTGTTTCAATTGTTTAGGGAACTCAATATTTTATACTAAGGCTACAATGCATATATCCTTATTGGATTATTGCAATAGTGACAAGATTAACGTTAATATAGCCGAAATCAGTTTATTATCTTATCTATTCTTCATTTAATTTAGTACGTGACAGATTTTGTTTTCAATATCCTGTTTCTGTAAAATGTTCTTGTTTTCCATTTCTCGTCAAATTTGTTTTGTACATTTTCCATTTTTAAAATGTTCTGTTTGGATTTAACCGCATTAATTACAGGTACGTATTACCTTTTTCCTTGTTTCACAAGAAAAAAACAGGTAAAAATGGAAAATCTGATCAAGAAAAGGAAATAAATATATCGAAATAAAATTTGGGCCTGTAAACATGTTGTAATCAATAACGCCTAAAACAAAACGGGCCTAAAGTCCAATGGGTCAATAGAGGTGAATATGAGCCTCCTTGGATTAGGGTAATAATAAACACAAGTCTCCCACTATATAATGCGTCTTCTCTACTTATCCCAATTCTTAAAATTAGGGTTTTGTTTCTTTCAGTCGTCTTCTTCTTTGTATCTTTTGAGTGTGTTTCGTATCTTGCGCAGCCCTTAAGATCGCCTTCCACAAACTCTCAATGGAAGCGTGTCGAGTCATAGTTGCGCAAAATAGAATTTAATTAAGGGTTTGTTTCATTAGGGTTCTCCTAATAACAAATCCGCCATTGTCCTTCTTGAATTTATATATAGCACGAGGTTCTCTCTCGTTGACTCTTCAGATATAAGTGTTCAAATCTCTTTTATCTGATAGAGATCATAAGCGTTTGGGGATTCTCAGATTTATGAATTTGTGTTTATAGTATCTCGTGCTTTATATCGGGTTAGGATACATTTTTGTTTTTGGATGGATTTTGTAAAATGAAAAGGCGAGAATGATGAATCAATTAGATGTGCGAATGAGGGGTAATTTCCTTATTATGAGCTTAAAACTGTTTGAGGCATATTCAGATTTCTGACATCGCCGCTTTTCAAAATCATTGTTTTTTGAGTTTTGTTTGAATGGTGGAATATGAGGAACATATAACTCAACCGTGATAAAATTATGATCCAATTTTTTGCTTATTGATATTCTGATTCCACCATTTTATTTTAACCTTGTTGGATTTTTGGTTGGCTTTTGATTGTTTGTTTGTTTTTTTTCCACTCATAATCTATTCCATTCAGGTCTGGTTCGGAAACTTGGGAACTGAAACGATAATGTGATATTTAATGAATACAATTATTAGCCTTTTTATTGAAAATGAATTAGTATATTTTGAGAACCAGTTATTGAGATTTGAACTTGAATGTATTTCTACAATATGAGATTAGCCCACTTTGATTATAGCTGGAGATAAATTCCTTAACTTTGGACGATAAGGAAAACTGAATATATATAAAATAATGTACTAAACAAATTATCAAGTTGTACCAAACACGAGATCTTCATTTTGTAATTATCTTATGATCAACTAATCTCGTAAGATCATTCATTTCTATTATGGTTCAATTTAGATCACCCTTTAGCTATTGTGTTGCTCTTAAGCTAAATCTTTTAGAAAAATTGAACTTAAACATCATCAAAATAGCATAATTTAGAATTGTGAAGAATCATTGATCTTAAACCCAACAATTGCCATGAAGTAGTGTTAACCGTAAATTGTTCTTTTGGGATTCGTTTTTATACTGTTAGAACTCTTAATTCTTATACCAGGTGAGATATCATGGCCTTCAATTTGAAGAGTGAGAAAAATGGGTTTGTTTACTGATTAAGCCGATTTGAAACAAAGTATGACTTTGTGTTAGTTTGCTTATTGTTGGTGGCTGGGTGCAAGAAACCACCAATTAATCTTAAACGGCAAGAATAAAGGATTTAGGGGACAAGGGCTAGTTTCTCTGAATTAGGCAATCAAAAATATCGAGATCAGTACCAGAAATGGATTTGCTATTATATGATATACAGTATGTTTTGTTTACAAGCGAATGAATGAATCTAGAGTCAGGAGATCTACAATTTATTTATACATCTAATCTCCTACAACTACTAACGAGACCTCCGCACGTTGCCTTCCGCTTTTCTCTCAACTTCCTCCTCGTTCTCCTCCGCTTCTTGGTAACGGGCCGAAGCTTCCTCCGTAGGCCCACGCTTAATTGGCTTTCTTTTTTCACTTAACGGGCTTGCGATATTGGGACTTTTCCTGGTGAAGCCCAAGTCTAACATTTATGAAGACCAAACCCTCTCTATGTTAGTGTATACTTATTTACAAACAGCATACACATATTCTTATTGCAAAACGCCGTATATTACAATTTACAAACACACAATGATGTTTACAAATTACTGTGGTATTTTTTTTTTATTCTCGTTAATAAAAGGAAACATTGCATTCAAAGGAAAAATATATAAATTATTAAATAAAATAATTATATATAATTTTTAAAATAAAAATACAAATACAAGTGAACCGAAACCGAAACCGAAACCGAAACCAAAACACAAAAATAAAAGAAGCCCAAAACAGATATACAGTACCACCCGAAATTGTTTTAGTTGGATTAGAGGATTAAAAGAAAATTTGCCGGCGAGATTCAGATTGAGAAAAAGGAAAAGAGATTGGGACTTAGGGTTTAGAGTCCGGCGAATAAGAAGGTCTCCGAATCCGAGAGTAGCGTTGGGGAATATACAGAGAAGATGTCGTCGACTCTACTCGAGCAAACTCGCTCCAGTCATGAAGAGGTTGAAAGGTTGGAGCGATTGATTGTCCAAGATCTACAGACTGAGCCACCGACCAGCAAAGACAGATTGGTCCAGGGGCATCGTGTTCGTCACATGATTGAGTCTATCATGCTCACCACTGAGAAACTTGTACGTTTTCTTTCTTCTTCTCCTCAGTTTCCGCTTTTGTTTATATGTTCTATTCTCTTCTGAATCCCCGTTATGCTCAATGCAGAGAAACTTGGGTTGCTGATCTTTTCTGCACTTCAATCTCGTCAGTGTTGTTGATTGCTTTAGCTTTTTAGGTTATTTATTGGGGGTTCTTCAGTGTGTATGTAGGGATTTTAAGTTTTGAGCTAAGCATGCTTCAGTATTGTTTCACTAGTTTGAGTAATTGTTTGATAATTCTCATCAGTAGATGCCTTGGATTTATATGCTAACCTTGATTCTTGTTGGTTTATAAGGTTGAAACCTACGAAGATAAGGATGGGGCAAGGGAAGATGAGATAGCAGTGCTTGGTGGCCAGTCTGAGGCAGGGTCAAATGCCTTTGGTGCATTTTACGATCGTTTGAAAGAGGTTTGTTTGCTACCCTTTTGCATGTCTTTTCTCCCAATACTTGCATATGGTTCTCTGTCCCAAGAACTTGGTTTTTCTTTAATTTCTCTGGGTTGTGTTTTTATAAATTCAGCACCTAACTTAACCAATCAATTGGTTTTTCGAAGATTGACTGTGTGAGATTTAGCTGTTGATATTTTTGTTTTATAGTTTCATTGATTTTATTGAACCACTGGTGAATGGTGATGGAGAATTAATCTCAGTGAAAATGTATTAGTTCTGTCCCATCAACAATTTGGTTAGCTGTAGATGCATTGCTTTTTCCAGAATAGTATTAAGGGGTAAGATTTTCATGAGAAGATAGGGATTTATATCTAAGTAGACTGCAAGCCCTGAAAATGATTCAAATTTCTAAGTTGATTTTCTTGTACCATTGATGAAATTATCAGATTTTCAACTATTGTTAACTTGTTTTATGAAACGTACAGATACGTGAATATCATAAAAAGCATCCTTCTGGACGTCTTGTTGATGCTAATGAGGATTATGAAGCTCTCCTGAAGGAGGAACCAGTTATTGCGTTCAGTGGAGAGGTAAGTTTCTGCTTGACTTCTTATTGTTGCTGGTCGAGAATGTTCATATTATTGGTTTGACAATTTTACAAGCCCCTTTATTTACCTCTGTCTTTTTTTAAAATGATTTTTCTTCAATTGTTAAATCTTCCTCCTTGTTACGCAGGAAGGTGTTGGTCGCTACTTGGACTTACATGATATATATAACCAGTACATCAACTCTAAATTTGGGGAAAGGGTTGAATATTCTGCTTACCTTGATGTTTTCTCTCAACCAGAGAAAATACCGCGTAAACTAAAGCTATCAAGGTAAACATTTCATTGAGTGTTTTTTTGTACTTAGAAAGCCTCTATCTTTGTTTCTATCTGCAGCCGAACGAATTTCCTTTTTTTCTTGCTATCTGTCATTTTAGGCAGTACAAGAAGTATATGGAAGCTCTGCTAGAGTACTTGGTCTACTTTTTCCAGCGAACCGAGCCATTGCAAGATCTTGACCGCATACTTTCTAGGGTTTAAACTCCTTCCTTTACTTATCGTTTTATTTTGATCAACTGCTACCTTATGAAATGTTTTGGGCGCTTTGATCTGATACTGTAATTTGCTGGTTTCTTGCAGGTTGAGACTGATTTTGAAGAGCAATATGCAAATGGGCAAGTAGAAGGCTGGGAGAACCATAGCCTGGAAAATGAGCTTATTCCATCTCAGCATACTGTCATAGATCTGGATTACTACACCACAGTTGAAGAACTGATAGATGTGGGTCCTGAAAAGCTAAAGGAGGTAATGACATGCTTTGTGTTCATATTCATCTTGAAGCATTATCCCTCTAAATCTGTAATTATATAGTCTTTTATGTTATTCAGGCATTGGGGGCATTAGGACTGAAGGTTGGTGGTACTCCGCAGCAGCGTGCCGAGAGACTTTTCCTGACAAAGGTACTTACACTTGCTTTTAATCTTCTATCTACATGTGTGTTTTCAGTTTGTCCTATGAGAGTGGTATTTCTACTAATTTGTAGTGTCCGTGTTATTTATGCTGGGTTTAAAGGAATAATTAGCTGTTCTGTATGCTAGTTTGGTAGGTCCGTTCAGGTCTTCCTCTAAATTGAGACTAAGGTTTTTTTGTTGGCATAGCTCATGTCTGTGGGGGATGGAATTCTGTTTGGAGCTTATCTTATTGTCTTGACCCTTGACATTGTCTAACTTTTGTACAGCATACGCCTTTGGAAAAGCTGGAAAAGAAACATTTTGCCAAACCTCTACACAATGGGAAACAAAACGGAGATGCCAAATCATTGCAGCAGTCTGAAAATGCTAAGGAGATTGCACTAACAGAGGCCAAAGTGAAGAAACTCTGCAGTTTACTTGATGAGGTTAGTTGATTGAAGGTCCTTTATAGATTTTTTTCCCTCCCTAGATATCTAGTTGTGCTTTTAACTTTTCTTTTAACTTTTATAGACAATCGAAAGGACAAAGCAAAACATTGTAAAGAAACAGTCCTTGACATATGAAGAAATGGAGGGAGAGCGAGAAGGGGAGGAAGCTAATGCCGAGTCAGAAAGTGATGATGAGGACGGTCAGATTTACAATCCGCTGAATCTGCCAATGGGTTGGGATGGGAAGCCTATACCATACTGGCTCTACAAACTTCACGGCCTGGGGCAGGTATGTAGTTAGTTATTAGAGCACTATTTTTAGATGAATAGATTCCAATTAAATTTTCTTGTCGACTTGCAGGAGTTTAAATGCGAGATATGTGGGAACTATAGTTACTGGGGAAGAAGGGCATTTGAGAGACATTTTAAAGAATGGCGACACCAACACGGAATGCGTTGCCTAGGAATCCCTAACACAAAGAACTTCAATGAGATCACTTCAATTGAGGTAACATTATATTGTCTAGGACTTTGGTGTTGTACCTTAACGCAATAGTTTGGTCATTTGTTTGATGTGGTTTGTTTGGCATGTTTCAGGAAGCGAAAGAATTGTGGAAGAGGATACAGGAGAGGCAAGGAGTGAACAAATGGAGGCCAGAACTTGAAGAAGAATATGAAGATCGTGAAGGTAACATTTACAACAAGAAGACTTACTCTGATCTCCAGCGTCAAGGTCTCATCTGATGGATCACATCCTCATGGGTTTTAGAGGTTCCCTACTTGATGAAATCTTCTCTCTATACCATATGACTTGAAAATCACACCTACCTTTTCTACTATGTAAAATCAAACCATTTGTCATATTGTTGTGAAGTATCATCACCTTAAAACAGGTTTTAGTTTTAGGTAATCTCAATTCGACGTCGGTGCATGTTTCTGAATTAGCTTTCACAATCCAGGATATAAAAAATGGTTTTGATGGACAATGCCAATGAGGCAATAACGAATAGTTAAGCTTATATCTTCGATTATATATAATATATACATACACAATTATGATAAAGATATTGAACAATCTTCTGACAAAAGAAAGATTTGTAACAATCTCATTGGCTAAGGTTATTCAGATGATGATGTCTCACAAAATTTGGAATGTCTTAATTTTCGTAATAGTTATCCGTTTACTAACAATCATTGGTTCCTTTTTATAAAATTTCAAATTGTGTCACATAAATTTAAAAATCATTAAAGTAAACAGATACAACAATCTCACAAGTATTTCATATATGTTTTTGGTCAGATTTATATCCATCCGACGACCATACAAAATTTAACTTTGTATTTCAAAAACCTGAACATAGACAATCTCATTCTGGAAAGAATAATAAAATATACCTTACTTGGCCAATTGACTAAGAGTCCAAGTGTAGTGTATTCTCCAAAATCCAAATGTTTTAGCTAAGAAATAAAAGTTGGGATGGGCTTACCTTTTTGGTTTTAATACAGTCCAACGGCCACATTGGAGAGAGAGACGATCGGACTAGTTTAGTAATCCTACGGTGCCAGCGCATTCCAACTTCGTAGACTAACATATCCACCGTTAAATCTAAAACCTAATCATCCAACGGCTATTAATGAAAGATCCCAAAAATATGACCGTTGGAAGTGATTGAACCGTTGGCTCCTCCTCCTTCTCTTCATAAGAAGCGTTCTCTTGCTGCGTTCTTCGTCATAATCTCAGATACTCTTTACGAAAGAGAGAAACGAAGAACGAGAACAAGAAGAGTAAGATTCAGTAGGAGAGCGATCATGGCGACGAGAGCTGCAAACGTACCTGAACAAGTCAGAGGTTTGTTTTCCCCGTCGTTTTTATTGATTTGATTTCTCCGTTCTGAATTCTATTGATTTTTTATGGGTTATCGTTGATCTGGATTCTGTGGATCGCTTTGGTTGTTTCTGGGTGGTGTTTTGATTTGAAATTTTTGCTTTTTGTACATTCGTCGATCTAAAATCTGGGTTTTGTACTTTAGTTTGATTCGTTTTGTTTGTGTACCCAAATCGTTTGACCTAACTTGGTCCCAAATCTGGGTTATGCTTATGATAAGTCTTCGACGATGCAGATCTGATTTGAATAAAGTTTCTCGTAATTGTCTCTATCTGGGACTGATTTTGTTAATCTTTAGAACTGAATTTGTGAAGCGTGTCGATGGGATTGTGTATGGCATGAAATAAAGACGAGATCTTGATTGGGGTTCTTTTGAATTTTGTGAAACAGGTGCTCCTCTCGTTGACGGTTTGAAGATTCAGAACAAAAACGGCGCTGCGAAGAATCGGCGTGCTCTTGGTGACATCGGAAATCTTGTATCTGTTCCCGGAGTTCAAGGTGGAAAGGCTCAACCTCCGATTAACCGACCCATTACTCGAAGTTTCCGTGCTCAGCTATTAGCCAATGCCCAACTCGAAAGAAAGCCAATTAATGGAGACAACAAGGTTCCAGCGCTTGGCCCGAAGAGACAACCTCTTGCTGCAAGAAACCCAGATGCGCCAAGGGCGGTCCAGAAGAAGAACTTAGTGGTCAAGCAACAGACCAAACCTGCTGAAGTGATCGAGACAAAGAAGGAGGCAACTAGAAAGGAAGCAGCAGTGTCACCGAAGAACAAGAAAGTGACGTACTCGTCTGTTCTTAGTGCTCGGAGCAAAGCTGCGTGTGGCATAGTCAACAAACCAAAGATTCTTGACATTGATGAATCTGACAAGGATAACCATCTGGCTGCAGTGGAGTATGTTGATGATATGTACTCGTTCTATAAAGAAGTCGAGAAGGAGAGCCAGCCTAAGATGTACATGCACATTCAAACTGAGATGAACGAGAAGATGAGAGCGATCTTGATTGATTGGTTACTAGAAGTTCACATCAAGTTTGAGCTTAACCTTGAAACCCTCTACCTCACTGTCAACCTCATTGATCGATTCCTCTCTGTCAAAGCTGTCCCCAAAAGAGAGTTACAGCTTGTAGGTATCAGTGCCTTGCTTATCGCTTCCAAATATGAAGAAATCTGGCCACCTCAGGTACATATATTTTATAACAACTTGACTGTTGTTTTGTATTTGTCATACTTGCTTTGAAGCTTTGAGCTGATGATGTGATGTGTGGCTTTGTGTAGGTTAACGATCTGGTGTATGTCACGGACAATGCTTACAGTAGCAAACAGATCCTAGTGATGGAGAAGACTATACTTGGAAACCTTGAATGGTATTTGACAGTCCCGACTCAATACGTTTTCCTTGTCCGCTTCATCAAAGCTTCGATGTCTGATCCAGAAGTGAGTCTAATTTCGATTGAAGTTCAGATTTCTGTCATTTGGAAAGAGACTAACTTTGGTTTTGCTGTTGTATCATGTAGATGGAGAATATGGTACACTTTCTCGCTGAGCTGGGAATGATGCATTACGACACCTTGATGTTCTGCCCCTCCATGCTTGCTGCTTCAGCTGTTTACACAGCAAGATGCTCACTGAACAAGTCCCCTGCTTGGACTGAGACATTGCAGTTCCACACCGGCTACACAGAATCTGAGATCATGTAAGCAGAGAAAATACTTCAAAATATCATCATCATCTGTTTTGATTATCTTTGTCTCTTGATTGTAGAATCTCATATTAATGGGTGTTTGTGCTTGTGCTTATAGGGACTGCTCAAAGCTTCTAGCTTTTCTACACTCGAGATGCGGTGAGAGCAGGCTGCGTGCAGTGTACAAGAAGTACTCCAAGGCTGAGAATGGAGGTGTTGCTATGGTTTCAGCAGCCAAGTCTCTCTTGAGCGCTACTGATATGAAGAAGCCTGTTTCTTCCTAGTGATTTTAGATGGGAAGAATATTGTTTTCTTTCGTCAGATCTCTCTCTGATTCAAAATCTCTGGTTTCGACTTTGTTGAAATATACTCTTGTTATGATTGTGAGTTCAAAACGTATTAATGAATTCTTTTTTCAGTGTTTTCATCAAACTAGTTTTTACTTTTTATCAGTAGATAATAATGTTTGACTGTCTGCTGCATCATGGCGAGTGTTAATAATGCGTCCCAACTACAGAGACAACTTTGTAATTGAACATGAGAAAAATATGTTATTAAAATTTTGTCTTATTTTAAATTAAAAAAAAAAAACAGAGATGTGGACATTTTAATGATAATATCACTACAAATTAAAACTTATATATCCATTTGATAATTTATTTCATAATGCTACTACATTTGATCGCATCTAATTTTTTTTGTCAACACTCTTAATGATGATCATATCTAAAGAGATGGATTATCTTCTAATTTCATCAAATGTAAATTTGTAAATTATGACAAAATCTGATTTTGTGGAGTAGTAAAATTGGGTTTAAAGTTTAAAAGTCTGATCACCTCTCTATTTTGAAAGCTTTCTTAATTCTTACTTTGTTGTACACAACGCAAACTCGTGAATAATTTACTAAACTGCCACTAGAGGTGAAATTTTGACTAAATTGGGTTTTTCGATCTCACGTCACGGAGTTGTCGTTGTCCCATGGAGAGCACGGAGCAGCCGAGGAGCATCTCAGGGTCGATGCAGAGCCCTAGATCGCCGTCTTCGCAGCCGTATTTGTCTGTCTCCGTCACAGATCCTGTCAAATTAGGCAATGGCGTACAAGCTTACATCTCTTACCGAGTTATCACCAAGGTGTAGATCCTCTTCTTCAACCATGATTCAGCCTAGGGTTTCTATCTGGAAATTTTGGGTCACTGATTTGTTGTGTTTCGAAGCTATCTAATTATATGTTGAGCAGCTAAAATTCGGGTGTGTTTTGTGAATTTGATTCTCTACGGATTAATTTCTGACAGTTAGATTGTTTTTTCCCGGCAGACCAACTTGCCGGAGTATCAAGGACCCGAGAAGATTGTTATCAGACGATACAGTGATTTCGTCTGGTTACGGGATCGGCTTTTTGAGAAATACAAGGGCATTTTCATTCCTCCTCTCCCTGAGAAGAGTGCTGTAGGTAAATTTGTTCGCCCGTTCTAGCTTATTAATTTCAATCTTTTCCATTGCTCTCTGTTTAGTTGAACACATAATCTAATTTGAGTCCGAGATACAAATCTTGCATCTATGTTTGCAAAGTTATATCACTCAATCCAGCTATCCTTATTTGATTTAGTTAGATTTGTTGTCAGCTAGTCAGAGGTTTCTGATTATCTGATTTTGTATTCAGCATCTCTTCTGTTGCTCCCTGTCTAGTTCACCACATTATCTGATTGGGTCAAAAACTATATGTACATTCATCTCTTTTTGCAAAGTTGATCTCTGTCAATCCACCTATCCTTGTTTGATATAGTTAGAATAGTTGTCAGTTAGTGGCTTCTGATTACCTCTTAAGAAATATCTTGTGCACTTGGAATTAGCATCCTCTTACAATTGTAATCTAACGGAGAGGAGTATATTTGGAATCATGTTTATTAATACTCTTTTTGGCAGAAAAATTCCGCTTTAGTGCCGAATTTATTGAAATGAGGCGAGCAGCATTGGATATATTTGTTAATCGAATAGCGTTACACCCTGAACTTCGGCAGAGTGAGGATCTTAGGACCTTTTTACAAGCAGATGAAGAGGTAGGATATCTAGACTTTACATTTCTGGTGATTTATTTTGGCGTTTTTACTTTCCTCCACATCATCTTCACTTAAAAAAGGCTCATTATTTGCCTCACCAAGGACTGCACTTTCCATTTTAGAAGGTTCTTTTCTTTGTTTGACAGTTTACTTTTCTGGTCAGACAATGGACAGATTCAGGTTTCAGGAAACTGGTATATTCAAGAAGCCTGCAGATTTTATGCAAATGTTTAGGGTAAGCATGCATTTCCTTCACCATGTGAGAATTGTTTTCAACATTATACAAGATCCGGTATTGGATACATGTTGGTATGCTTATATGATTTTTTAGCTTATGGAGACAATGATGGAATTATTCTCTGACAGTGTTTAATAGTTATACTACTTAACAAGGTGAAACTTGGCATTTCTTTCCTATGTAATTCTTCACATTGTTGTAACTATAGAGTTGAAAGCTCCCATTACATATTGGTTGCGTGGCTCTACCATGGTTAGAAATCTGTTAACAAAATCAAGACTTCTTAAATGTGAAATTTATTATTGATTTCCTTCTCTTAATTAACTTTGCGGTGCGCCATCATCTTACTGCTATATCTGCACTATTCACAGGATGTCCAGTCGAAAGTTAGTGATGCTGTCCTTGGAAAGGAAAAACCTGTTGAAGAAACTACTGCTGCATACGAGAAGCTTAAACATTATATTTTTGAGCTTGAGAACCACTTGGCTGAGGCGCAGAAGCATGCATATCGCCTTGTCAAGAGGCATAGAGGTAATACCAATATATCACAAGTCAGAATTTGTTCTATATAATTTCTGCTATGTTTTTTCTTTCCCAGTCACATGGATGGATCTTCAATTTTGATGCTATATCAACCTGATGGCAGAGTTGGGTCAATCACTGTTGGATTTTGGCAAGGCTGTAAAACTTCTTGGGGCTTGTGAGGGTGAACCTACAGGAAAAGCATTTTCAGATCTTGGAACTAAATCTGAACTGTTATCTATTAAGCTCCAGAAAGAGGTACTAAGTTTGTAAGACTAGACTATATGCTAGGCATAAGCATCTTCGTTCTTCTTACGCCATTATAGTCGGAAATGTGTATATATCTTGGCCTTATTTATCATATTTCCTAGATTCTTTTATCAACATACCCTCCACTATTTGTAGGCTCAACAAGTTCTGATGAACTTCGAGGAACCCTTGAAGGACTATGTTCGTTATGTGCAATCAATTAAGGTGAGTTCTCTAGCCTATGCCTTTGGGATTAATTTCTCTTATCTGGTTTCGTTTTGCTGATATTTTACTCTGCCTCTTGTATTTTTCTTTTCGTTTTGTGTTTATCCAGGCAACAATAGCAGAGCGAGGCACTGCTTTCAAGCAGCATTGTGAATTGGCAGAAACTACAAAGTTAAAAGAGATTAATCTGTATGATGGCATCTCTCTCTCTCTCTCTCTCTCTCTCTCTCTCTCTCTCTCTCTCTCTCTCTCTCTCTCTCTCTCTCTCTCTCTCTCTCTCTCTCTCTCTCTCTCTCTCTCTCTCTCTCTCTCTTCTCCCTTATTTTCCTCTATGTCAATTATCGTCTTAGAACATTATTTAAATTCTCGAACTGTTATGTAGTGACAAACTCATGCTCACACGGTCAGACAAAGTAGGAGAGGCTGAGATCGAGTACAGAGAGGTAACAACAACTCAAATCTTTCCTTGAAAACTTTGTAGTAATGCTTTTTGTTGCTTGAACTTGTGGTGTTTACCCTAACAAACGCAGATAAAAGCAGAAAGCGAGGAAGCTACGAGAAAATTTGAGAGGATAGTGAACAGAATGGAGGATGAGATAGTGAGGTTTCAAGAGCAGAAGACGGAAGAGATGGGAGTTGCATTCCATCAGTTTGCGAAAGGACAGGCTCGCTTAGCAAACAGTATTGCTGATGCTTGGAGATCCCTTCTTCCCAAACTTGAAGCTTCTTCTGCTGTCTAAATCTAAAATTATCTGTGTGTGTCTTCATGAGAGGTTTGTGTCTAGAGGCAGTTTGGTTTTTTCCAGCTGAAAATTCTGGTGTTTTTGTCTACTTAAACTTCAGTTAACTTTGCTTGTTTCCACTTGTAAAGAATGCACGACTCCTAAACGTTGATATAACTTTAAATTTTAGATTACAACTCTCACTGAACTACATGATATATTGAATCTGTATATAGGTTTCGTAGATAGCAATATACTCTTCAACTTGAAGGACCTTGTTACAGTCACACTTTACTCGTGAATAGCCTTTATTAGCCTAAAATGGTAACCTTCTCAATCATTCGAAAGTTTTTCTTCAAAGCCGAAAAAGAAAGTTGCATAACTTAAAATTATCCGAATACGATTGCCAGCAAAAAGGTTGGCGAGAAGAAGATGACGTGCTTCTCTTCAGCAACTCCTCATCGCCATCATCTTCTTCTTCCTCCCTCAACTTCCAAATCCCCACTCCGATTTCCTTCATCTCATCTCAAACCTATCCCCAATCTTCTCTTCCATGGCTCATCTCGCTCTCTCCTCTCCTGTTCAGACGGCAGCAACAACGGACCTCCTCCCTCCGGCGACGCCGTTCCTAAGCAAGTTCCTCTGCTTCTTCTTCTTTTTTTGTTCTTCACCTGGATTTGTTCAATTCGGTATCTATTGTATTTGAATTCGAGGTTTCGCCAGCTAGTATTCGGATTAGGGGTGGTGATACTGGAAGTAAGAAATGGTATCAGAAAGTGGGAAGCCTTGTAGTTATTTTGCGATTCTAATTGTTAATGAGTTTTATTCTTCGTTTGGTGGATGTTGCAGTAACTTCTGTATCATTGAAGGATCAGAGACAGTCCAAGATTTCGTGCAGATGCAGCTTCAGGAAATCCAAGATAACATAAGGAGTAGACGCAATAAGATCTTTCTCCTCATGGAAGAAGTGAGGAGGTTAAGAGTGCAGCAACGGCTAAAGAGTGTTCAATCCATTAATGAGTATAGTGAGCTTGAGGTTACCGAGATGCCCGAGATCCCATCTTCCATTCCCTTTCTCCCCAATGTGGTCAGTTACAATTTTGAGATGTTCTCTTGTTTCACATGTGATATTTCCTACTTTTGTAACTCTTTACTCTGCTCTTGTCTTTTGAAATAGACACCAAAGACTTTGAAGCAACTCTACTTGACCAGCGTCGCATTGATATCAGGAATAATCTTCTTTGGTGGTCTGATTGCACCTAATGTAAGCACGAGAAACTACTTCCTTATGTTCTCTTATAACAGATATCAAACTCTAGTTTTTTGTTACTGCTCTTCCTTTGTTTGCGAAATCTTGTTTACTGTCATCTCAGTTTACCACTGCTCTTGGACCCCTACTAATCTTACGACAATACACAATATTGTGAGCTCTTTATAATAGATGCAACTGGTTTCCTGGCTATCTTTCAGAATCCATGCAGTTAATGGTGATGCAACTATTAGCACATCAACGAGAAAAATACTATCTTAGTTGTTGATAGCAATAAATTCTTTTGGAGATTAGTAAATTTCTATATGTGTGATATACAGCTGTATGGTTTTCTATCGAATTTTGTCACTGTAACTTTACCTGAATAACAATAGCTGTACTTAGTTTTTTCTTATTCTTGAATGGCAAATTGATGATTTTACATGGCAGCTGGAACTAAAGGTAGGACTTGGAGGAACCTCTTATGAAGATTTTATAAGGAGCTTGCATCTACCCTTGCAATTAAGGTATTACTAGTTTAGTTGCTTCAGGGTCAGTATGATTAAGATTATTATCAAACTAGTCAACTTTACTTGTCCTGATCTGAAACAGCTATATAAAATGATTGTTTTTTTTCGTTCTGTAATGTAGCCAGGTAGATCCTATTGTGGCATCTTTTTCTGGCGGGGCCGTGGGAGTCATTTCAACCTTGATGCTAATCGAAGTTAACAATGTTAAACAACAAGAGAAGAAGAGGTGCAAGTACTGCCTTGGGACTGGTAATTTTACGATATACATCATGAAAGTTCTTGATTTTGTCTTTAAACCACTTAGTCAAATGAGTTAGAGAATGCTCACTATTCATTACAACAACTCTTGAAATCGGTATGTGTTTTTTTGAAAATAGGATACCTGCCATGTGCTCGATGTTCAGCTAGTGGTGTGTGCTTAAGCATTGATCCCATAACTAAACCTAGAGCTTCAAACCGGCTTCTGCAAGTCGCGACAACAAAAAGGTGTCTAAATTGTTCCGGCGCAGGAAAGGTAAGATACTAAGATGTTTGAACAATGTTTCCATACAATCCCATGTAACATTATTTTCCTTGTAATGCTGAGATGTGTATTTGTATATGAATCAGGTGATGTGTCCTACATGTCTTTGCACCGGGATGGTTACAGCAAGCGAGCATGACCCACGCTTTGACCCTTTCGATTAGAAAAAAATGACCTCTCCTTTGCAATTTAGGGTGTTTTTCAATGTACATTTGTCCTGGAAAAGGCTAACGCCAAGACTCTGAACTGAGGAGAGCCAAACCTCTGTCATATAAATGTTTTACACATAATAAAAGAAAATTAGAATATATAACTTTGAGCTGTTAGACTAAATTTCGGAAAGTATGGTTTTGTCGAGTTCTTCCCCACCGATGATCTTAATCTCTAGTGTAGATAGCCATCAACTCCGGCGTAGGCTGATTGTAATCATGCTTCCTCAAAACTCAGCGGTTGGAGAGATGATTTCACTTGCAAAGCAATTGTTACGAGATGAGAGCTTGTCCATGCTGTATTGTATTCCATGCCATTTGCAGAGGGAAGAGCTTACCTAGCTAGTCCACAATTTCAACAAAAATGTTTCCATCTATTTTCTTTGAATAATTTTTTTTTTTTGGTTCAACTATATGATGAGTAGATTTAAACGACAGCATTACGATAGAAAATTTATTCACACTTTATCCTACGTTAAACATCATCATTGTTTTCCTACTTTATCCTACGTTAAACCTCATCATCATTGTTTTCCTAAAGTACTTAAAGTGTTATGTAGACTATCGTACAACAAGACAGTTTGGCCGAGTGGTCTAAGGCGCCAGATTTAGGCTCTGGTCCGAAAGGGCGTGGGTTCAAATCCCACAGCTGTCAAGTCTTTTACAGTTTTTCATATATTTTTTTAAGAGTTTATACGTTAATTACTATAATCTTACCGCATTAAAACCCTAATTTACTACAAACAATCTCTGCTTTCGATTTCTCTGTGTCAGCTCTCAGTGAAGAAGAAGAAACCTGAGCTCTACCGTCTCCTCTTCGTCACTTGTCATTCGTCCTGCTGTACATCATGGTAATCTCCACTCCATATTCCATAACCAATTGTGTTTCTTCCTTTTATGATTTCTATTTCCAATTTGGGGATTTAAAAGATTGCCTTACGATTTGCTTAATCTGTGTTTTAGATACAATTCATTGGTTTTGCTAGTAGATACGTAACTAGTGCATGTTTGTCTCTCTGTTTATAGTCGTCGAGGAAGGAGACCAGAGAACCCATGGAAGATAATGTCACACCAACTGTTCGTGAGGGACAGCATCTTTTTGGAGTTGTTTCATATCAGTGACGAAATTCATCGTAAGTTTCTCATCATATCTTTTGGGAGCTCCATATATTGTACATGTGTTCAATTACATTTAACTTGATCTTTTTTTTTCTTTCCTAATGCTTGCAACGTCTGACTGATCTCTCTGGAAGAGAAACTCTCCTTCGTTTTACTCAATTCTCTACTACACCTAAAAGTGGATTTTGATCTCACTAGATTGACTTGTTACTGTAAGTTAAGTTGTGATCTTTGTAGCTTAAATCCTTATAATATTGTCATTGTGAAATTACAGGTGAAATGAAAGTAAAGGCTGAGCGTGATGCTCCTGCATCTATACTTGCAGCTCTACACGTGGCTCAAAGATGCAAGGTTTTATATCATAGTTTTTATTATATTTTTGGCTTTTCAATCCTCTGGTTTGATGATTGCAGTTTACCCTGTATCAGGAGCATGGCATCACAGCCATTCGCTTCAAGCTCCGTGCCAGTGGAGGAAACAAGACCAAGAAGACTACAAGTCCTTCTGTTAAGTCAGTCATCCGAAATCTTGCTCGTTCAGGCTTGAAAATTGGTCGCATAGGTAACTTGTATTTCTGAGATACAATTGAAAACATATAGATTCCATCTTCTTCCCTCTGGAACTGCCAAAAGTTTTGATCTCTTGACCATTGAAAAACTTTTCCAATGTATTGTAGAGGATGTGACTCCAATTCCGACTGATAGCACCTGTAGAAAAAGTGGTACCAAGGGAAAGGCGTCTGTAAAAATTTCCTCCTACATTCAACAAATCTTGTTTTAAAAAAAAAATGTATCCATAATTAGGTTCGAAATAAAATCTGATTTCCGTTAGCTACACATCCGGGTGTTTGGTCTAGTGGTATGATTCTCGCTTCGGGTGCGAGAGGTCCCGAGTTCGATTCTCGGAACACCCCATATTCATATTCATATTCTATTTTTCGCACTTATAGATCGATTTCAATATTTCAAGATCCTGTGAAAGTTTGTATTTACTGATGGAGTTTACGAGTTGACATTAAATATTTTTTGTGACAAATAGAATCGATGTTCGAGAATTTGATTCTTCTTTTCCGAGTAGAAAGTTGAAACATAATCGAAGACCCTAAAACAGGGTTAAAACCAAAAAATTTTCTTCCAGATTTGTTTATCATCACAATCAAATACAAAGAATATGTGACCTAATAATTGCTTCCCAACAATTGCGAAAAGTAAACACTTGATTTTAATGCCTTACATCAACTTTGTTATGGAGCTGACAATGATTTTTGGTACGAGACAAAATAACTCCCAACGTTGAATAAGCCACAATTGCGAGGAACCACCAAATATAATAAGCTAAGTAATCGTTTCTTCTTCATTTTACCCCTTTCTTCTGAGATAAGAATCAAACTGTACAGTACCACAATCTATCGACTACTTTTTTCCCCATTTGCAAAACCTGACGACATTTTTTTTTTTTTTTTTTCTCAATTAAGTGGGAACTTCTAGTTCACTGTGTCATGTGGGTCTTTCTGATGAGACCCTAATGTAGTAGACTGTGGCTTATGTAGGCGATTTAACGCGGAACTCGTGTCTGAAAAGGGTCAAGTTCTGAGTGAACTTGTCTCTGTTCTTCGAATCTAATCCCCTCGAAATGTCTGTCATAAGACTGTCAAAGCAGGTAGAGAGTCGCTGGTGTTGATCCACGGGCTGCACAAGTGAAATACGTCTCAATGCCTCAATGGTATACACAAAATGCAAACACTAAGGGATAAAAATAGCAAAAAATCTTAGAATTCTGGATCATCACCTGTGATGAGAGGATCTTAGCTTTCAGATCAGAGAAAATCTGGTGAAAGCAATTGGAATAAGTTAGATTAATAAACAATCAAGCTTATTAGCCTGAACAGAAAACTGCGAAAGTGCGATAAATATAATTATACATACCTGCTCACTTATAAGAATCAAGCTTAACATTGGTCTGCTGAGACTCCATTGATTGCCACAATCCTCAAATAGAACTATTTCAAACAGAGTCTTCAATATCTGCAAGTAAGAGCAATTTAGTTCGAAGGTATTAGCTTATCATTGTGGTTTTGCATCTACCAAAGAATGATTGAGGAGTGTAATGAGTACCTCAGGAAACAAACTAGGGCAGTCTGCAATGTGCTGTGCAAAACAAATAGCAGCCGGAGAAGTAGGTGCCTCACCCATTGTGATGTTATTGAAATAATATGAAGCAAGATTGTCGACAGCTATTGCACACTGAAACAATAATAGATATTGCTTCAGAAAGTTGCAGTCTAAGGAATATATTTTGCAGGTTAATACTTTATTTTCTAGATAGATAGGTCTTAACATTTTTGAGGCAATTCTCACCTGTGATGAAATGCTTGTGTCCAATCCCTTGAGTCCGGATTCAAGGGAACCTACGAGATGCATAAAGGTGGCAGTATCCAGTTTCAATATGAAGGTGATATGATTGCCACACAAAACCTCGACAAAACCAAAGTATGCCTTTGTAAGCTGCAGGATCAAAAGAAGAAAAATAAAGATTTAAGATTTCATACCAAGAAAAAAAGAATTCATAGTACCCATCAGTCAATTGAGGCAATGAAATCAATTTGAAAAATCAAAGATGCAGTACTACACATACCTTGCGATATGCTAATATATCTGCCAAGGGTATTGCTAGGGTCATCTTCAACGCGATATCAAGTGCATCCGAAAGAGCCCGATCGCCATAGAGTTCAAACACACCAAAGTTGCAATAATTTCCCGAGAGCGCTGCCCATTAGATGATGATTTTAGTACCATAACATAATAACATAATAATAAACTAAACAACCAATGATTAACTCTCATGTTCTACAATGTCCAAATTCTGTTCTAACCTTTTGACAGAATTGACAGTGAAACCCAGATCCCCTTGTATTTGAAGGCATATATATCCGCAACATTTGGAAGGGCTAAAATTCTTGAACCATAAGCCACAATCAATTTACTGACTTCCCGGAAAAGCAGTATGCCATTTGGAGAAGAAGAGTCAAAGGTAAGGCGCTGGGTTTTGTTATGGACAAACTCAGCCATGAACTTCAACAACGGGGTTGTAACCTACATCAACGAGCCAAGAAGAGAAGATGAGATAAAGAAGGCACCACTATTCTAACAGTCGATGATAATCAGGTTATTACTAGGTCAGTGATCTTTCGTACAAGTGAATGGAGTAGAATGCATCACAAAATACCTCTGGTGTGTCGAACCAATGTGAGATCCCTCTCAAAAGAAGTGGCATATGTGCAGGATACAGCCAGTCAAACAAAAGACCATAACTTCTCCGGCTGAAATCAAAAGAGAAAGCTTGAATAAATAATAAGATTGTAACTCGTCTACAGATGTCTAAGCAACTAGATGAAGTCAAAACCTGCTAGTAGCCATTGCAATTCCTCTTAAATCTCTCATCAATCCGATCACAGCAAACTTCACAGCATCAGTGCGAAACATTGAATCTGGTGTTGATTCCAGAGTGCGGAAAACCTAAAATAAATGAATGAAAACTTAATTTACTGGCTTAACCAAAATTCTGTTGGAAATTGAAGCGTGGACTATTTATAAAAATTGTAGATCGTAATACACCATCAATATTAGGGTATGGAACTACGTAAACAACACGACCACTATGTGACTATGCATAAAAATATTGTAACATGGATATAGAAAAATCCCTGTTGACAGGATGTCAAATTATGCCTAGAACTGTTCATAGAGTAATGACTCTGCAATATCATTGCAAATTTAACCATGTACATGTCATTTGTATGTTTCACTTGGGTTAATGCGTAATAAATAACACAAACATAGTTCGTCTCATCTTCTGAACAAAACATGCAAGCCCATCATCATAACAGAGAACAGAGAACAGTGAACAGTACGCAGTTCAGATACAGACAGAAACGCTTTTCTAAATGAAAGCTGCAAAAATAAGATGCTGAAAAGAAATAAGTATA